AAACACGAAGAACGCGAGTCCGACGTGGGTTATACGGATTAAAGAGAATCGCTCATGCTCGGCTGTTGTGTGAGTGTGTGTACGTGTGTGTGTGTCCTTAATTATGCATTGTCAGTCTGATATATATACGTTACGTTGCGATTCCGAAAGCCCGACCTTTTGTACCTTTAGTGCAATTCGATGCTTTATACATCGTTTGTCGTCGAGTCTCATTCCTTTTTAACCTCGACGACGGCGAGCTCTCCTCGGAATCGGAGACGAGCACTTGGAAATTAATCCGATCGGATCGATTTTCACCGGCTGAGTAACTAGTAATTTTGAGGCGGTGCATACGTACGACGTACCCTCGCACAACAAACACGTTCTTCTTCTCGCTTTTTATTCGCCGAGTACCTATAATAGTAAATACGTGTGCCGCGTGATAAGAAAATTATGGCGCTCGCACGCGGGCACGCTCACGCGAGGGCCAGATTAGGCACTTGCGGAAATTTTTTTCTGCTCTTGGGCCTCGTAGGCGAGCGTGCCATTTAGAGCTCGCCGTGCTCTTGAGTGCCAGTGGAGAGTAAAAAAAGAGTGAGAGAGAGAGAGAAAGGGAAAAAAAGAGAAGCAAGCCCGAGACTCGACGGAGGAAAAAATTTGAACGAGCGTAATTATGTACAAAGAATTCATAATTATAATTTTTACACTGAGCTAGCTGCTGCCGCTGCTTCTGCAAGCTCGTCGGTGTACATACGTACAGGGGGAGATTTTTCTAAAAACGTGTGCGTGAGGGTAGGTAGAAACTACGGCAAAAAGAACAGAAATTAAGCGATCTCTCGGTTGGCGCATTATACTCTTAGACAGGTAACGAACGAAGAGTGACATTCTTGCGAGAGCTGCCGTTGCAGCAGTAGTAGCTCCGCTCGGCCGTTGATATGTGCAAGAGAGAGAATGAGATGAAAAAATTAACAAAAGTCACATACACGGAGACTCGCGGAAAAATCCAAGCCGTATACGTACGTCGAGAAGAATATTTAGCGATGATTTTTTTACTCTCTCTCCTTTTCTGTTCATTTTTTCGCTATGTACGGAGTTCTTTCTTCTTCGGGCAAAACACGTTTGCGCAGAGGCAAGGAAAAAAGGAAAAGGGTCAGTTTGGAAAATTAATTAATGTGCCGGACTGACTATGTACTGCATTCTCGAGAGCAGTAGCAGCGCCAGTAGCAGCAGTAGAAGCTCTCGTATCAGCGAGAGAGTAGGTGTATTGAAAAGCTAATTAGACCTCGAGCTCGAAGGTATTGAAACATTGCGCCGGGGGTTAGCAGTCGCGTAGTGTACACACACATAAACACATACATCATGGGTGTATGTATAGTAGGTAGAGTTGCGCTACTGCTTCGATGTGTATGTATGTGGAAAATTCTCGGGATCGCCCTTTACCGGATCGGCCCTTATTAGCGCGTGTTCGACATACGCTGAATTTCATGCCGCGCGCACGCTGCTGCTGTACGCCGCTATGTTGTGTTCCGGCGGCGGGGGCGAAGGAGGGAGGGGAAGTATATAGAGATGCACGCACAAAAGAGACGAGAGAGGGAGCTATATATACTACACATCGCGCACGGAGATCCGATTAAATCGATGACTTGCCTGAAACGCGCCAGTTTTTTCTCTTTTCTATGCCTACACGCGGGGCGCATAGCACATGCACGGCAGCAGCAGCAGCGGCATACGGCGTATAAAGTAACGCGAAAAACATCGAAACGTCATTCGGACATCGCTACCGAGTCATTTTTTACAATTGGCGTGTTCGGCGCGCCGATTGATCTGGCGGGGGTGCAGCGCAGGTAATCTGTGCTGCTGCTGCTGCTGCTGCGTGCCTCGCGCCCTATAACGTACAACGGGCGATTTACACTGGCAGAGAAAAAAAATCCACGCTAAAATGCTTCGTTCTGCGCGTTGTGTACAGAATTCCGAGGCCGTTATATGAGTGAGCAGAGTGAAAAGAATGTTTTTTCGGACGAGCCCCCGATGATTTTTCGATGATTTATTTTCCCGGCGCTTCCTGCACACTGCGTACGCTTGTGTAACCTGTAAAGCGTATAATTCCTCTTTGGCTTTTTTCACTCTTTTACCTCGCTACTGCTACTAGCTCGGCTTCTACTCCTCCTCCTACCAACGTCGCGCGCCTCTTCTCCTAGTCTTTAACGCGAAAAATACATTTGGGCAAAGATTAATGCGATTACGATACTGTACAAGAGAGCGAGATTCAAAAAAGCTCGGCGTCGTTGGGTTGCTGCCGACCAAATAGACCAAAGCAAAGCACGCCGTAATATAATTTCGAGAAAGAGCATGGAATTTAAAAATTATTATACGTGCTCGTACTCGCGTGGGCGGCAGTAACGCAAAAAGTGCGTACGATTTATTTTTGTTTCTTTGTTTTTGTTTTTTTTTTCAGCACCTCGGCCGAGGCATTTCTCGCCTCTCTTTCTCTCTCCGGTACTTGCGAGCTCTCGCGCATAGAGTGCGGTACACATAAAACAGGACACGGTGGGTGCTCGAAACACATCGAAGAACACGCGGGGAATAGACGTAAGTAGATAACGCGAGCGAGTGAGCGACGGTTTTTTTGCGGTATTTCTTTTTCCCCGCTATATAGCTGCCAGCCTACGTACGCCCGCGCAGACACGTATAAACGTTATACCCATACATGTACGCGTACTCACAATAACAAACGCAACTTCAACCGCACAGCCGAGTCTATTTATTTTTCCGTGAATCCTCCCTCCACCCCCTGTAAGAACGATTATATACTTTTTGTCTCTCGCGCGATCTCGTATATAATACGGTATGTAGTATGGGTGCGTGAAAAAGCTCAAAAAATTAATGATGCCCCCGCAAGCGGAGCATTTTTCAAGTCCGACAGAATCAGACTTAGAATTCGTGAAAAAATAGAGGAAAAGCTCGGGCCATTTTCGCCCCAGAGTCACTCGTTATATACACGCGCGCACACACACATGCGCGCATACATAGTGTTTCTATTTAATGATGTCTAAATTGTCATGCGCGCGAAAAAAGTGAGGGTGTGTGTGTGTGTGTGCGTTGGCGAAAATTAAAAGCGCGCGAGCGAGCGTCCGAAGAAAGCGGGCGTGTGATGACAGGGGTGAAGAGAGAAAGAGAGAGAAAGTCGTTTGCTATTTCTTGTTCCGAGCTTCATTTCAGGCACCGCTTTGTTTCCGCTTCTCGTTTTTTCTTCTTCGTCGCAATTTTCCCCCTTTTTTCCCTTCTCTTTTTCGTTGCATTTCCATATACCTACCTACAGACACACACACGGCAACGGCGGCGGCGTCGGCGGCGTGTATAATATAAACCGTTTTACTTACAGCGCGCTCGCGACACCCTGAGCGCTTACCTGTGTACAGCTCGTGTGTGCGAGTGTGCGGCGGCGCATCGCGCGCAAAATTTTCGTTTTTACAGAAAATTAAAAGGAAAGCGCGACACAATGCCAGAAGATACGCATGATGTTATATTATTCATCATAAAGACATGCATTTTTTTCTTTTTTTTTTTTTCAACAAATGCGAGCGCGACTGAATGTAAGCGCCGGTAGCAAGCGACGATGCTTTTTCTCCGGCACCCGCGAATTAAATGAAAAAATTTTTCCTTCTTTGCGCTGAAAATTATGTCAAGTGATTGTATGAATAATAATCAGGGTTAACGAGGAAAGCTGCGGTGCTTTGTCTCTCTCTCTCTCTCTCTCTCTCTCTCTCATGCTCTCCTTTCTTTTTCTTCGACTTCGCGCGGTAGCATACGTCGTTTAAAACCTCGTTAAAAAAAAATGTAACGAACGACTCGACGTTGGCATTTTTTGTCCCGAAATTTTTCGAAACAACAACAACAAAATTAATAACACTTCGGCCAACTGCGGCAGCTTTAATAACGACGCGTCCCGATTTTAATTAGAATATCGGATATCGAGAGGATGGCGTATTATAGATTTTGGCGCGACGACGGCGGCGGCGGTCACCGCCGCTTATAATCGTGTACCGCGCGCGCGATGTAATATGCTTTGTGTGCACTATACTCGCTGGGCTCTCGGCTTTCCTCTTCTTTGACAAATATCCGATAATTAGACATGTTTCAGTTAAAGCATATATACACTCGTTAATTGCTTTGTTGTCTTGCGTAGGAATCGAGATTCGAGGAGCTCGCTTAGCGCTCCATCTGGTAAGTGTATGTCAGAAGGAACTGCGGCGTGACCATGTCTGTCTTTAATTCGACTGAGCTTAGCCCCATATTTTCGCTCAATTTTAAATTAATTTTTTTAAATTAATTAAATAAAATCAAAACTAGACTAATATTCAAATAATATATTTTTGTTACTCATGCTGGCTTAATTCATTTAATTAATTTTTTTATTCTTTACAATCAAATCGATAATTATTGAGCGAATATACAGACAAATCCGTTGTGGTACTCATATGGATACATCGCTAATGGTATCAAGAAACTCGCTTTGCACCTTCGACTGGTAAGAATGGCGAAAGATATTCGAAAATCCGATTGAGAACTGAAGACAACTCGGATCCAACAATACCCAAATTGCATCACTTTATTACGTTTAAGCAAATTAAACTTTTTGATACCACGTGAAAGATATTCCAAATCGATAAGTACTATTATCCTTACTACTGGCTCAAGGCATAACGCAATGCTGGTTCGTAAGTAATAGAATAATTCAATAATTGGTGACTGTTTAAATAAATTCTAGATAACCACCAAATCTAAGCACCAGAAGTGAAACCAGTGCAAACGAGAGAGAAAGACAGACGACGAAGTTACGAAGATATGAGCGTCAAGCTCACTCGTCTGCGTTACTTACCGCAATAGAGGGGGCACAATAGCACAGTCTTGATGCTATCGAACGCCGGCCAATCGCAGCGAGCGAAACGAACAAATACTACACTGAGAGTCTGCGAGACTAATATAAGGATATCGCCGTACGAACAAACGGACCCTCGCTCTTTACTTCACGGCAGACAGCTTGACCTCCCTTACCCAACTGATTCTCGTGTATTCTACAAAGTGAGGTTAATGAATGTAACAGCAGTTTTTGGTAATTTGATAATTCGTATTTCCTATAAGGATCTGGCATCGTGATTCATGTAGCAAGATAACCATTATTTTAACAGACAAAAGGCAGGTATATCGAGATCTCTCGTCTCTGGTCGTGTCTGGTCATATTTTTCTGCGTTTTAGGATTTAGACGGACGTCTTGCCATCATAAGGTTACGATGTCAGATTGTACCTATACCTTGCAATTTTGAGTAGTGACTGTGGTGACTGACAGCAGCTATTTTATCTAAAAAAAAATAAGCGAACGGAAACAAAAGCATATCGTTTTTTTTCAGGAATAATGAACCACATTGATTGATAAAAGATTTTTGGGCTTAAGATAAAGTTTCTTCATACGTTAATATGTCTGATTGTAAAAGAAAAAAACTCTTCAGTGTGATCAGCGATAAATGTTGGAAAGGCAAGGATGTCGAGGACCTTGCTTTTTCGCGTGTCAACGAAGAGTTTAAATATGTCACTGACAAAGACATAAATTGGATTTTAACACACGCCACGGTGAAAGGTGACTCTAGGATCATCAAGTATTTCGCTAAAACCAAGATAAAAGTCGGGACTGACGAACAAGCGGGACGAACGGCGATCCATGCCGCCATCGAAAACTATACTTCCGTTCGCCGAGGGTGCAGAGGCAACTTTAATCATTTGAAAAACATTCATTTGCTTCTCGATATCTATGATGAAACCAATTACAGAAATGATAAAGGTTTGAGCCATTTTCACGTGGCTTGTTTGGTTGGCAATGTTAAAGCCATGCAGAAATTTATTGATAGAGGAGTTGACGTAAATCTTCTATGCTGTTACGATGGTAAGCCAACAACACCACTACACTTGGCTATTGAATTGAAACAAATTGAAGCTGCAGATTTGCTGTTGAGAAATGGTGCAGATCCAAATGTTAGGGGAGAGGATGGCATGACACCTTTAAATTACCTCTACAACGACTCCATTTATCATGCATCTATATATGGTAATCAAGACTTCACATTTGAATCAACCTACCATTTGGATTGTAAAGATATTGTTATGGAATGTGACACATTTTTAAAAATTATACAACTTCTCATCAGTTACAAAAGCGATATCAATGCAAAAGATTGCCATGGTAACAGTGTACTCTTTAAATTTTTTCGCAAGCAGAATTATAAACATTTCTTTCACAAAAGGGCTTTGGAAATTCTGTTTCAAAATAATGTAGATGTAACAAATGTTGACCAATATGGTCAAACAATATTACATTTAGCTATTGCTAGAAATTGGGTAAGAATGAATCAGTCCTGTAAAGGTTCTGATTGGTATGAAGATGAAGTTATTGCCTATGTAATTGAACAATCTTTGAAATTAGGAGCCAAAGTAAATGCTTGCGATCACAATGGGAATACACCCTTAAATTTGGCAGTGTCCTACTGTGATTATAAAGCAGTTCAATTACTGTTAGAGTACAATGCTGATATACACACAGTCAATTTTCGAGGAGGATTTTTAGAACGTACAAATAAAATTCTTCGTAACTTAGAAACAACTCAAAATATTCTTGATATCATTCAACTACTGAAGAAAAAAGGATTTCAAATGAATGAAAGTCATGAACTGTTAGTATTACAATTTTTAATTGGATTTGATAACATATCTCAAGAATACAATCCACATGTTGTATTGGAATTGGGTAATGATTTTTATTATTTACTTCTAAAATGGGAAAATAATGGTAGTTTTTTTCAGGTTCGTTTAACATAATTCAAAATTATATTGACTCCTTTCTTAGAAAGCATGAAAGAAGTAAGAGTGATAAAAGAGATTTACATGATAGTATTTGTTGTTACCTTGATGCTTTAAAATTTGGGAAAATGTTTGTGAAAAGAAACGAATACAAGTGGCTTAAAGATATGGTAAAAAATTTACATAGAAGAATTCCAGAATCACAATTGGGATATACAGAAAATTATTGTCCTGAAGATGTTGAAAGTAGTGTAAAAAAAGCTAGAAAAACCAAGATCAATGATTGCACATCCCTTCTGGATCTCTGTACTTCTACTCCTGAAAAAACTTATGCGCTTTTGAAAAATTCAAATTACAAGAAGATGGTAAATGGAAAAGAGTTTACAAGAAAACATGATTTTCTGGCGGGAACTATTAAAGGTTACATTGCAAAAGGTTTAATTAGAAAATATTTTAAACAAACATCAATGAAATTTTTACAACTACTGACATCAAATCGATTACCAGTACTTTGCTGTGAAGAAATTGTTAATTATTTAGATAATTATGATTTATTATTAATCTGTGAGTTAGTTATGAATGAAATCTAATTAGTTTTTAACTCTATAAGTAAGACTCGACGATAATTTATATAAATAAATCATCATGATATATAAATTAATCATCGTTTACTTGTTAACTTAACAGTACTTAACAGTTGATTTTATATTTAATTCCATAATAAGAACTTTTTTGTTTTTGTGATTTGAAAAGTTTCCTAATTATTTTCTACTTGTTTTATTTTTTGAATCTGATAAATATTTTGTAATTAAAAAATTTTCATTATTATAAAATAATTATGCCTGTAATACATGTTATTTACAAGTTAATTTTTTAAGTTAATTCTCGTGAAAAAAATTAGTGCAAAATACACAATTATTCCATAACTTTTTGACGTCTCTCATTGAATGTATCAATTACTGCAATAATTTCCATTACCCAGCTACATTTGTTCGCGTCGAGATGCGTGGTTTTCACTTTTTCCACAATAGATTCGTGCGAGCGTATCATAATCATTTACGTTCTTAAAATTCTGATACTGAAAAAAAAATATTCAAGAATTATGGGTAGTTGCTCATTTGGAAAAATCACATCGATTTTGGTAGTCCGAATAGTTCTGAATCGTTGATTAAATCATTCACTGTTGCATAGTGGTATTATTGGGCAGACAAGACTTTTGTCAAACTATAAATATCTGGTATTTATCAAAGTAACCTCGTGTGATTGCCCAATCTAAAATTTTATATCAAAAAATTCGTCCTTCCACAGTGAAATCAATCGTGGCAAAATTGTTGCGGGTCTCTAAATAATTACGATATCCATAAATAATATCCTCTAGCACAAGTGCCAGAGAATAAGTACATAAACGTAGCCGAGTATTCTCGTAACAATATAATATCATATCTGCCGGGGCTAATATTCCATGTGCGCTTATACACGAATAGCGCATAGTTGCGTTTAACACGCCGAGGAAGGCCGAATACCTCTTGAGCTTTGTGTGTGTGCTTCGTGCCATGATTTTTGCACCCGATTCAGCTGCTTAGGGCCATGCTGGAGGAGCCTGAAAATAGTTTCGACCACTGCGGAATTCATCCGTATACGCGTGTATATAACTTACGTGCAGGAGTCGTGCGGCCGATCGAGGCCGTAAAGCAGCTTCGAGGGCCGTCCCGATCCATACTCGGGCGCGAATTACTCGTAAATGTTGTATACCGCCAGCTCTCGACGCAAAGTCGCGACGAATAAGTATGCCCTGCATCCGAGATATTCTCTTCGGCAGAGCAGTTCGCTCTATTGTTGTCTACTGCACGCGTTGTGCTTACGATATGCTTAGCGGGGACGTTCGTGCACGTGTTCCGATCTTGTACCATGATGATGCTCGCGGAAAGTACCGCATCGAGGTATTTCCGAACTTGATATATACATTCAAAGCTCAACTTTGATAATAACTCGTTAAAGTATGTTTTCGCTCTACATCGTGAGCTAGCTTTTGTGTGCTTATTCGACGCGCTGCTCGAGGCACAGCGATGCACATAGCGATCCTAGGTAAGGTGACGTGCCGTGTTTAGTGCGAAAAAAAAAAAAATAGAAAAGTCGTGTGACTTATTCTGTACGAGAACGAGCCATTGCCAATTATTCTTCGTAAATGAGTATCGGAATCGCTGTACCGACTCGCGAATGATTAACTCGTGAATGAAGCCCAAGTCGAGGGAGTTTTATTTGTTTATGCGAAAGAAAGCCGAGGAGAGACGAGGAGATGAGCAGCCAAGTAGTAGTACACGCTGCAACGGGGGGTGGGCGAACACTGCTGTAACCCCGTATAATTGGCGCTAATTATCCCCGCACGAAACATCGAGGAGCCCTTTAGTCGCATTTAACGCTTATGCTCCTCCTTGCTCGTTATATAACTGCGCGTGTATACGCCTCCGAGTCTCGAGTCATCATCTCGGCAACAGCAGCAGCAGCAGCTAAGACGCGAAATTTCAAACGCTTGGCACGCATTTACGCTTTGGTAAATTTCGTATATATACACTACATTTTACAGCGATCACGACCGCACATGAAAATAAAAACTTGATTAAATCAAAAGGCATTAAAATCATTCCGCAAGCTCCAGGAGACGCCGGCGGAGCGAGCTACGAACGATATACGCGTGCCTACAAAGACAGGACGGAAGATAAAAAAAAAGAAGAAGCATAGTGCTGCTCGTGAAAGTACCCGCGCGCGGGGCAAAGCAGCGTGAGAGTAGTAGCGGAAAAAAGGGTTGCGGAGAGAGAGAGAGAGAGAGAGAGAGAGGGAGAAGAGAGCAAGTGGAGAACGAATGTATATATACCCTAGCAAGAGATGCTATTCCAGAAAGGTTAAATATACTGCAGGGTGAGGCGAAAAAAAGCTGAAGAAGAAATCTAGCATGGAGCAAATTAATTAGCCGGAGCCGCTCGCGTCGCAACTACTCGTCGAATACGTATACAGCAATCTGCGATTCCAATGTTGCTGCTGCTGCACAAATATATATATATATGGTAATAGCTCGAGCTAGACGTGATGCTGCTACACAGAAGATGATACATATAGAAGAAGAAATCATTGGCGCAAGCTTGATGCGCGGCATCGTGTACGCTCGTATAGGCCGCCTTTGAAGTTTTAAGCTGTGCAGCGCATGAAATTCATACAGATGAATCCACGAGAGCACGTGTTCGACGTCGTGTTTTTTTTCTCTCTCTCTTTCTCCACACGCCCATTTTGACATTCAACGAGCTGCAATGAGAGGCCCCGACGACGTGCTAATTTGCAAATATAATTTTTCTGTTTCTTTCGCAGCCTAGAGCCGCCGTCGTTCGCTAAATTCTTTTAATTTTTCGCGGATCCCTCGGCTCTTTGCGCACACATACACGCGTTTACAGACAGACAGACAGACAGCGCGACTGTATATCGTCAGACTATGCAGATTCGTCCGTGGAAAATGTATTATAACTCGCTGCAGCATTGCTAATTTCAATCTACGCGCGAATCTTTTATGTTAACAGCGGGGCAAAAAAGGCGCGGCTTTCGTAGAGCCGTGTGTTTTAATGTTCCCAAAGCTAATTTTGAAAAAAGAATCCCTGTACCTCGCCGGTGTTATATAATGAGTGATTTGTATAATTGCGAGCGAACTGCCGCTGCTGAAAAACATCGCGAGCGCATCAATTAGATACGCCAGAGAAAAGCTCTGGGCTGCGCAATAATGTATAAAACGAGCCAACTTGCCCCGCTGCTGCCGCTGCTGCTTTTTTACATTTCAATGGGATGAGAAAGACGGAGCGAGATGCATTTAATGCAAGGCGTTTCAATGAAAAAAAGATGTGTAAGATCGAGGGTGTATAGCACCGATTCGAGTTTTATACGTAATATATGCATAATATGCAAACGGTGAAATTTGATTTATTGCCGTTGCTTATTCGAAATCTCGATGTAGGCTCCATCTTGAAATATAAAGTTTAAAAAAAATTAATAACCACGAATTTTTTAATAATAACGACTCGTTTCATATTGCTGGTACACAACTGGGAACTTAATGAAAAAGCGTAACATTATAAAAATACGCGTTACAGGGTACCTGAAAGTTTATGTGAAAACTCGTTTTCCAATACAATGATCGAGGCCGTCAGCCAGCCAACCAACCCAACCCAGCCCAGCCCCAGCATTTTTCGCGGCACATACTTAATAACAAAGCCATGGAACGCGTGAGTTTGTAAATGTGCTCGCGAAAGGGACTATGTACCGTATACGTATACCTACCTAACATACAATACATACACGTATAAATGCAGCGGTGTATTTTTTCCTTGCCTTCACGCCTAAGCCACACGACATAGTTCGGCGAGGGTGTTGGAGAGAGCGAACCGACGCGGAGGAGTAGGAGGAGGAGGAGGAGGAAGAGTTTAATTAAAAAAGTCTCAGAGACTGTATAGGGTCATATACTTGCAGATACGTATACCTACCCCCGCACGCTCACACACAGAGTAACCAAGCGAATGCTGGCAAATATACGTACGTTTATGCTATATAAGGCCGAGGTAAAGGTCCAGTTGGCTAAGCAACGGTTACACGTACACACGCACAGAAGCTTCGGCACATGCAAGAAAGCGTCGATATTTAAACCTGCCGCGCTTGTGTTATATACGCGCGAGAGAGACGACGATGCTATATATATGAGGGGGTTGAAGTGTGCCGTTGCTCTCTCTCTCTCTCTTTCTCTCCCAAGCCCGGCTACGCTGATTTTTAATTACAGCAGTCAGTGTGTGTGTGTGTGTGGGTGGATGGGTGTTGTGTATAGTAAGCTAGTTAATTAATCGGATTCTGCACTCAGGTTGTATACATATACAGCCTCTTTATTTAAACTTTTCGTGCCCGCTTTATATATAGGTATACGCACTCTCTCGGGCGTGGCTTCATATTTGTTTCTAGTTCCTGGGGCCAGAGGGGTGCAAACGGCTAATTTTGTTTCCATGAACCCGTCCGCAGGTTTTTAAAGTTCATTTTAGGCCCTCGAAAATAAATCAATCAAACGGAGAAAAAATCGACTTCTACCGAAATATCATCACCAAGTCCTAAATTTTCGCAAGTTCTCGCAAATGTTATTTGAGTAACTAAGAGTGCGCAAATCTTATATTTCGAGTTTGTTTTTGTTGTAGAAAGACATATTAGATCGTTAGTGTATCATAAAAAATCAAAGTAGTTTAGAACCGTAAAAAAATTTCATCTAAACGAGGTGTCATGGTAATCATGTGCTTATCAATAGGACAATCAAAATTCATCTTTTAAAATTAAATTTGTTTTATTGAAAATATGGTTCATTAATCAATACTAAACAATTAAAAAACACTGCAAGTATACAATTATCACAAACGCTAGCTTTGAATTTCATTGGCCAAGCAAATATTACACAAATCTTTGTTCGCCAGCCACTCGACGATCATGTCGCAACAGAGAAGCGGCAGTCGGTGGTGTATCAGTTCCCAGAAACAATCGATTGCCCAGCCCAGTAAAAATATCCTTGTAATTTTCTCGCACAGGTGCAATGCACAAGCCTCAATATGTCTTTGGCGAAGCCTTCCCAATTTCTTTGAGCGCGCGAATTTTAAACAGTCCGCATATGTGACTAGTTTCACCGCCTCTTTGGGTCGTAACTGAATCAGATCGTAGAGCGACAGATTTGGATCGTCGTCTCTTATCATTATCTCTTTGGCTTTACTTTTGAACTTATTATCGTCGCGCCAAAATTTGTCGTGATTCTCCGACTTCTCGAACAATTGGTATTTGGCAAAATATTTTACGACCGCGAGGGCGTCGCTTCGGTACAGTTCGTATCCTCCTTTTTCGAGACTCTCGACGACTGCCATAACGATAGACGCCCATTTAAATTTAACATTAGGACACGTAAAATGATTCCTAGAATAATTCACAGCGGGAAAAGCGAAAGTAGACAGATCGGCACCATGAACCAGTAGAAGCTCGACCGCATTCAACTTGAAATTTGACACAGCCCATTGAAGTGGTGTCAGACCCAATCTGTCCACAACCTCGATCTGCACCGGCTGATGTCTTTCTCCAGCGATCTCGAAGAACATCTCCACCATGTCGCTATCCTTTTCCTCTTTGCAAATAAGATGTAGAGGCGTCGAACCTTCTACGTTGAATGAATTTGGATCGGCGCCATTCCTCAGCAGCAATTCCACCATCCTCTTGTTATCCAAGTACAGAGCCAAGTGCAACGGTGTGTTACCGTCGATGTTCTGGGCATTGATTGGGACCGTTACATTTTCCTCGCCGCAGATTTGGAATAACAACTCCGCCAATTTGTACAGACCCTTGTACTCGCAAATGATGTGTAGAGGCGTAGATCCACGCGCGTTAGTCAAATTCACATCGGCGCCTCTTCTCATTAGCAATTCGGCATTGTCGCGTCCATTGTGGAGCAGAGCTTCGTGCAGCGGTGTGTTACCCTCTTTGTCCTGAGCGTCGATGCGCAGCGGCTTGTATCGGTCGTGACTGCGCTCGAATAACATCCTCGCTGTGGCACCGTTGTCACGGTACATCCGGCAAATTATGTGCAAAGGGGTCAATCCTTTTGCATTGGTTGAATTTGGGTTGGCGCCTCTTGCTAACAGCAGTTCGGACCCCTTCCTGTTTCTGTGGTGCAAAGCCAAGTGCAATGGCGTGTTACCTTCCTCGTTTGGGACATTCACCTGCATCGGATGATGTTTTTGGTCGCAAATGTCGAAGAACGATTCAATCCAGTTTATATCGGGATTCATCTTGGAAATAAGATGCAGAGGAGTCTGTCCTCCTGCGTTGATCACATTGGGATTGGCTCCTCTCTTCAGCAGCAATTCAGCTACCCTCTTTTTATCGTGGAACAGAGCCAAGTGCAGCGGCGTGTTGCCGTCCTTGTCTTGGGCATCGATTTGCAACGGCTGATATTTTTTCTGGCTCAGCTCGAATACCATTTCCGCAAAGTCATCTAGCCACAATCTTTTGCCAATGATGTGCAGAGCCGTAGATCCCTCTTTATTGGTCACATTTGGATCTGCGCCGCTTCGAAGCAACAATTCGAACACGTTTCTGTAGTTATAAAGGAGGACCCGGAGTAGCGGTGTGTTACCTAATGAGTCCTGTACATTGAGTTCCACCGGTTTATGCATGGAGCTGATCTCGATCAACATCTCCACCAAGTTATAATTGTCCCAGTTACCCTGGCAAATAACTTGCAATGGACTCAATCCTTTCGCGTTGCCCACATTCGGATCGGCGCCGTTTTCCAGCAGTACTCGAATACTATGTTCTTTACAGCTTTCGGTCACAGCGTAATGCAAGGGTGTTTGGCCCAACTTGTCCTTGGTGTCGACCAACACCGGCTGATATTTTTCCTGACTGTACTTGAATAATACCTCCGCCAAGTCGTGATCGTCGCTGTGACTTTTGCAAATGATATGCAAAGCTGTCAATCCCTGTTCATTGGGGAAATTTGGGTTGGCTCCATTTTCCAGCAGTACTCGAATACTCTCTTTTTGACAGCTTTTAGTCACAGCGTAGTGTAAGGGTGTTCGGCCCAAATTGTCCTTGGCGTCGACCAACACCGGATGATATTTTTTCCGACTGTACTTGAATAATATCCTCGCCAAGTCATGATCGTCGCTGTGACTTTTGCAAATGATATGCAAAGCTGTCAATCCCCGTGCATCGGTTAAATTTGGGTCGGCTCCTTTTTTCAGCAGCAATCGTACCGTACTCTTACATTTGTTGTTGAGAGCCACGTGTAGCAACGGTTCAGCTGACCTCGCGCCCCACTTTCGAACGAGGCCATTGGGATCCTGGCCGAGCTCGAGGAATTTCTCTACGATGTCATCACAGCCAAACTCGACAGCCGCATGATAATGCGTGTATCCTAATTCGTCGGTGTAATTTACATTGTCATACACTTTAAAAAGTTCACGGACGATGCAGTAGCTCTTGAATCGAGCCGCGTGGTGCACCGGCGTTGTGCGATGGCACAGTGGCTTACCTTCTTCATCGAGTTCGGGCTCATGTTTGTAACCGCTGCCAACGACCAAGTGGAGAAATCGTGCTTTTTGAAAATCATTTGCAGCTCCCAAATGGCTTATTGAATCAGAAAGAAGACGCTCGATTTCGTCATTTTGAAAAATTTCTCGAAGATTCGGAAATTGGCCGTTCCATTCTTTTATCCAAGGATCAATATGCTGGAGAAATTTATATCGCTCTCGTTCGTCATCCAAATTGAAATCTTTTCGTAAGCTTTTCACTTTTTCGATTTTTTCTTGGTTATCGAAATTTACGTTGAATTCGGCATCGAACATTATTTCACTTTTTCACCCACAAAAGCAGTCACTGTTATAATTTAAAATTTCAATTTTATTCACAAAAATGACCAACTGCGATTGATGTCACCTTTCACCTGTGTACACTGGATTGTCGTAACGTGCGCTGGCTAGCTACACGTGCACTACGATTTATATATTAGCAAGTAACGAACACACGGCCGAAGCACTATAATAAGCAAAACAAGAAGCGCGACTGTGCAGTAACGTGAGTGGTTAGAAAACGTAATTACAGCGTGGGGAAGCCACTCGTGCGTATAACATAGGTATCAATAATTGTAATATTTTACGCGGCTAAGTGTATGTATGCGAGATATGTAAAATATACATAGCCTCTACTTCGCTGGACTGATGCCTATTAATTACTATTGAACTACACTGCTATGACTAAACCTATCGACTGTTTGATCGAGCAGTCGACACGAACACGCGGCACACGTGCAGGCTGCCTCTAGTCTACATAGAGCGTGGCGCAAAAACGCAGAGTAAATATCGTAAGCGCGAAACGCGGAATTGGGAGATACCAAAAGCTCAAACTCCAATATATATTGAACGTGTATGAGGTGATGTTCTGAAAAATTATTTTAAAGTTGGTATCTACCAATTCCGCGTTTCGCACATACGACATTTACTCTGCCACGGGCAAAAACGCAGCCAGAACGCTCTATGTAGAGGCAGCCGCAAGAAATGACTCGCACAAACATGACGTGGAGTCGTTGAGTTGCAATTAGACTGCTTACACCGAATTGGAATTGAGCAGGACTGTGGAATAGTGAGCATCGACCGCGCGCCAACTTTAAATCGACCCTAGCTTTATTTACGCTAAATGTATTAAAAATTGAAATTTGCGTAGTATATCTCGAGCACAATCGCGTTGACTGGGGTTCAGATTGTTTACTATAGTCTCATTGAGACACCAAGATATTCTTTTGAAGGAACTCAAAATCTATTTTTATGAATTTTAAAATGACTTATCCGAAGTAGTAACTTTTCCAAGCTTGACTTGAAAAAATTTCTACGTATTGCGATCAATTCCCATTTCCATATGGATATTTTGACTTTTGACCATCTTAAGAATCTTTAAAGAAGTTAAACTTCTTAAAAATTAATTAACTGAAAACATCAAAGTATGAAAGAAGAAAAATCTTTAAAAATTTAAAGAAAATGATAAAAAATAGTCTTGAAAAAATGTTCAAAAATTGTAGTTCAAGCGAGTAAAAACCCGCTGCCAATTTATTGGCAAAAAGCTTCTTCATAAAAAATTATATTAATGAAAGGGTTAAATATTTAGAGGAAAAATTCGTATTCCATTTTTGACTTTTGAATTCCGTTTTCATTTTTGTATACGAAACTCAAAAAAAACTTAGAGATTTCTGGAATATCATGTAAGATTCCCTTGCCTGCCACTACACAGAAAAGTGAATTAACTTGTTTTTCGGGTTTGGCTCTTATACCAAAGAATTATCCTACGATTTGTCCACCTCCCTCATCCTTCATTTGGGTTAAAAGAAATATATTTTTATCAGTCGATAGAAAGACAAAGGAAATAAATTTCAAATTCGTAATTTTTGCGTGCTATGATATCGAAATAATATTTATTTTTAAGTTGAATCAATATTTTATAATGCATACAGTTTCATTTCAAATTTTTAATTATTCAATGGTGATGTCTGAACAAGTTCTAAACGTCTCTTGATTGCCAGTTAATGGTATATTATTACCACAATGATAATGCCATCTTAGTACACAACGTTTGCATCTGACATTTGGTGGCAAAAAACCCGAAATATTGACGATTCCGTATAAATTTTCACTTACTGGAAACTGTCGTTTACCGTTTTTCAAGTAGATTGGATGAGCATTGAAACATTCTTCCGTTTCCAAATCTTGAGGCGAGTTTAGAGGACATAAGGAAAACTCAAAATATCCCTTGTGATTGGCAGTGATTTCTACTTGCAATTGTATTGGACCGCCTGCTTGATATCTATGTTGATAAGATAAAAATTTCAATAAAAAACTTAGAAACAAACACATTTTTTTGTTCAAATACAATACTGATTTCGTTACTAAGTTTTTCAAATATACATTTTTGCACTCAAGCTTTTAATCAAATTTTATGAATGATGAATTTATGAAAAATGAGAAATTAGAAAAAAAAATAGCACGACTGACCTGAGTAATGGCTAAAATGGTTAGAGTATTAAAAAAATTCTATTAATAAATTCTGATCAATCAGGATAACCAAGAAGTACAGAATAGTGAAATAATTTGTAACCAGCATTCAAAGTGTTTACCTTCTCACAATAACACCACGTCCATATTTGCCACCATTTTCATTAGGTCTTGGTCTGGGAAGAGAAAAATCGTCTCCACACACTCCACACTGTCCTCTGTTATAACCATATTGTTTCTAAAAGCATAATCGTTGAAATATATATTCGATAATTTAAATATTAAAATTCATTCGTATTAAATGAAAAGTTAACACTTACACCAAATCCTCCACAGTTATTACCCATGTCATCATAATTTGCTGGCACAGGGAATCGTTTTCTCCACGCTGACCCTCTGTTCACTGGATCCATTAGTCTTCCGTGGGCATTGGTTCGAGTAGGAAACCAATGAATAACCACAATACAAGCCCAAATAATGAGCTTCACCATGGTTGTGTTCATATACATGGCTTAAAACGAAACAAAAACTCTCAATTTTTGTTTCAAATAAAATCCTGCATCAGCAATGTGAATTTTATTCGAAGAAATATATTGCGTGATACCGAATATCAGCTGGCGCGGTTCATCGAAAATATAATCCAACAATGATAAAAAAGCCTTTTATATCTTACTTTTTAATGTCACCCTATCAACGTATGACTCATGACGCGCTTTAGAATATTTATAGATAATTAGTTTAGTAATGTTTTCACGTACTTCGTGATATTCAAAGTTGTTTTATTTTTGCTAATATATGATTACATACAGTTGTACAAGTGTTTCTTAAACCATATTTTAGTTCCAGCTCATAACATGTGTATAATTTTACTTTGTCCAATGAAGATCTAATTGTATTCTGTTTAATTTATGCATACCATGAGTTAGTATATTCAGTGAATCTACTTAAAACAATGTAATTGTTATCATACAATTATACTGTACTGCCGAGAAAAAATTGTGAATATTTTTTCAAGTATTATTCTGCTTTATTCAGAAAATTCCCCCTATTCAATTGAATGTAAGCTAATGCTGTGAATATAAAGACAACAGCAATAAGTATGAAATCAATAAAAGTAGCTAACAATAACCATTCTAGTCTCATCACATTTCTTGATTAAGAAATGATCGATTGTTCATCTCCATGGGTATGAATTGATAAAATTGATGTGTCTGTGGCATAATTATCTTGCCGAAGATCTGAAAATTTCTGATTTTCGATCTAGAAAAGAAATGACAAAGAAAATGAGATAATTAATAAATAAATAAAATTAAAGAAATCAATAATGATTTTTTTAATTATCATACTAATCCGATTTTTCACAAAAAAATACAACATATTATTACATCATTACGCACCTCATTGATTACATTGCATAATCCAAAATATCTTCCAGACCGATCATCAGTATCGATTTTATTCGTTTTATTGTAGAAATATGAATGACAAAACTTTATATAATCATAGAAATTGTTACTTGTAGTAAACCATCAAGAAAAATTATCAATCATGAAATATTTATTTTTATTTGAAATTTGTAATAGTTAAAATAATTCAAAAGATGCAATTAAAAAAAATACCTATTAGTGTCATACTTTCAATTTTTGGTGGTATTTTAAGACCAAAATACAGTGAAATCTCTCTATAGTGGACACTCTGTAGTGAAATTTCTCTATAGTGGACACTCTACAGTGAAATCTCTCTATAGTGGACACCCATAAAATCTGGAAAACTGTCCGCTATTCGGAAGAATACGAAGTGAGGAAATATGAAAAAAGAAGAACATTTTTAACTACATGTATAACATAATTAAAATATTAATAATGATCGATCGCACAAATATTCAGTACCAACTTTATTTCACATTGCGGCTTCAACCAAAAAGTTATTAAGACCATGAATAAAATCGCTGAAAGAATCAAAGTAAAAGTTCAGTAAACTAACAATACAGTATCATTTTAAATAAGTTACTTACGTATTGGTACAATGAATACAAAATGGAGTTCCATTCTGAAATCCTTGATATTTTGAAATAATAATCTGAAATAATGTAAGGTTCTGGACAGCAAGAATATATATATGCATTATTCGATGTGCTGAAATATTTAGAATTTTCCATTCCCCGCCGGTATAATACTGTAGCTATGTAAATTCATTATACAACATATTTATCATATTTTAATAGATTTCATTACTGCTAATGAGGTACTTTTTTACATACATCATATCCTTTATTTTTAAATTTCACGTTAATTTACAGTAATTGTAAAAAATAGTTGATGCGATTGAAGTTACTTTTCCGACATAGTGTACAATGCATTGTCTTCTTTTCCAATCTTCAGTTTCATGGAGAGCACTGTAAATGAAATAATAAAAATAATAAAATTTTTTTTTGAAAAAAAAAATTGAAACTTTTTTGAACTTTGAGTACCTATTGTAAAGATTAGGTAACCACAACTCGTGGAGTCAAAGTGTTAAATCTTTAATGCCTCCATAGTTCTCCGGTCTGCATTTTAATTTCGCATCATTCCAATTCTGTTATAAGTTCAAAAAATTAATTTTTCCAAAACTTATAATTTTGTTTTTCGTTTAATAAATATAGAATACACTTCACCAAACGCACCTAAGAATTAACAGTCATCATACTTTTTTTACTATCCTGCCGAAAGCAAAAACAATATGCAAGGTGAAAAATGTACAATATTGAAAAAAAACTGTATGATAAAACCTAAGATTTCAACGTGAAATATGCTGTGGTGGATAAAGTAGTTCATCATGTCTCAATTTATCAACCCAACTTTCATTTTTGGAAGGTGGAATTTCTGTGAAAATTCGATCGATGCATTTTAAAAATATATTCAAACGAGATCTTTTTTAAAATATCATACAATCATTTTTTAATTCAATAGCCAGTATTTCATACAGACATTGTGCATCTTTCATTCGAAGAAGACTTATAAGCGCATATTAAACTTCACGCGAAAAGTTAACAGTTTACAAGTGGATAACCGATGTCATGATATTATTCAATTTATTTTTCATCTGAAGTAATATTTTGCATTCATAGTAACTGCAAAGGCCACTCAAAATTAAATTTACTAGAATGATTAAAATGATTTAATCTGAAAAACAAACGTTGTTTTCAAATTTATATGTCACTGAGCACTGTGATTAGATTGAGTGTAATCAAGTATTATCGAACTTGTTTGCACAATTGTTTCGAATGAAAAATATTCAAAGTGAAAAAGTGAAAAAACCCTGGTTAAAAAACTAGAACTGTAAACATTGTCAAATTAACTTGAGACATTAGACGTGGATACCGTTTGAGCTAATAGAGGCCGCATAAAACCGAAATAAAATTTGTTGGTAATTCAATGTAGTTTCCAAATATGTAACCCAAAATTTCCTACGACGTCTGGTTCCAAATCTCATTTTCAAGCCTATCACATAACTTTCTGTACGAAGAAGCAAAATTTAATTGAAAAACAAAAATTCAAAATCAAGGAAATTTTATCATAGAAAAGGACTCTGGAGTTTCTTTCTCATTAATCTCGATACGTAGATATTACTAGTAAATTAAATCCATTCACGCGTAATTTTAAGCGAGAAATTTACTTGATATGTTTTATAGGAAAAAAATCATTCAAATTTTTAATCTAAACTTTGAGCTGGTTTGTATAGGAGTAATGAGAAATAAGCGACGACCAAATTAAGGATCTGCAAGAGATCGACCTACGATACGCTCAATTTTGTGAACTACAAGGCATCTGCGTAGTACAGCCGCGACGACTGCATCGCTGTTTTTACGAGAGACGCGTCTTTGTCGTGTATCCTCGGTCGAATTCGAGCGAGTGCATATTTAGTGCGTCTAAAAGCCGAAATTCACGTATGCCGGCAAATCCAAGATACGCATGGTATTTTGAAAGGTATCGATCAGGAGCCGGATTCGCGTATAGCTCTGAGAAATGTCCAAATTTCCTGCGCTGCGAATCATAGCCCTCGTTAGAGCTTGTTTCAATTTTTTTCTTTCTCTCCCTCCCTACTTTTTATCGCAAATGGTAATTGGGGTGTCTGCGCGCAGGTAAACCCAGCCGTCAGCAGAGAGAGAGAGAGAGAGAGATCGGCGCGCAACGAGCAGCAGTAGCACATCCGTCGATGGCTGGCGCGTTGCGTCTCGCACGTCGCTAACTAACCGTATCTCTCTCTCCCTCTCTCGTTCTCTTTCTCCGTCTCGCATGTCTCCATGTATGTACAAGCATGTGTGCGCGTAGATCCATGTGTGTATGTGTGCCGTGTGTGGCAGAGGGTCTAAATCGTAAACGTGACCGTGGAACGTCACGACTCGGGCCGGTCACGCGTGCATCACGTCGGCCCACTGTCTACACATGCACACACACACTTACACACACACACACACACACAAAAGTACACATAGGGATCGAGTACAACGTGAACGCATGGGTCATTCCGCACACTTACAGCTACAGCCAAGGTGGGTATATGTGCATCGATACAATTAATGCCATCATTCCAGGCTCTACCAATATAAGCTTATTAGCGGCCCAACACCATTGGTCACCTTATCAGTATTAGTGAGCGCCATAAGCTGCAGGCCACGATGTTTTGTAACTTATTTTTTCGTGCGTCTATATCCACGTTGATCAGTCGATCACAGCTTTGAGACTCGAAAACTCAGTCTTTCGGTGAATTAAAAATGCATATCCCTTATGTGTTTTTAGTCGGGAAAGAAGGTGTTCGGTGTGCTTCGCGAGCTTTCAGCTAAATTAGCGAAACGCGTCGCGTAGGTCATTATACGATTGGAATTGAAAATTAGTTAAATACCCAAAGTAGACCTTCGCGAACGAGGCAGGGATTAAATCGCCTGTTGATTGACGAACGGCTATAAGTACGCGTAAAAAATTACACGAGTTAATACTTATTTGAAGGATGGATTTTTTTCAATTCTTAAAAGCTCCTGATTGACCGAGAGGTTGTTCACTCGCATACAGTCGCGACTGTATGTAACGATATAAAATGGAGAAAAATAATAAAAAAGGAAAAAATATATTCATGCAAGCCCGTGGGTGAAAGCTCGAAAGGTCGTGCACACGCGTACAGATATAAATGAGCCGCAAATAAAAATGCCTCGTAACGAAAAAAAACGGAAGCCACGCGCGAAACGCGGTTGACACGCAGCAGCAGTAAGCAGTTTAGCTCGCCCGAATATCCCCGCGCAGTGCAATTGTCTCTCTCTCTCTCTCTCTCTCTATACATATAAATACGATTCCACGCCGCTGTTGTGTTGGTGCTTTCTCTGTCTAAACATCTATTCTCTTCATTTGCGATACGCAATGGGGGAGGGGCCGATCGCTAACAATTCACCGGTGAGCTTGATGGATCGCGCAAAAGCAGGAGGGGAAGCGAGCAGCCCTGCAGCCCACCCTTATTTAGATCTCGTTCACTCGCGAGCTCGGTACGCTGTATACGTGATAGTGTTTCTCTGCGTATGTGTATGTGTGTGTGCTCGTATACCGACAAAAGGCAACGAAGCAAAGTAGCAATAAATAACCCAACTTTCCACCCTCTTTCAGCGTTTCTATTTCGTATACGTGTCCTCCCACGCGCGGCTTATCAACTCCGCTCTCTCTCTCTCTCTTTCTCTCTCATTCCGGAGCTGTATACGTTAGCTTCTGCTCTGCGCGAATGGGACTTTGTTGTATATAAGCGAGACTCTCGAGCTGGCCGTAAATTAGCGCTCTTGGATTTACGCACTGATTGCAGCCTATTAAAGCTCCTCGCGAACGACGATCGATTAATCGATCCGCGCACGCGTCTTGGACGCCACTGCGGGAGCTTTTTTTGTTAACATTACTGCACTTTCCATCGCCGATTCTCCAAAATCCGTACCTTTTTTTGTGCGAAAGACGCCCGACGAGTCGTAAAAGTGCGAATCGATATATATATATGTAAGAGAGGATTTGGCCTAGCAATCTTCGAGAGAATTGTAAAAGTCTTTGGATGTCTCTCGGCTATCGACACGTCCGGCTTAGCTTGCGCGAGCGTTCAAAGGTCGAAAGCTTCTCTGGTATCGCAGATCAGCGGCAACAGCAGCAAGCAGCATAGTAGCAGATCTCGGCGAGCTGTACTAGCGGTTACGCCAACTAATTATTTAGCTGCCGTATACGACGATCCGATATCGCGATCTTTTCCCCTTCTTTCCCTCTATCTCTCTTTTCTTTTTATCTTTCCGAGATCTCATGCAAATAAGAGTGCGGAACAGAGCAAGAGACAGAGAGAGAGAGAGAGAAGTAAACCGGCCCAGACCATGTATGCAAAATCAGCAGTTTGGGTAATAAAATCCCTCGCACTGCAAGAGCACATTGTTTTAAGCTTTACGCTTAAAATCCAATCGGAAAGCTCCGTTGTCGTCGTAGTCGTGTTAGTTTTTTTTTTTTTTTTTGGTGCCACACAGATCGCAACAGTCGGCACACGGGATTTTCGCGCGCGAGCGACTCGACCACGCCTGTCTTGTGTTCGCCAAATCGAGGGATAAAACTATATGGTTAACTCGGCTGCTGCTGCTCTCTTTTTCTACCTTACGTCTCAATTTTATCGTCGAACGATCTGTCGCTTTTTCCTTTCGTCGTCGTCGTCGTCTGCGGCACACGAGAGATCACCTATCGACGGATGCTACGGACAGTGGTTCGGCACAGGCCACATAGTTTGCCCTCTGCAGGCAGATCGAAAGAGCAGAGAGAGAGAGAGAGACTTTAGTGGCGATTGTAATCCGATGGATTTTTCTCGCTCGCTAAGCGCTGACTTTTATATACCGCTGCACCGAGTCTCGCTCAGTTTTTTTTCCTGTCGATGCTATGCTCCATTATCCGCGCCCACATATGTGATTGCGCGCATGGATCCTGTAAAAAAAGAAGACGAAGAACGAAGAAATTGGAGATCGAGTTGCGCACTTTTTTTATACAGTGTGCCAAAAGTCTTTGAATCGACTGTGCCACTCTGAGCTTCCAGAATCAACGATAAGGATTGTATAAGCGTTTACCAGGTCGATTAAGGAGATCGGCGCACGGGCCTCCGTAACAGCGACGAGACTTCAAAGCCACAGATCGATAATTAGGATATAGGCCGCTTCAACTCGCACACAAAGCAACGCATAATATAATTAATGTACACGAGGAGGCGGCTATACCCAAACAACTCCGGCACACACATATAGCTTTTTTTGCCTTTATACGCGAGTTGCTATAACAGTCTTTCTCTTTCTGCGTCTCTGCATGCGTCGAGCGTATATAACGCAGCAACTACTCGGGTGCGCGCAACGCGCAGAGAGAGAGAGAGAGAGAACCCGACGCACCGAATGTGAGGCCAGAGAACAGCAACAGAGAGGCAAAACTGTCCACTAACGAGCGACAGACGATATCGTTCATCTTTTGTTCCGTTTTAAGTATGCGCCACTAATTATGCCCAGCGCCAGTAATTACTATCGTGTTACCGGAGACTCATTTCCGACGTTGAGCTGGAGAGAGAGAGAGAGGGAGGGAGGGTTGCGAGGTGGAGGCGCCAAGGGGGAAAAAGCGTGGAACGCGCAGCGAGAGGAAAGCTCCGCTCGCACGCTGCCCCCGAGGCCTCAAACATCCCTCTTCGAGTTGATATGATAACGGTTTTATATATAAAAACGCGTCTCATCTCCTTTTTTTTCTATACCTATATATTTTTTCAATCTGTCATCGCTCGTGTTTCTTCTCGATCGGACTTATATGAATCGGCTCAAGGCTTATATAAATCAATGAATCACTGATTGACGAACGACAATGTTTTAGTAAACATTTTTATTTTTCTTTTACTTTTCATAATACAAACATTTGATCCCGATTTCACAATTACAAAAAAAAGTATTTATACATTTTTGTCGAAATTCAGCTCATCGTTACCAAACACTACGTACCAATAAAATTAAAATGATTTTTCGTGTAGAACAATTCTTCAAACGATTAATAGAGCTATAGTCGCTCTACCATAATAATCGCAATAAAAATCATAATTACTGGGAAAATGATTATAGACCCTTATTGCTTCCTAACTTTTGCATCAGTCAAAACATTTAATATATGCAAACTGCTACACACGCTCTAAACATAAAAACAGACTACGCTTGTAACCTTTTGTTTATCGTTAAAAGCTTAACCATAATATATTCAATTTGCTAAAAATACCTAATAAACATTATACAAATTTTCAATGAAGAACAACTCACAAGAGTTTTAAATAGTAATTTTTTTAATCACGCGTGACCTTACAATCAAAATTTTCACTCGATGAAAATTAACTTTCCAAGCAACGCTACGTATTAAAATAAAATCACCGACCTTACATGCGTCATATAAAATGAATAAAATTTCGTTTTAAAAAAAGGACAGATAAATAAAATTTCCCAGACTGTAAATTATGATTATGCTCTCCTAATGGTGCGTACATATTCATGTTACGCGCTCTTTATTTCTCTTTTCTGTCGAGCCGGACAAGTCGAGGCTTGACATTTCTCTCTCGTTGACGTATTTTTTCATGTATGGTTGTGTTCACGGTACGGTTTAAACACGAAAGCTAGCATACTATCACTAAATCTGAGCGCATGAACAAGTTCATTCATTATTTAGCCGCTATTTGAAAAAATCCATAACCAACAACTTCAACAAAATACAAGTTGAATTAAATGAAACAAACTCATAAGAATAAGTTACAGATAATTATTACTACTCGTGAGAAATTAGTTGATTTTTTTCGTAATTTTAAGGCACGTATACATCATTTACGCGTAAATATGTTTTTAGAGTAATCGCACAAGATTACGAAATTAATTAGAAAGCATCTTATTCTATTGCTAATAACTACGGTTAGTATAAAAATAACGTGATTAATCCTTGATAATAGAACAATTCATCATGGAAAATCGTGGAGGTGTTTTCCAAATGGCACTCGATGAGCGTTTAAGTTTTTTAGGATCGATACCTGTGAACAGTTCTCTTAAATCTGGCGTACATTTTTTCGAGTCAAAATATCTTAAAACAGATCTCATTGGGACAAATTGTTGCATTGCCAATTGAGCTTGCCGTACATGTTCTGTAATAGAATAAAAATCGATTTTATAAATATATTCTTTTCAATTAAATGCATTGAATATTTAAAATGTTCATACTTGTAGCCCAGCGGGGAATTTCATGTTTTGGTTTGCTCTCATCATCTGATTCCTCTTCGTCAGGATCACTATCCATCTTATAATTTGTTGGCATGTGCTTTTGAGCAATCGCTTTGGCCTGATGAATATAAATATTTAATATTATATTTCGCAGTCATTATTTATGCGAAAAGAATTTTAACGTAAATAGTGTTATGAAAACAAAATTATAATGAATTATTTAAGTTTCTTAAATACGCTATTATATTCTTTACGCATACGGTCACCGAACAGATATATCTTATTTCGTATATTTTTTAATCTGCATTGATTTATAATAATTAATTACCTTTGCTTGCATCAAAGCTTTTTCCATTTGGTTTTTCATTTTCATTTCTTGCATAAGTCTACGTTTTTCCATTTCTTGTTCTCGTCGCTTTTGTTCAGCTAGAATCCTTTCTTGCTCATCTTGCTCTTGTAAACGTTGATTGCGCAATAGTTCTTCTTGCCTTCGTCTTTCTTCTTTTTCCTGCATCACAAGTAAGTATTAGATAAAAAGTTAATTTTGCTATATCGTTTATTTAAATGATCTCAATTATTACTTGAGCCCTCAGCAACTGAGCTAATTTCTTTTTCTCCATTTCTTCGCGTTGTTTTTCTTGCATCAATTGAGCAAGTTTTGCTTTTTCTTCGCGTTCCTTTTCAGCCTTCAATCTTTTTTCTTGTTCCAATTTTTCTTTTGCTTCCCTGGCTAATTTGTTTTTAAGTTCTTTTTCCTCGCGTTTTCTAAAATATGTTCATTTTAGTACTTTTATTTATCTCAAACATGTATTATAAAGTTACCGTCTTTTTTCTTCTGCTGCAGCCTTCAGTAATTCATCACGCTTACGCCGGGCATCTTCTTCATGAGCTCGTCTTCTTTTTTCTTCAGCTACCCTGTCGATAGTCTTCTGAGCAGACTTTGTCGATGATTGAATAAATGAATCCACATGTGTAACAATATTTCGAGAAGATGTCATGGGTTTAGTATACTAATATTATGGAAACAAAAATACAATATAAAATTGTTGCAATGAATTTTTGAAAGTTTAAAAAAGGAATATAAATATAATACCGCATTATGAGGCTGTGGATTAGATGGTGTAGCAAACTGATTTTTAACAGCAGATCCTGGCAACTGCAGCATTCTATTTTTACCTAGAGGAGTGGTTTTCAGTTTTTGTTCATGAGCTTTTGATTGCTTTCTTTGTGGTCTTTCCATGGAATATTTCGACGATTTGATAGGTTTAGGAATATTGGAAGTTTCATTCTGTGGAATAAACATAATATTATTATTTTATTAAAATTTACAAGAGCTTTGAAATGTTTTATTGCTTACCTCTTTGGTTTCATCACATTCCCTGGCTTGTTTAGCTAAAGAAATTTTTTTAGCTTTAGCCAATGACTTTCTGGCAAGTTTTTGAGCAACACTGCTTGGAGTACGCTCTTCTTGAGTATTTGCAGCAGCGAGTGCTCGTGTTTTAGTTCTTGTGACTCTCCCTGTAGTTTCATTATCAAACTTGGGACTTGAAGCAACTTGCTCAAAAGCTTCAACTCTTTTTTTAACAGAATCTTTAGAGTATGGGCTAAACAGAGCTGCTTGTTTGAATGCTGTTTTTGCTGCTAAAGTGGTTTTGAAATCTTTACTGGGCAATATTTTGAGTGGAGTCTTCTTTACTTCAACTTCAGAATCACTTGATTCAAACATTTGCGATGACCTTGTTAGACGTTTAGGTGGAGGAGCTTGTTGATTTTTCTTCAATCTATATCCTTTTCTTTCAGGTGATGATTCGTCATCAGTCATGATTTCATTAAATTGTTCTAATCTCAAAGTTTGTTGTGTTTTTGTACCAGAGCCCACTTGTTTTGATGCTTTCGATGATCTCCTTTGTGCCATTTCTTTGATTTCAGAGCTGGATAATTTTTTCTTAGGTGGGGCTTTATGAATTGTAACAGTTTCATCACATACTTTGTTTGGTATTGGGTCAAGTAAAACAGTTACATTCATCATTCTCTCAAGAGTGACAGTAGTATTTGGATTCATAGTAGAATTCATCATGGGTGGTTTTGCAACAGCATCTTCATACATTGAAACCATAGTTTCATCCGCTTCCACTGTTTCGTTAATAACATTATGATTTTTTAACTTGGTAGAACCCGCTGCTTTTACAGCTGATGTAGAGGATGCAGAAGATGCAGAAGATCTTGTAACTCGTGGTGAAACTTTAGGTTGTTGAGAAGTTTCATTAGGAGTAGATTTTTCTGAGATTCTGTTCAATGTGTTGGTGAACTTTTCATTTCTTTGAGGTGGTGATTTGAACTTGTTTGCTTTTTTTGCAGCAGGCTCTTCGGAATAAAACGATGGCTTTTCTGTCAAAGTTGCATTATTATCTTCACTACTTGTTTCTAGTTTTCGCTTCACAGATGTTCTTGTTTGTCTAGTACTGTTATATGTTTGATTTTCTTCACAATGTGATAATTCAAGCACGACATCCTGAGTATCATCATTAATTACTTCATCTTTATCCATCCTTTTTTGCTTTAGTGGTCTAGAATCTTCTTCATCTGAGCTAGTGGTTTCTTTTGGTCGTTTGGATAATCTCTCAGATTTAATCTACATTGGGTTAATTTGAATAATTTATTTTTGATTCTTTTATAAAATATAAAGTAAGTAGTTTAAGTTTAATAATAAAATATACATACCCTAACTGCTAAAGGAACATCAGAATCATTTGCAGATGGTCTTCTTAATTTAGTATTTAAACCTTCGGCTTGTTGTTTTCTTATACTATTCGCTGCCCTTACTGAGGCACCTCTTTTCATTCTTGCAGGCTTTGCATCAGATGTTTCCAAATTTTCTGAATTAGCGCGAGAAGATCTAAGGCTCCGTTGTGAAGAACTTGAATCACTAATTTCATCTGCTTCACCCACATCATCCTCTGGAATGGATTTGATTTTAGTTGCAGCTCTCTTTCTAGTCATCTTGGGAGTTTTTGCCAACAGTGGACCCGCTCCTGTTCTAACTTGTGTTAGAAGTGCCTCTATGTAATTTATGGTGTCCTCCTTCATTTTCTCCACACTCCTCGAAATGTCAGAGGCTTCTTTGCTGATCCGTTCGGCGTCGGATTGCAACATCAGCAATATTGCCTTTTTGTCCATTTTAGAAAAATTTTCTAGAGCAGCAAACAGCATAATGTCAATTATGTTTATAAGAAATCAAAGCTCTGCCAGCAGAAACAATTTTCACAGTTGATGTTTGTCAATAACAACAAAATACTCACTGCAGTTCTTGGTAGCGAGAACACGAATCAAGCACTTTCAGCTAACAACACGAATAAACATTGAGTATATGTAGCTGTAAATAACCACACACAGTGCAGATGGCTAAGGGAACGCGCGCGTCTTTGCTACGAAAAAGAAGCAACCGTCATCCAAGAATCCCTAATTAGAATTTAAAAATTGCAGTTCGCGACACTTGGGTCGAGTCTTACGAGTAGAAAAGCCTTCCAGGGATTTTCCACAGATTCGCGCGCGATGATTCCATTGAGAAAATACACACGCACGCCGCACTAACACGCACACGCACACACGCGCCCCGGCAGATTTTCAGACTCCTGTGGGAGAAATTTTACAAAACTGCTGCTCCTGTTTTGACCGGCTTCTATCCGAGTAACGTACTTTTCAAACAGATACACGTCCAACGCCGCGTAACGAGCGAATCGTGAAATGCGCGGCGAAAAGCGCGCGCAAAAAGGTGCATAGAAAGTAGAAATGGATTGGGCGACGTTAGCGCATGCAGCTGTTGTGATTTGTGCGAGCGACAACAGAGCCGATAAGTTAGAGGATCAAAGTTACCGACGTTACCTTGGCTACGCGGTAATAGCATCTGCATGGTGCATCGATACTTTCTGAGAAAAAAATCAAAACAATGACGTACGCATTTCCGCAGAGATGTTTTGACGCAGTGTATAGGTAGAAATTGAATGATTATAAGGCATTATTTGTGTTCTTTTATAAAGCTACTATTTAATTTTATCTTTTTTCATATTACAAAACGATAGACGCATTTACAATAACATTATACTCAATATAACTGCAAATTTAAATACAAACCTTAAAATCAATCTATAGGTAGATAATATTTTTCACTAAATTTTTTCATGTAAAACATTGTATACTTTTAAAAGATTTTTTGTAAAAATCAAATATATAATTATATATAACATATATACTGAATTCCAAATGGCATATAATTGCAAAATTTTTCGCACGTAATATTTATGCAATTATAAATTAAAATATCATCATATCATTTCATGATATTCTTAAATAGTATTTTGGATAATTTAAAAATTCAAACAAGCTTGTTATAAATGTCAAATTTTATATTTTAACTGGGTACATCATGAAATTAATGCACCCTTGTTTATAAATAATGTAAAGCTGGTTTCATTACATGAAACGTAGTTTAATGGTTCTGGAGAAAATTTCCTATTTACAATTTTCAACACGTAAAATTTGTCTGCTACATATAAATTACTGCAATGGATGATATCATTTGATTACTTATTTTGAAAACGGGTTTTATTGCCAAAACATTACTGCTGTAAACTCTTTTCTAATAGACTTAACTTTTTCTGACTAGATGTACTGCTTGATCGATTATTGTAGTTTGACTCTTTTATATATATATCATTTAAAAATAAAATTCATTGACAATTTTAACATGCTACAAATACATCACATACATACTCGAACTTTTTCACTTATAAAATTTCAGACATCTATACTTTCAACCTGAATAAATCTTATTGGCCAATTTATGTATCTAAAGCTCTATAATAATAAATTCTATAACAACTACTTTGACACTCCTAAAGTCCAACTACTCATAACAGTAAATGATGCACAACATTGACTGCATCAGTGACACAGACTAACAACTACTTGCCTGGACAATCAGGCTAAAAAATCTAAAATAGGTTGCAATTTATAACTATTGTATATCTTCTTGGTCATTTTCTTCCTCTAGTACCTACTTTCTACTCATTCTCATCTATATACAATACGTGGTTACATAAAAGAATATTGAAAATACAACATAATATTAAAAATTACTTTTTTGAATTGCAGAACCACATAATAAAATAACTTTAATTGCAACTCGTGCAATAATAAAACAGCTTCCAATAATAAGAATAGAATGTGTTTTAAAAAAAAACAGATGCATTTCTGGTGGTACTGGAATGTTCCTAGGCACAAACAATGAAAACGTGATAGTCAATGAATAATTTCAAAATAAAAACATGAATATGGCTTTGACAGAGGCACAGCTTATTTCGTAAATTCCAGTCTATAGCCTCAATTCTCTATAATTTGTATCTCAGGTACTAAATAATCGTCTATAAGAACCAGATACTTTAAAAACGTCGATTATTGTACATTACGTGGCATTGCAAAGATTCATACAAATCGTCTTTTTAACGGCTAAGTTTTCTTTACAGTTTTAAAAGGAACATTAAAATTTACTTAATTTGGCTTTGGAATACTGACTTGTGTAATATCCATCGCCACGTTAATCCCAACTAATCCCTTAACGGTTAAACAGTTTTTTTTCAATATCTTTCGCTTTTCAATACGAAATTTATCTATTCATCGTTCTTAAATATCCATCGTGATTTTTTTTCTTAATTTTTGAGAATGCCCGCATTCTCGGAAAATTTGTATCCTAAAAATGATTTACAGTACATCGAACTTGCAATACTCTTTACCAATTCGATATGCTCACAAGTCTTCGTTTCAGTCCTAAAGGTTACACGAATCCTCGACAAGGGGCGGGGCGTGAATGAAAATCAATTTACAAAGAGACCCTGTTGCGCGACAATTCTTCTCATCGATCCGACTTCAAACGCCGAAGCTCGGACTCTCTAAGTCGAAATCCATCTTGGTCGAACTCTCGCTCGAGTGGCTCACCGATACCTCGTCGAAATTGTTAAAATGCACGAGCACTTCCTCCTCCAGACGGGCATTCAGCAGTATGTCCATTCCGGTCATTCCTTTTTCGCTGTACTTTTGGAAAATGGCCGTCGCTATTCTCCAGACTTCGCGATTTCTCTCAATTATTTGGACGATCGATTTCACGCTGGGGAACACCATCGCTAGATTTCTGTAAAAAAAATAACGATGATAGTGATAAAGCTACGCGACAAACGTGACGTACGACGTCATTGTTATTTTCGACGCCTTACTATGCGCCAAATCAATGAATATACTAACGTAAACAGCGGCAAAACAAGATTCGTGATGAATTGAACCTGCAGATCCGGTATGGACGCCTTTTCTCTGTCCATCATCTCGATAGGCGCTGTTCCCATGCTCTTTTCCAAGTCGCCTTGCGAGAAGAATTCGTCGTATATTTGTTCCTGCGCGAAGCATCAAGTATTTTAATCATATTCGGGGCTTATCGAACCGGGCGAGAGAATAAAGCGAGAGAAAAAAACAGAAAAAAAAAAGATAAAAAAAAAGCGGAAAATAAACCAACCGCTGTCTGTTTGGAAACTTTCCAGTTCTTCGTCTGATCGTTGAGATCGCAGCAGGTCATGAGCATCGCGTGCAAAAGCTTTCGATGGCTCGGGTTCTTTTTGTCGTAGCATCTCGTGATTTCGCGCTGATCGTCGACGCTCCTGAAGTGCGAGGCCAAGTCCGTGGCGAGAATGTTGTTTCGCAGCAGGTCGAGGGCCTCGCTGTAGAGCGTACCCTTGAGGGTCTCGAAGATGTTGCAGCCCTCGGTGTTTAGGATGCACATCGATTGGGCCAAGTGATGTCTCTGTAGATGAAAATAAAAAGCAAAACCATGAATCACAACAATCGTTCACGAAATTAGTTGGAGTCGAAAAAAGCACGTCCGCAAGCTCACCTCCATCACCGATCCCTCGGAGCTGTAGAGGCTGGCCAAAACCGTTCCGCACTTGGTCTGGAAGGAATTGTTGGTCCCTCGGTGATCGATGTCGTGGCACAGGCAGGAGACCAGAAAGACGAAGGCCTGGAGCTCGGTCATGTGCTCCTCCTCGACCAGTCGCAGATTCTTGATGAGCAGATAGGCGAAGTGCGCCACCGAGAAGGCGTGCATCCAGTTGTGATAGGGCGCGTCCCTGTAGCCCTTCTTCACGTAGAGGGTAAATCTGGCCAGGACGTTCTTCTTGATGCGCCAGCGCTTGATGAAGTTCAGGTCCTCGAACATCTTGAGCACGTAGCAGGGCATGTGTCGGTAGGGCACGGTGCGCGGGCAGAAATTGAACGAGTCGAAGTCCTTGATGTTGTGATCGTCGCCGCAGTTGAGCAGCGCCTGCACGTCCTCCTCTTCAACCTGCAAGTCGACCTTTTCAATTGGACGGAGAAGAGCATTGGAATAACAATGTAGAATAGGCAATAATTGAGAAAATGTTGATTTTACCTGCTGTAACATTTTTTAATTCAATCCACTCGGCGTATACGTAAGGAAGAAACAATACAATGATCGAATTAAAATTTGTTTTGCAAATAAAAAGAGAAATTCAATGCAAGTTATTGCTGATTCGACAAAAGAATTATACGATTTGTAATTGCCAATGTGTGCGGATCATTGAATCATCGATAAGTCGCGCGCGGAGAGGTAGAGCGTCATTACACACATATAGAAAAAAGAAGCAAAAAAAAAAAAACGTGTCGCACGTACGCAGCGCAACACCAACACAGGTACATTATAATACGACGAGTTAGCGAGCGATGATTCAATGATCCGCACACTTGCAGCGCGCGGGTGCGCGATCGACCGAACGAGCAAAAAGTCGTTGATCTTTGGCGTGCGTGAAAATAAAAACAGAACGAAGCGACTCTGCTGTGCATAATAATATAAATAAATGAATGTATACGAGACGCGATCAAATGTTTGTCATTGCGTAAAACTACAAAGTGTATATCTATATAGGTTTTATTGTACGTGAAGTAATTAAACTTTATTACATATATAGCGATCGGTATACGAGATAGGGCATAATTACCTGCATGTGGTACATCATGAGCTCGTTGCTGAGCTTGCTCCTGGCCTGGGCGTCCTGGATCTTTTTGTAAACGATACTGTGCATGATCGAGATGCCACAGTAAATACTGAAAGCCATGGCCACCTCCTCGTCGTTCACGTCGAAATAGTTGCCGTTTATCTTGTTGCAGAGCTGAGCTACACCTGCGCAGAAGCGGAACGTCGCATCATATATACGTATCGATACACACATGTCACTTACACACGACATCGACGTTTGTAATATACACGCGGAGCAGCAGCAGCAGCAGCAGCAACAACAGCAACAGCGACAGCGACACATTTTATATATATTTTATTTATACGATATGTATATTTTACACGTGACGAGAGCTGCCGCCGCGACGATAAGTTGAAGAGTAACAAAAAAAAAAGAAACAAGGAAAAGACACGCACAAGTTTATAATATCAAAGAGAAACACAGAGAGAGAGAGAGAGAGAGAGAGAGAGAGAGAGAGAGAGACAGAGAGAGACGTACCGATGATACCCTTCTCGTCGCGTATCGGGAAGCAGAGTATGTTGCGGGTCTTGAAGCCGGTGACTTCGTCGATGCCGCGATAGAAGAGCGGATGCTCGTAGGCGTTTCTGATGTTGAGCAATTTGCCCGTCATCGCCACATGACCGGCAATGCCCTGGCCAATGGCGATACGCATCTCTTGAGTGCACTGCAACATATAGCGATACACGCGCTGCTGTAAAAAACACGAACGAGTCGAGATCGCCTGGGTTATACATAAAACGTATATACTCTGCTTGCTACATACTATATATGATATAGGATACATTTTTGTATATGAGCATTGATTGTATGCATCGATGCGAAGCAGCGAGTGTGTGTGTGTGTGTGTGTGCGCGCGTTTTTTTATAATACGCAGCGGTGTGCGTGACCGCGATAAAAAAAATGCGAAAAGAGTATATAACGCAAAAAGGAAAAAAGCTGCCGAGGTAAAAAAAAGCTCTAACGAGTCGCGCGTCGTCGTTGCAAGCATGCAATATCGAGAGAGAAAAAAAAGGAAAACTCTTTGCGCTATATAACTCGAAGCGCGCGACTGTGAGAGAGAGAGAGACAAAGTGAGTAGTGTAGAGGGAAAGAGATAGAGAAAAAGAGAAAGATTAGATAAGATATATGCGGCTTACTTCCTCGCTCGGAAGTCCGTCGAAAACCTTGGCAACGAGTTCCTGCTGCTCGGATTCCAAGAGGAAGAGCGAGCAGCGCTCGGCTTTCGTCAATTTTCTCGCCTCGGTCATGATCTCCTTCAAGAGGTCCGTCAGGTCACCTGCGCACAACGACGAGGCAATTATTTATTTTTATCAGAGAAAAGAGAAGGTATATCGTGAACGACGAAATATTCGTTTCATTGCTGACGTCGCTATTGCTGCTACTGCTACTGCTGTTTATTGGTGCACGCGCGGGCAAAACTCTGGTACTATACAACTCACCCAGTCTTGTGAAGAGCCTCTTGGAAACGACGAGTAGATCTTGGCACTGCAGGCGCAATTTGGTCTCCTCTTGACACTTGAGTGTGCTGAGCAACAGACTCAGGCAGTATCTGCAACAAGCCGAACGCCAAACGACGATGAACCTTTCAGTCGGTTTTTTTAATACATATACGATATTCTTTTTCGATTACGACATCTTTTAAATCATAATATATTCCGAATTCGCGCCTTGAACTTGCGAAACTCGCGCACACTATATATACACGACACGCAAGACGGCGAGGCGACTGCGGCAGCTTCCAACCGAGCGCATGTTGCATTTAATATTACGAGATCGTATATAACTTATGTGAACACAAGCTTATAAAATGTGCACGAGTACCGGCACGTGACTCAGCTCTATATAATAAAGTCGCATGCGAGAGCTCGAATCGAGTTTTTCGCGGGCGGGGGAGGGGTGGAGGAAGAAGCACGAAGGAAGAAGAAGAAAAAAAAATTGTAAACAGCGAGTAGGTCGCGAGAGCTGCATTACGACGTTTGTCTATTGTGCATACGAGCCACGCGAGTTGTGTGCATCTATCGATATACACGTCGCGTGCAGCGCGGAAGCAGTAGCCTCGTGGATAATACAAAGTGTCTATGTGTGCTTTTTCATTCTCGTGTGTGTGTGTGTATGTTTTCATCGGAATATAAGCGCGATTTATGATGAAATATCCAGAAATCGAGTCACCGATGCGATACATGCGTTATATATATTTGTGTGCGAGCCGATTGCATGTATAATAATATTGCGCGGCGGCAGCGGCGACGCAGTATATAAATGCAGTATACACACGTGTGCGTCATTGACGCGCATCGGCAGCGACGACGATCGGCCACAACGACGTTCGACGACGACGACGACGACTATTGGCCGAGCCAACGATAATCGAGGCGATGTTTTCATTCGCCACCGGGCCAAAGTAAACCGAGACAATATACAGATCTGTCAGCGACAACAACAACAATAACAACAATTCTCGAGGCGAGGAAAAAGGCAGCACGTGATGCCGGTCACGTGCGCACACGTCGTCGACTACGTGCTATCGTCGTCGCGAGATGCGATGATGCATCCGATTTATTATACGCACTCACGAAAATAATTTTTTTTTATAGGAGAGCTTTGACTCACCTGAAGCACTCTTGGACGATCTTGGTGCAGACCAGTACGGCGCTGGTCTCGGCGTCGTCGATCACGCCCACGAGGCACACCACCAGGGCGACCTGCTGCTTGATCGGATGCTGCACCGGCACGCACAGGTAGACCTCCGGCAACGGTGAAACCATCTCGCGCAATTTCTCGACCAAATCGGCGTTCAGCTCGAGCACCATCTGCTTGCTCGACTCGCCGTTCTGCACGGCTCGTTGCAGCCCTTGGCTCGTAATCTATATCGTAAGAAGAGGCGACGACGCATTATTTTCTATTATCTTTATCCTGTATGTTGTGTTTGTAAACAAATAATAAAAGTAGGCTCGCGCGCCGAGTGATTTTTCTTTCTTCAACTGCTGCACGCAGGGCCTTTGGGGGGCTCGTGGTAGGAGAGCTTGCGGGAGTTGGAGATTCTTGGAAAATATACGTATTCGTGTCGCCTTCCTGTGCACGCGAGGCCTATAGATGGAATGTTTGACCGGTCGCGATCGCACGAGCGAGAGAGAAAGAAAAAGGCCGCAGCTGTCATGGAAAATTATGAGTGTTTACTCAAGCCGCAAGTCGCGCACGAGTGCGCGACGTCTTTTGATCTCGATGGCTGAATTTATTATCGCTAAGCTGCCGCGCGGCCGAGCCTCGTTGTTTCGTCCAAGCGCAAGCTCTCGCTTTTTCTCTCTCTCTCTCAATAGCACATGCCTCGCACTTCGCACTCGTCTCTCTCGCGCCATTATATATTATGTTTAGAGTATATACTTTGCACACGCACGTACGTATATTATACGAGCTTTAACAGCAGCCGCAGCACAGACTCGGCATATTTTTCAGCCCGCTCATTATTTGCTTACGTGCATTTTTCGTCGTTAGTATACGTACGTATACGTACCCCGGGTGAGTCAGCTGCGCGTTGTACTTACATACACGAGCTCGTTATGCTAGTACACGAGCAATATACATACGCGCACAGAGTCACGAGGTCTGGTCCATAGAGGCACTGGCAGTTTTTTTTTTTTTTTTTGCGAGCGCACACGAAATATTCCGCATGACGCCGCTTGCGTGCGCGCGATCGTGCACGCCGATATCACACGTCCGCGTCAAGTATAATATACGACAGCGCACTCGAAGCTCGTCGAAAAAACATTGACCTCTCTCGCCGGGACCGACGACGCTACATTGCACGCAGCCGGATTGCGCGTATGTATCAGCGCGTCGAACGCTGCGACCAATTCTCGTACACAATTTATAATATATACTAAATAATATGATAAGAGTTTGGCCGGATGCGATCGCCTCTGCGCCTCGTGCCTACACAATTACGCATGTATAACGATGAATAATTATGTGCGTATGTGCGAAATGGAAATCAAGCGATCGATGATCGAGAGATCGAACGAAGCGATAATGCATACCGCATCGCGTATCGTGAAAAGAGACGCGTGCGAGCGACAGATCGTGCGGACTAAGCGCCGATAAGGAAATAGTCACGATCCGCGACGTCGCAAACATGGGTGTGCGCCGTGAAATACATGCATCTATATAATACATCTATATAACATCATTACGATACAACAATGCCGTACATAACAATAATTTGCTCGCACACGGTGCGTTGGCATAATATGCCCTGTTCGTGCGCAATACGTCGATGCCCACTTGTTGTTTGGCGCCTGTGCATGTGCGGTGACAGAGATATCGCGGCCGAATTTACGCGTAATACATTTCGTATAATATGATTATTCCATCGCACTTATGTGTCTGTATATGATTATCGGCTGCTGCCGTTGCCTCCTTATCAGACGCGATGTTTTTCGCGCGAGTCTCGACTTTGTTTTTTCAAAACATCGCAGACAGCTAAGGCATCAGCCGCAGCAATGGAGAAGACAATCGGAGTCGTTATCGCGCACGCAGGGCCAAGTGCACTCGACGCAACGACACACACGAAAAAAAGAAAGAAGAAGAACGAACGAAATAAAGAAAGAAGAAGAACGAACGAAATAAAGAAAGAAAAAGACGCCGCACGTTTATCATGATAATGCTCGCATGTATCATAATAAAAGGACAATCAATCATTTATCCAATATACTCTCCTCACGCCCATCGAGTTTCCCTGTAACGAATTAATTCTCGTGATACCCCAATATAATACAATAATAACTCGAAGCTCGGCTCTGACGGCCTGGCAGCAGCGGCAGTGGCGGGCATTTCGCAAAAAGAGAGGAAAAAAAAAATTATTCAATCCGACAGTGTAGCAAGTTTGTAAGAAGTTCCTACGCGAACGGAAACGTATGTCGTTCGTCGGCTCACGCATGCACACACACACATGCGGACTTATTATACGCACGGGGCACATTGAACATATTCCACATCCTAATTTGTTCAAGGCGTGTGCGCGAGCTCGTGTTCCGGCTTAATCGAGTTAAGCGAGCGAAAAAACGGCCGGATTGCACAATTTACACAAAGCGACTTTTATCGTTTTTTTTCCTCCTTTTTCTTTTTCGTAAGCTTGTACATAATACGCCGAGTGCGTTAGCTCGAACTCGGGTGAGTGAGAGAAAGAGATAAGCGGCTCGTTCATTAAAATGCATTAATAATATACACGTTATATGCATATGTGCGAGCTGTCTCTTTCTCTCTCTCTATCTCGCTTTCTGCATCGAGTTAGAGAGAGGCTAGACGTTTTTAACTGCGGAAATAACACATCCGGACTTTTCCGCTCTTACTCTCATTCTCTCTCTCTCTCTCTCTCTCTCTCTCTCTCTCTCTCTATTGGCTACAGTGTGTGGGTATATCTCGCCCACGTATGTGATCGTTATGAGTTCAGCGCGTGCATATATATCATCACCCGAAGCCTACGCTCCATCAACGGCTGCTTATATATATAATAATACAGCTACTGCTGCTGAAGTAATGGCAACACTCCACTCCACTCTCTCACTCACTCATGCGCGCGCGCGAAATTTCCTTCTTTGATTTATGTATACTCACGCGATCGAATTCGCGATACATATCGAACTTGTATGTGTGTGCCGCTCGCTGCTTTTATCGGCCGTATTATCGACGAAAAAAAACAACAAAAAAAAAAGAAAAAGAAGAGAAAAAAAAACAACAAAGCCCCGAGGAGATTACGTCAAGTTTACGCGAGAACGTCGCGACCATGGAATAACAAGTGGCAACTATATAGGCGGCAGATATACAGGCCGCGTATTTAATAAAAAAAAAAAGAGGGAGAGGGAGAAAGAAAATAAGAGCCGATCGAGCTCTGGCTCGAGTGTTAAAAAAAAAAAAAAAAATGAAATAAAAATAAATAACAAGAGCTCGCGCCGTGTCACGGAATCGCAAGCACAATTTCGCGTTCTAAATTATTGTTTTTTTACATAAAATTTGTTGTGCGTGCGTGGCGCGGGACACGTAGAGAGATCATCAAAACAGCGTATGATACGCGTCTTGACAACGAGATATAATAACGTTTTTAATTTCGAACGAGAGCCCGAGCGTCGCGCGATATGACCTAATACGCTCATCGTGTGTGCTTCGATGTATGTATAGTACTACTCTGTTTTTGCGAAAGCTCCGGGTTTTAACGCTTGTTATTAAAACGCGGTACGACTATGTAACGCAAATACACACGCATACACGAGCACGCGATGATTTCATTCATTCTCATTGAATATATGGCAGAGGCGGAACGCATATGTAGGATGTAAATTGCATTTGGAAAGAGAGTAAAAAAGGGAGGGAGGGAGAGAGCTGCTGCAGCCGTATGACTCGAATTTATCATTGCGCGACAAATACAAATACCCACGCCTGATTTATATCGTGAACTTCTGTCTGACACTGTTTCGCTCGTGTATCATACATACGTCAAATTGTTTGATTCAAGTGTATACGAGTCAAGAAGAAATTTATTAAGATGGAATAAAAAAGCAGCACTCTCGACTCGTCGTATATTCGTGCAATATAATATAATTGCTGCTGATCTCGACCGAGGCAGCGCTCGAGTCGGTTTAATATACATCGGAGCTACAAAAACAAAGTCTTTGGCCACTACTGTACACAGAGATGCCATAGCATCAAGTGGTAGTGCTCCGTAGCAGCAGCAGCGTTGCGTTGCGTCAGGCTTGCGGACTTGTCTCTCGTTCGAGTCGAGATTTTTTCATTGATGCCATCAAGTTCAATTAGGCTTGGACTCGCGAGGAATACAAGGCACATGTAAAAGCGAACGAGACGCGCAGGGGGGCTCTGATCATTCTCGGTGCAGTACATATTAAGTTCTCTCTATTGGCTCTACTGTACTGTACGTGTGCACTGCAAGTTGCGAGAAGCAGAGAGCTTGAACGCGTAACGCGTCGTGGTATAGGCGATAATAATATGGAAAAACGAAAACAAAAAAATTACTTACGGGAAATCGTAGCTCCTGTTGGAGTATCGTCTCGCCCAGGACATGTATGACCATCTCCTCGGTCTCCTTGCGCACCGGCGACAGGAACGACAGCTTGGCACCAGTTGCGTCTTGAAACTGTTCTCACGAGCGAAGAATAAGAAGACGACGACGATCGAGAAGCAAAAACATGCAAGAAAATTTGTGGTTTATAAAAATATTTCTCACTGACGTTCGTAGACTGTTCGTGGTGCGTTATATAGTATATGCGCGCGAGGGAGAAAATGAGAGAGGCTGAAGAGAGCGAAAGAGGGCGAAAGAGAGCTGCAGAGAGTGAAAGAGTGAGTGAGAGAGACGCGACTTCCGCTACATCAATTTTCAAACTGAAATGTATTTGCTGCTGCCTGGCTGCCTATAGTATAGTTGCTATACATGTAATACACACACGCACGCGTGCCGCGCGTCTTTCTCGCTGCAGCAGCGGTGCAGAATCGCAATATTCGCACACATGCCTCTGCCGTACGTATGTATTCGTTAAAGCATGGAAAAATTCCAGGCGAGCTTTTTAGCTCCCTCTCCGTGTCTCTCTCTCTATCTCTCGCGCGCTCAAGCTGATGCTTTTTGCATAGTACAGCGACACGCATACGTTATAGTATAGTATCGCAGCAGCAGCAGCAACAGTCATCGGTGCATTGTGCAGTCGGTCAACTTGTGCTTACCCACACGAATACTTATATAGATGTATAGGTGCACATGCATAGTAGTAACATTATATAACTTGCAGTGTGTATGCCGCCGCCACTGCACTTCTGCTATCTATCGCAGAAAACCATATTACTCTCGGCGTGTACATATATATAAGAGCGAGCGCAAACAAAGCAGCAGCGCGCGACACATACGAGAGAGCATGTGTATCGATAGAGATAGATATACAAACACATTCATATACATAGCATATATTTATGATGAAAATACAGAGACATATTACACACGGACGGAAAGCTAAGAGAGGGAGAGACTAGACCCGATGCGCATCTAGCGGTGCATCGACGTGCATCAGCAGCAGTGGCGGCGGCAGCATCGCGTGCACACACACTCACATACAAACACACATAATATATCTATATCTCTCGTGTATAACCGGGCATGAATGTGAGCATTGTCCTCGATAGGCACATCTGCGCGCGAGCTTGACTCGATATATGTAGATATGTGTATATTATATGTGTGTGTGTGTGTGAGCAGTGCACGAGGCACACACACAAGCCACGGAGCTTTATCAATATTACGCCGAGGCAAGAGACTCGCGCGTCCGACTAAGAGAGATAGAGATAGAGAGGCCCGTGGCATTATTATGTACATGCATGTTATAATACAGTTGACAGCGCTCAAAACATCTATCTCCGGTATATTACACACGCACACACACACATGAATGTTAGTTATAACGTGCATACGTGCAAGTTGCCTTGTATAATCTCTCTCTTTACGTCTCTCCCCGTCTCTATCCGTGCGCATACAATACACTGTATAACATACGTTATAGACGTTTGCATACATCCGATGCGTGATAAAAAAAAAGGAGGCATATGTGTACAATCAATCGCTATACAACTGCCAACGTAAACAACGGCGACGGCGACGGTAGAGAACGCGACGAGGCAAGAGCCGCAAAAAAGCTGCGAGGCACAGCTCGTCGAATCGTCATTACTCTTTACGCGACGATGATTATTTTTATTATATTTCAACAGTCGTTGAGCGGAGTACTGATAATTCGTCGTCGTATGCGTTGCTGTTGCCCCGCCGATGCCGCAATATACGCACGAAATTGCGCGTATACCCCCGCGATCCGGTACGTAACGAGAAAGTATAAAATTTGAAAGAAGAAGAAAGAAGTAAAATAACGGCTACAGTTGAATGAGAAGTAACATGGATGTAAAACTTACGTATCGGTTGAGCTTCTGCTGCACCGAGGTGCAGGGCAAGTCCGAGAGTTCCTGCAGCAATGGCAACGCACTCTCGTCCGTATCTGTCGCGGCAGCACCACTTGGACTCAGGCTGCCGCTGCTACTCGCGGAATGTTGCTGTGGCTCGTCGCTACTGCTGGGATTCATCCTGTCCGTCTCTGTCGAGAGTCGCGATCGACTCCGTTGTCAATTGGCTTATTAGCTTTTCTGTCTGTTTTTATGATTCTCGCGCACGAACACGAGGGCCACACGAGCAACTGGTGCAATAGATCCGAAACTGTTTGTCAAATGTTATAGAGACGTTGTAACACGTTGTTTATTTGGACAGCGAGGCTGAATAACTGTCAAAACGACGACGTCGGCGACGATTCGGCCAAAACTCGTGTCCTCTTGTTGCGCATCTCCCTATACACGTATAGATTTGCTATGCTAGCTTTGCTATACGGACGTAACGTAATTGCACGGCTCCTGTTGCAGCTAGACTCGCTTCTCCGCACTCGAATTGGCACGCTCGAGACTCGGCTTTTCTGCTACTGATCCGTGCCTGCACGCCGCACAGGCCTCACTGACTGACTTTTTTTACTTCTTCTTCTTCTCGGCTTCTCTACCTCGTGTATTTATAAGTGTGCAGCAGCAGCAGCAGCAGCAGCCGCAGCGTCTCGCTTACTACACGTACATGTGACACAAACGCACACACGCACGGATCCGAGAGAGGCAGGCAGACAGACAGACGGATACAACAGGGAGCCCCGCTGCAGCACACGCAGCTAGCACGACGCGCACACGACTCACAGGTATTATGGTACGAAGAAGAGAGACAGACGCTCCGAGCAGCAGCACGCATGCACGCACGCTTTGGCCAGGCAACGCTTTCTTTTCCCCCTTTAACTTCGACACGGATGTATATATGTCATTCACAGCAGAATAGCTTATATAGTTGTGTGCGAGCAGAGCACAAACAGTAAACTGTTTTGCTGCCGAGTGAGTCTCTTTAATTCTCCTTTCCGAGATAACGACGACAACAACACACGGATCGCGCTAGACGCGACTAACGATTCCAAGATCAAAACAGCATCATCAGCATGTCAACAAAAACAACAACAACAACAACAACAACGACGACGACGACGTCCAAGTCTATGTATGTGGAGGCGCAATCGAAGCACGAGTTAGATGAAATTCCGGATGAGCCGATCAGTCGACTGTAGTTCTATATATGACGACGACGATGAGCAACAGTTCGGAGCAGTAGTGAAGCACGACTGCGACGACGATGAGAGATGCTCGCGACTACGAGTGGCGGCGACCACATAGCAGGTAGATATGCACAGATATATAAGCTGAGAGCTTAGCAGCAGCCTCTATACATAATAGCCGTTGCTGCGTTCGGAGAGCCCGTCTAAAACACGCACTGATGCTGATCTCTCGAGCATCAGCGGAGCAGAGCAGAGGCCGCGATGACTGAATGCTGCTGCTGCTGCTGCGTGCAAATTGTACTCCTCCTCGTGTGCGCGTGTGTATATAGTACGACGGCTTATGTATACGTCAAGTCTCGGACTCTAGTGTCTGCGTGAGTGTGTGTATATACACAAGCTGAGAGAGCCGAGGCTACTATACTCGCGTGTGCACGTTGACTCCGCTGTACGTATGCGCGCTACTATATGCAAAATAGCTCATCCGCTGTTGCCTGCCTGCACCGAAGAGACAGACACACGGATGCACACCGACGACGGTCTCTCACAAATTGACAAATTACACACTCGATGTGCAGCAGCGCACAATACAAATACACAGTCCGATGTATACCTTGTGTACGTCGAATTACAATAGACGTGTAGTAGTCTTGCCAAGGGTATATCACTGGCAGCACATAAAAAAGCACCAGCTATACAACGATACGAAAGTTCGTGCAAGTTGGAGCAAGCCCACAAGGCGTCGGACAGACAACTGATGTTGCGGACGCGGCCTCGTCTGCATACGACGACAACAACGAGTCGCGTTCAAGAGTTTGCGATATCGTTGAGAGCTGAGCACACTCGGCGCACGGTATAATATACAATAGACACTCGAGAGTCGAGTCGAGTCGAGTTCGTGGATGGTCGTCCCGCGCGCGCACGCCACAAACACACGGATCCGGGGGAGCTGCTCCACTCGCAGTAAAACTGCGACTGCTGCGCGGCGCGTTCGTTGCTGCCTGCTGCTGCTGCTGCTGCTTGCTCGTAGTCTGGCTTTTTCGCACTCACACACACGCACGCACTGAATACAGAATACATACACACAGCAGCACAGGGCGAGCAGATATCGGGGCGCTCGGGAGCGCGAGGAGGCAACGACTCTCGCTGTCTCCGTCTATCAGCTATCTGCGCCTCGCGCGCACGCCTCGTGCAATTTGCACGCAGCATAACGCACACATACAAAGACGGTCTGCCGGATCGCTGCGGTACGTATACATACACACGCATTCGCGGTGGTGGCGGCGGCGGCGGCGGCGCGCACGAGGCACCCACACGCGAGCCGCCAGCTTTAGTATAATGTATCTATATGGAGCTATATGTGCAAGACTGTGTATAACTATATCTCTCGAATACGAGCAGTGCTTCTGCTGTTTGGCCCCGTGCACGATGCGCGCGGCGACGCTCGCGCACGAGCTCACGGCTTTATTTAGTGGATGGATGCAGCAGCCTGAAGAAACGTCCCCGGCTAGCTCTGGCATTTCGGAGCACGTTACACGCTCGTAATTCGCAGCTGTCTCTCTGTCGCGCACGCCGTAACGTATTAAACGTGCATGTCATTATTGAGACGCAGGCATATAACTCGAGTCGTTGCGTATCGAAGCTGCCTCGTGCAACGAGCAAAACGTTTTCAGCCGAGAGAGAGAGAGAGAGAGAGGGGGGGGGGGGGGGGGGAGATGACGTTTATGCACTCAGTCCTGTCGTACACGACTGCAGCACGGGCTGCGTAGCTAAGCGCAGATGAATGGAGCAGTCGATGCGTCGGGATCTCTTTCGTACTCGGGGCTCCAAAGCCGCGCCGGCCACGCGAAAAACACGGAACAAACATCTTGTCGAGCATCGATGCATCAGCAGCAGCAGCAGCCGCGAGGAATGCCCGTATAATGCATGCGGGAATCGCGTGTGCCGCCAACGACTCCGCCGGAGCACGGACGGACGCCACTTTATATCTGCATCGCTCGGCATGCCGCGATCGTATATACAACCTATTGCTCTCGAGCCTAAGTATATTATATAGCCAGAAGACTCGAGAGTCTGCGGCTGGAAAAGTACTCGGCGGATCGTCGTCGTCGCGTCTATACGTGTAGTGCACAGGCGCCAGTGCAGCAGCAGCAGCGCGTAGTGCACTATATAACGCATGGATTTTCCCCCGCGCGCGCGAGTACAAGTGCAGCGCAAGTGCAGCTATAATATATCTGCTGGTGAGCACGAGCTGTGCAGTTCGACCACTGATGCTGCTGACCGCTCGTGTGTATGTCCGCCTGTGTGTGTACTTGTAAGCAATTGCACAGTGCATTCGCGCCTATAATAAAAGAGAATATAAAAACGAGCCACGCGAGAGAGAAGAAAAAAAAAACGAGAGCGTCGACGCCACCAGCACCGCCGCTTCGTCGCGATTCAAAGATAATAATTCTCTATCGCGAGAGCTCGACGATCGCGACTCGCGGCCAATTGACTGCTGACTGCGCTTTTATTATATTGTATAGGCAGGCGTGCGCGTCACGAGCTCGCGAGTCGAGCTTTTTTTTACAATGGATCGCGAGAGCTTGATCTAAGCCTCGTCGTCTTCGTTGTCGATGCGATCTCAGAGATAAGGACTGCGCTCGCTGCTGCTGCTGCCGCTGCCATTTTTTTGTTCTCTCCTCTCAAGCTTTTCTGTTCTTTTTATTCGTTGCTGCATGCATGTATGCGCCAGCCGATCCCCGAGCAATTTCCCGCGCCGATCTCGCGCGATGAATACGATATCGCGTGCGTTCTATATAGCTAGCGCCAGCCACCACTGCGAGTTCACTACTCGAGTACATTATGTAGTATATACTTGAGGCGACGACGACGACCTTGAAAAACCTGAAGCGGCCCCGCGTGCAGCAGCACACATTCCTTCCAAGGTCGTTTTGTAGATCCTCGCTCGCTCACGAGTGAGAGAGAGAGAGAAAACGATCTCGCCTCCGATCGTCGCGTATGCGTAAGTGTATAACATATAACAGCATACCGATCTCGAGGCGCTTGGCTGGTACGCGCGTCATCGCTTCGGCGTCGTCTGCGCTTTGATAGCCGCCTTTTCACCGTATACGTACAACATACATACTCGTAATATAGTAGTAGTAAATATGCGCATACTTTCCCTTTGAAAATATGATCCTCGCGACAAATCTCCGCATGGCCACACGTACGCTTTTTCTCGAATTTTTTTTTCCTTCGGCTCTGAAAAGAAAGCTAAGAAGGATAAAACGCATGTGCAGCTGGCAAAAATGTCCGATACGATATGCGAGAATATAACGCATACTTGCGTGCGTGCGCGCGGCTGCTGCTGCTGCTGCCGAGCTTTATATACGCGCGCGCGCTTACGTACATGTGCATGTGCTGCAGTGTATAAACATTCGCATTCCTCGCGCCAGGACGATTTCGCTGCGCGGCGCGTACATATATACTGTCGCGACGCTGTAACGAGCGGCGACATTCCTGCCCCGCGAGTAAAAGTACCTTCGACTGGCGCATATTATACGCGTACATGTGTGTGCTGTATTATATACCTGTGCTCGCGTGCATAGCCCCGCGCGGAATTTCTCGATTGCGATGCGCTTTCACGCCTCTGATATGCCACATCCAGCCTCCACCGCCACCTCCTCCTTCTCGATATAATATATGCGTGCACTGCAAGGGAGCCAACTGCACGCGCTTGCATCTTCCTCGCTCGACAAAAAAATTCAGAACTCCGGGCCTTTTTTTTTCTTATAATTCGTTCTTCGGGCATTTCTTCGAGCTGCCTCGAGAGTTCTGCAAGAGAGAAAAATAAAACGAAGAAAACAACTAATTTGCAATCGTCCTACGCGCGTTACGTTATTTAATATGCCATCCCGGATGTCCGAAATTAATTAATGCTCGCCTGATGCCCGTGAACGCAATGAGCGAATTCGTCGTAATTATATCATCGTGTCGACTCGACTCGTGTGTGTATCTGCGCGTCTCCGATTGTTATTGTTGCTAAACGCTAGCACGGCCATGTATATAATCGCGCGCATAGAGAGAAGAAAAAAAGGAAATGAAATAATTACGGTCGCGCAAACAAAAGAAATCATTAAAACAAAAGTATACGACGTGTATATGTAAAATACACTGCAACGGGCTGGTCTGTGCGCGCGCGCGCGAAGCTATAAATTTTCTTGTTTACAGGAGAGTAGACGACGACGGTATAATGAAACGACATGTGGTATCCTCGCTCGCCAGTAGTATCCTGCCACGAAATTTTCCACAAATTCTTCGGACGAGCTCGGAAAATATTTGTTCGTCGCTCGTACGGTTGATTTTCGATAAAATCACGTTTAATGCATCTTCGTTGGAATGTGATTTTTCCGTATAAACGAGAAAATTGGAATGAATACACTTTTCGAAAAATTAATAGTTTCGAATTGCATGAAATTTCCAAGCAATCATTAATTTATTTAATTGCTTCTAAAACGGACAAGACATATCTTTCCGAATCTTGGACATTTATTACAGAATTAAAACGTTAATATTGTGTCAAATTTTTTAAATTTCCATGTCGAGGCAAGTTTACTCGATAAAAAACTACTGTGACCATGGTCGGTTCAATTTTGTTTTTTCGAAGCAATTTCCACGTAAAAAAACAACATTTTAATGATAATCACTTACATACGTTTGCGTTGCTAACCTATGAAAAATAACTCGAATATGCCCTCGCAAACTGAGATATGTGCTTGTTTTTATGCTTTCTTGACGGGGTGTCACGACGTCGATGATTTATTAAAAAAAAAACAAAAAAAAAAGACAGAAAAGACAATCTCTTTTATTAAAGCTCATGAGTAATACTGGAATAGATTCTATAGGTACCCCATATTTCCGAGAATGAAAATAAATATTATTAGAATAGGTTTTGACGAAATTCATATAATATCGTGAACCGCGTCATTTATTTAGTTACAAAATGAAATAATTATCCATCCTAATGATTCCTTTAGTGAGGCTAAATGACGTTATTTTATGACCTCGTTTAATAACTTCCTCGTTTCAACGCTCACTTCAATTTAATCTTCTGCGTAATAAAACGTGAGAAAAATTCATTCAGCATTAAATAAAAAAAATTTACAACGAAATTTAATCTGGTTATAAAAGCAAATCTCTATAAAACATCGTTGACGCAAATTGATTTTTTACGTTAAAATCGAAAAATAATCAGATTAAACAGCGACTATTAACGCGAATTTCGTAGGCGTAATTTCAAAAAACGCTCACTGTCGAATCTTCGAAATTCCTCACACACGCGTGAAAGACGTATATTCAAATTAATCAAAAGCTCGCGCGCCATGCAGCCTAGCCGCCCATTTTTAACGCGCATCTGACTCGAGTGACTCAGCACAGATGCGGCAGTGCTGCTCTCTACAGGTCTTCCAGACGAAGTTGAATTTTTTGCGCGCATGCTGCCTTCTGGGTTCATGTGGTTGCCTATCGCTAGGCAGGCGTATCGAGAGAACTAGAGGCCGGATATAACCTCACAGACACTATATCTATATATGTTTTTGGCGTTGTAGCTCGTGCACTTCTATAGTTCCCTTCTATAGTTCATGCCTCATATCTACATGTAATTAACATGTCTGTGTGAGCCGCAAGTGTGTACGTGTTACGTTAGCGTGTACGTGTGTGTGTGTGTGTGTGTACTGTGGCAAACGAACGCTGAGCCCAGCGAGGAAGGAGCGCCTTCACCAGTGTACGGCAACGTACGCCATTTTGTGCAACGAATACTCTGCGTGTGTGACTCGTCGAGTTAGGATCTGAACTTGGTCGTTGAACGAGCAAAAGTTTCGATCGATTTGCCTGTGGCACGGACGTCCCGTAACAAGCTCGTTCATTCGCGAACGGCGACAGATATTCACCTGGACGGATATCAAACAAAAAACAAAAGCCGAGCACCAAGATGAGTAAGGTAAGGACAGCCGATGCACAGCTTCATATTGTTCCTAACCCAGCGAAGAGAGAGAGAGAAAGAGAGAGAGTGACGCATATCTCCGGCTTCCATGTGTTATAGACGATTTGCCTTCATTTTTTGTCTCGTTATCGCGTTCAGTGCGTGTCATTGCGTCTGTGTGCGAGATTTGCACTTAGTGCTGTCGCTTGTAAATTTCGTTCATCAAAAACATTAACCGCATCGCTGTATAACGAACATTTACTGCAGCCTCGATCAAGCCTTTACACTCTCCACAAGCGAGAGACTAAAATCGATTAAAAGTAATTGATTTCTTTGCCACGCCATCGCATTCCCAATGGCAGCTACGGAAATTTTTCGTTTTCAGGTTTGAAGAACTTGAACGCCCTGATGTGAATGTTTTTTTTGTTTTTAATTTTCAGATGTCTCGTTATCCGTCAGACTGCAAGGTCTATGTTGGTGACCTTGGAAACAGTGCCACGAAACAGGAGCTAGAGGAAGCCTTCTCCCATTATGGCCCTCTCAAGAACGTATGGGTCGCCCGTAATCCCCCAGGGTTCGCTTTCGTCGAGTTTGACGATCCTCGCGATGCCGAGGACGCCGTTCGAGCTCTCGACGGTCGGACCGTGTGCGGTAGGCGGGCCCGCGTCGAGATCTCCAACGGCAAGCGAAACTTCAGGGACCGTGGCCCACCGAGACGGGGGGGTAGCGGGCGATCCTATGGCGAAGAGAGGTGTTACGATTGTGGAGAAAGAGGCCACTATGCAAGGGACTGCCCCAGGAATGGAAGGACCCGTAGACGCAGGTATGTCACTACGTGAAGTTATTTAATATTTAAATTACCGTTTTTTTTGCTCTGATGATGTTACACTGTTTAGCACTGTAATATCGTCGGATCCAGGTGCGGCGTTCCGTCGATTCTTCAAATCAATACAGGATAAAACTGTTTGTTTTCGTTCTGCAAGCATGAGTGAAAACTGTTTTTTTAATTCGACTCTGTGTATTTGGTTTAGTTTTTGCTCGTTGCTCTGACTGATTGGTTATAATGCTAAGGTTTTACCTCGTGTCATTAACAATTTAATTATTATAAACTTTTAAATTTAGCAACACCTGACATGATGTCTCAATGGTTCTTGTAGCTATGTGGATTAAAATATTGCGGACACCATTTTCATAGTGTTTCTCTTTATCGAGTTGAACAACAATAAGAAACATTTTATGAAAAAGATTTAATAAGTAATCCATGTGCTTACAACATGCAGTGCTCTTAGAGTATACCCAAACTATTCACTTGATATTTTAATTATTTATTGCAGTTAAAACTAGATAGCATTTGAGCTCTTAGGAATTCTTGATAAAATCATAAATTCGAATGTAATCGATGAAGTAAGTTTTGCAGTTTTGTTAATTTTTTTTTAAAGATTTTATTTATTATTTATCTTCAAAGAAAAAAAACATTTGATATGCAACAGCCTGTGAAAACTGCTTTCAGCATTGAAAATTGTTGATATTATCACAAAAAATATACCTAAATTCTAACTTGGTTAATTTAAATATTTTTTACACTAATACAAATATTTTTATTAATGAAAAAAACAAAAATTATTAATTTCAATAGATTAGTTTAAAAATTGAATAAAAACAATTGATAAATGAAAGAAATGTAAAAGCTGGTGCACAAATACAATCATCAGAGAACATTATCCATGTAATCCTGCCCATTATTTGTAGGAGGTGCGGCTGAGCAGCATACGCATGTGACTATTCGACTCGCGACATTCACCTAATCTACTTGGGTTCACTTTGCGATGCACCCCTCTGCATAGTTACAGCGTGTAGAGCACCTACCTACTGTATGGGTATACTTCTGCACTACGAGACACTGAACAGAGAAAGAAAATAAGATCAATCAATGAAAACAACATACGACAGCGAGCAAAATGCAATAATGTGTGGGGCACTTCGTTTCTTCTAACCATCGGCACTTCTCTGCGCTTCGGCTCAGTCCTCCGCTTCTTCGTGTCTTCGTTCAGCTCCATGTTTATGCCTTAACATCGCATAAATGCATAGCGCATCATCTCTACTCTTAAAACGCCTCTACACTAGCCCTCGTCGACACATCTCCAATAATCTCCAATATACCGCGATTTTCGAGAAACTGCTCTGCTATCGTCCCCTTCGATCGCGTAATCACGACGCTTCTTAATAGGTATACAAAATCAAAGACAGTCGACTTTCATTATTTAAATAGTTAGGATATCATTTTTTATACTTATTATTAAGACATATAGAATTGGTTTCATGTTTATTTTGGTGAGTAATTGAGGGGAAATTGACTATATTAAAATTCTAATAAATAAAGTAATTCTCCAATCTTGAAAAATCTACTTTTTAACAGTATATAAAAATAATTGTAAATATAGCTAAAATTTGTTATTTCAGAATCAAATTATAGAATATTTTTTAAACGCTGACATGGTTTTGCCCAGTAACTTATTTGGACGTGGACTTGAATTATTTTTATTTCTAGTTAACTTAGAAATAATTTTGTTAAAATAGAAACAATTTTCTCATTTACTGCAATTATTATTTGGTTTACTGCAATAATTATCATTATTCTAACGGTATCGCTGTTAAGACGAGTAAAGAAATAGTTTTTATGTGGGCGAATTTTTTCGTTACATAGGCATATATTGTAGCGATCAATTTTAATAATCTTCATTCGTTCTTATTAGGTCTGCTTCTCGATCACGATCACGCTCACGATCTCGTTCACGGGCCCGTGGAGCCACTGGAGCCAGGCGTTCCTACTCACGATCTTTATCTCGCAGCCGCTCACGTAGCCGTAATGGTCGCCCAAGGACGTTAAGCAAGTCCAGATCCCCAAGAAGCCGCACACCACGCAGATCCAGGTCTGGAACTCCACGCTCCCGAACATAAGCGAAAACGGCACGATATAACGTCTGGTAAGTTTATTCAGAAGTGACTTTTAATAAATGTTTAAAAAATTTTCTTTGTTTATAACGAATTCATTCATATTACAGGTTATAACTTGTTTAAGATGACATACTGAAATAAAACAAAGCTGAAACATCCCCGAAATACAACTGGACTAAAATTATAATAAAGTGTCAAATTCGTTTGATTTTTTACTACTATCATTGATTTGTGCGCTATACTGCATAATTTTATAACTTTAAGTTAATTTTTGTATTATTTCCCATTGTATCATTTTGTGATTATTTAATGCTAGGGTAATCAAACTAATTTAATGTAACAGATATCTTAATAGACTGGGTTGCTCTATACACATATATGTGTAATCTATGAAGTGCTTAGTTTTTTCATCGTCGAATAACTTCAAATACCTAATTTATTGTGAGAACTTTGCAAACATATATTAATCATGATTGACTGTACAAGTAGAAATTCATTATTGTGAATTAAAAGTTCATGGATGTAATTCTGCTTTAAATAAATGAATTAGATTTTGGAAACGAAAAATGTTACTTAATTATTTTTTGGTATTCTGAATTTGCATAAATAAATCATTTTTTATTCCTTTAATTATAATTTTTTATTAACTAATTATCATCATCCATCATGTTTCCTATCCCTATTATTTTACATTTTCTCATGTCACATTCGATGTCACAAAAAATAAATGACGCAACTTTACGTTAAGTAACTGAATACATCATTTTTCAAGTAATACAAACAGTAAGTATGACTGCATACATTTCTAGGCCATCTTGTGTGCGTAATTACGTTATTTAAAAAAAACAATTCCTTTATTGAAAATGTATTCAACTTTTTTGGAAATGTTGGCATTTTTTTTGCATTATTTATGGTACTCTGGTGAGTGATACGATTTTTATAAAAAATAAAACATTCCATTTGGATCCACCTGAAAATTAGATTACAATTGATTCGATTTCTTACCAATTCGAATTTCATCGATAATCAAAACTCAACGATTTTTGAATTTCTTATTTTTTTTCCAATCCAAATTGATGAAGAATCCCTAGCTAAATTTTCAATAACATCATTAAAATTTAAATTGACAATTCAGAAAACAATGTAAATAATACTGTCATGGTGGACGAAACACTGCTATATTCTTCCATTGGTAAAACTTTTGTTCTTAAATAACATTAACTTTACGTTTATAAAACTGGTTTATGTAATTGAAAATGTAATAAAAAAAGTTCTTGGGTAACAATTTAAATGATAACAGTAGTAAAAACTTCTTATTTTACAAAATAATTTACATAGAAAATGCATTGATACAAACTCAATTAAAAAATGTATTATTGTACTTTATGCGTGGTTTAAACTGGTTTTTTTGTTAAATTTTGAGAAACTTGAACTTGAAATATTATAATGCATGTAATTTTTTCTATTATAAATGCATAATGTATATTTCTACTATTCAACTAACGTCTTTGGCTACTATGGTACACAACATGCGTTGACAATAAGTCGTTTACGCGATAAAAAAAGTTGTACGTAACATTTGGCGTATACAAACGATTTATTTAGGCAACTACTTTGTCACAAAATGTTTTTTTTGTTTCCACACGAGTAATAGTCTTCTGTTACAAGAAGATTTACGCATTTTTCTATTATCACAAGTATTGTACACAAAATCAGAGCATTTTTTTACAAGCAATATTATTCATTGGACTCAGATAAAAAAATTACTCAGCATGTATATTTCAATTCTAAAAATGCTTTACTCGTTCCATCAAATTTGTCGTAAACATGGGTCAGAATTAAGCGTTTTTTATTTGCTATTTTTCAAACCATGTTATTGAACTCAAAGATATTCAAAAATCATGACTCAAAATCTTTGTTTCATACCATGGTACATTTTTCCTATAATTATTTTTTTACTTTATTGTATATCATTGAACTCTTCTGATGACCTGCTTTACCATTACAAATTTTATTGTAACTGCTTTTAATATCTTTTAAAATTATTTATATATATATATATATATATTTATATATGCACTTTTTCTTATTCATACTAGAGTTGAGTCATTTTTGGTACATCAGTGTACTTGAATCTTAAAAAGTATTTGGCGTTAGCAGACAAAAAATATTTAATCATAAATAAGAATTGTCAATTGGAGATTTTTCCAAATTTGTGTATGCACATACAGAACTAATTGAATGGGTAAGTGGTTACTCTTGGTACCCCACACTCATTCAAAACGTATGAGAAGAATATGTCGATCGGTTTTTAATAAACGACAATATTAATGGTTTGCAATGTTACTTTTTGTAACAAGGGTGGAGGAAGAACTACAAGAATTCTTTCCATTAAAACTACCAAGGAAAAAGTATATGCCAAAGGTCACTCGCTCATTGATGAATGGTGCCTGATCGAAGCTGCTGGTGGAACAAGATCACTTATGGTAGAATTATGACGAGTCTTACGCGAACCTTCGTCCATTACGTCACTGGAATTCACAGAATGCGACAGCGCCGCGGTTTTATTAAAATCTATAGTAACGTAGCGAGTCTGATGTGTTTTCAAAGGTGAATCTGGCGGACTAGAACCAGATGCAATTTCATTTGGACTAGTTACAATCTCATTGGTATCAGTGTCTGTTGCTGCTGCTTGATCCAGATCTAAAACAGCATAACTCATTTCTCTAGTAAGCTGTGGTGGAGGAGTCTGATCACTAGTTATTCCATGAGCTATTGATGTAGTGGAATAACGCTTTTTTAAGGCCTCAATTTCACTTGCATCCAAATTTGCATAACTATGTGTGACATTTTCTTCCATATCTGGCAATGGACTTGTCACAAGTGATAATACAGCTGGTCTCATTTTGGTACTTAACTTTTGATCTTCCGACAATGCGATATTTACATAGGATCGCGAATCTGGAATATCTATGTTTTCTCGTGATATTACTCTAGTACTGTCCTGATTTGGAGATAATGCTGCAGTATCATTACTTAATTCAACATTCATATATAAAGGAAGTTGAGGGTTTGTTGTTGATGCATTAGTGCCAGGCAAAATATTAATGGAATTCAATTCCATTGACAAAAATCCTGTACTTGATGCAGAATTACTTATAGTAGACGATCTGAAAAAAATATTATTTGCTTTGTTTACAGTTGAATGGATAAATTTTTAATTTGTCAGGTAATATATGAGTAGTCTTACTTTGGTGTTGAGTCCTTATCAGTATTTTTATTATTGTTGCGCTCAGATTCTGGACGAGTACTGATGTTCGTTTGATTAACTTCATCATTTAAATAAATTGATTGAGGATGACTTTGCGAAGAAGGTGGAGGAGGTGGTAGTGATAACGGCACTACAGGAGGTGGAGATGGTGAGCCCATCGTACCCTGAGGCGACAATGGTCCACTGCTGCTTCCAACACTACTTAGTCTACCATTCTGTTGACTATGGGGCAAAGTTGATGTTGTACGACCATTACATCCTACTGGTGTTGGATCCAAATAATTAGAATCTGGAGGTATTGTCATATGCGAAGTCATTGGCACAGAATGAGTGCTACTAAGTTGTAGGTCTCTTGATACTGTATCATCACAATTAGTAAAAACTTGCTGCAATGAGAAATCATAGTTGCTATTAATTTGACAAACTTTCAGCCAAGATTGCAGACTGTTTGATAGTTACTCACTTGAATATTTGTCTGTACAAGATTAAAAAGCTGTGCAGCCCTGTTACATTTGAATGCATAAATCCCTGCACCAGTAGAGCAGCGTCGGCCAGCTTCGAAACTAAAAATTTCCGCGTCGTAGCCGTATCGACGTAAACATCGTAGCGGCCACTTGACGGCAGGCTTGTTTCTCTGATAAAGTATAATGTCGACGTCAGACACTTCCATCTTACCAGGCATCACGAGATTGCCCAGCTCGTCGACGTTGATCACTTGGAAGATGTTCGGATGATAGTCGTTGATGTCCGTCCGGCTGTTAATGCAACCCATTCTCCCTCGATCAATTCTAAATGATCATAAAAAGAGCGTGAGCGCGATGACGCGTGCGAGGTAAACATTGATATGTACAAAGAAAGTCGAAGAAGAAATTGAAATAACAATAATAATGTATGACACACGTCACGCTCGACTTACTACTGTTTACTTCGTCTTCTTCGTCGTTGGATGTTGCACGTCTAAATTTCGTTCTCATATCGTTGGGCCTTCAAACGATGAGAAGAAACAAAAACTTAAAACACATTAAAGGATTGCGAACTCGGAGCTAGCTCTGATGGACTCTATGTTACGCGCACGCTATAGACATGTAAGATCGTCAGCTCAGCGAAGCTCGTTAGTTGTTATTCTCCTTGTCAGAGAAGCAGAAGAATCCATTGGGATGATAATGTTTAGCGATAGTAGTGCGCGCACCACCCCATATCATCGCGATTCTCGCGCGGCGACGTCGAATCAAAGTCTTGAGTTTGCAGAGCAGCAGCAGCAGCAGCAGCGACTCGTCGTGTGCTCTTTTATAATAATTGTAACTTCATACGTTGCGTCGCTGTCGTTGGCAGAGGTCGTCGCAAAAATTGTGTACCCGCACATCGTCGAAGCTGATTGTACACAAAGACCTCGGTTGGACACTTGAGATTTTCATGATAGTTTTTATTTTATGTAGTAGGTATGCAAATCTACAGCAGTAAATGTGTATTAGGCATATACCTAATACTGGCTAATTAAATTAGCTTCCAATGTTCATTACTCTGTCTCTTTACGAGTGAAATAGCCCAAAAGAATAAGTTCAAAAGTTGATAGCTAGGATAATGACGAAAGGAATTTAACTGCAAAGTAAGTAAAAACATCCTACAGACTCTCCCATGTTATCCACAGCAGAAGCATTATTGATGGAAAGATGCAGGGTAATTTAAATCCTTGAAATATCGAAGTCAGACAATAAATGAACAATTTAAAACGGTTAAAAAGTTATGAGAAAGAAGGCTTAGCACAGGATTTGCAGAAAACTTTTGGGGAAAGACAATATAATGATCCTTTTTTAATTAATGATTGCATCTAAAAATGTTTTTTTTTTTAAATTTTTTTTTGTAAAAAGAAATAAGATGGATGCAAATCATAAACTAGATATTACTAACATGAGAAATACTAATAAAAGTGAAAAATAATTCAAGTTAAGGAAGAAATCAATTTTTATAAATACACAATTAAATTCAAAAAACTTATTTGTGTAATGTATAAAAAAGACATCATGTGAGTTCATCTATTTAATTATAAGTCAATATGTTTTCCATGGGCCCATAAAATTGATTATAAAAATGCATCTTATTCATTAAAAAGCGGAAATTATAATTTTTAATTTAATATCTTTAATTGAGTTTCAATCTTCTATAAGAGTTGAAATTGCATCACTACTTCGTAATAATACGCAATTTTAAGACAATTGGATTTAAAAAAAGATTTGACATCCTACTTCCGTAAATTGTTTTTATATTCTGCTTAATTAAACGTAAATGATATTTTTTCCCAAATTGCATCGATGAGCGTAGAATGCATTTTTGGATCTTTCCTCTAACTGGCAGGAGGCGCGCGCTGCTATTATACGGGTGCAAAGCATGGTGGTGGGGTAAGAGCGACAACTAAGCCGGCACATGGCAACCGCTTTACTTCACTCTCGTTTCTCTACCTCTGCTCTCGCCGCATGTAAACGTTAGGTTGCTGACGAAATAGTTGCACGTGTACCGTAGGACCCTCGTGAATGTAACGTAGTACATCGTGTCATTTTGTGGGTGTTTTACGGTTGAGCTAGAAATTTTGAAAATATGGTCACCGTAAAAACTGAACCAATGGATGAAGATGTAGACGACCCTGTTGTTAAAGAGGTATCATTTTTCAATGAAAAGTTATTAGAAGTCTATATGTTGAATTAGCAGTAAACTAAGAATTTGATATTATTTTGTAAAGTTTTAAATTGTAGTTCTTTGCAGTTACTCAAAATGCAATCTACTTTAGAAGGCGTGTCTAATATAATTAAATAGCTTTATGGCCCTTCAAAATTATTTTTTCATACTCATGAGATTTTTATTAACTGATAAATATTTTTTTAGATACCTGTTTATGTATCAACTAAATTGGCAGATAAATTATATATCTTTCAATATCCACTAAAGAGTGCAGATGTTGGTTATGATGATGCTATTTTCTTGGAAACATCTATGAAACCGGAAAATGAAGAGGTAAAAATTCAAGTTCAACTAGAAACACAGTCTAAGAATTATGACGAGAGTCAAGGAGAATTTTTAGCTGCAAATAATGTTGAATCAACTACAAAGAAAAAAGAAGAACAATTGTTTAAAGGGTAAGACATTTATAATTTAAAAATCAACAAATTTAATGTTTTTTAAAATTCATTCAATGAATTTTTATTTATAGAGATCAAATGGATAGAATATTTTTAAAATCTTCGCGAGCCGAACCAAACTGTGACAACTACGCTATTGCAATTTTTCAAAATGATGAATTTCACATAACTCCTCTTAAAGGAATCATCCAGATGAGACCAGATTTTAGCTATTTGGACAGAGTAGATAAAAAATTTAAGGATTCTGGAAAAAATGGTGGAGAAGGATTCATGGATGCAGATGATGATGAGCCTGAAGAACAAGAAGTTCATGCAAAATTTGCTAAGAACATTTCCGATTATGCTAAACAACAAAGAGAAAAGTCTTTTCAAACCCATGCCAGAAAGAGTATGGAAGAAGAGTGGGTACCTTGCAAATTTCAAAAAGCAGAAGAACCCATAAAGGAAGAAATGTTTTGTCATGAAGTTGACAATGATAGAAGTAACAATTTAAAATTAACTCAATCACAGTATTTAAATATATTAGCTCCTGTAAAAAAAACTAAATTGAAAAGTAACGTCAACACGTTGAATCCTATCAATACATTGAGTTATATACAGACATTACCGCTACTTGAACAAATTAGTCTACTGATGAAGGATGCTAAAATCATGACCTTTGAACACTTAAGGGCAATAATTTCATCTGATCATAAAGACACAGACATTTTGAAGATTCTTCAAGAAGTAGCAGTTCTTGTTCAAAACAACTGGGTGGTCAACAGTAATATCATTTACGATGAAAACTATACATCTGATAGTGGTATTGAATCTGAGTTGATGCGTAGAGCTAGAAATTATATTGTAAGATTTTAAACATATCTTTGATAAATATCATACAATTGTTTCAAATTGAATTTTTTTTTCAGTTGTTATGCTACACAGAAAGAGAGTATATCCAGGATAGAGCAGAAATTTGCTCAACAGTAAAATTACCTATTGAAGAGGTAACCCAAATCATTGATAATCTAGCGATATATGAACCAAGGAAGGGTTGGAGATTATTAGTGAGTTCAACAGAATTTGCCAAAATGTATGTTTTTACGTTATTTTATTAATTGCACCAACCATTTCTGTTGAAAATAATTAATTTATTATTAACTTCACTTGAATAGGTATCCCGATATAGCCAATCGACAAATTTTGGTTTGGGAAGGCAGAGGAAAAGAAATACGTAAATTGTTGGAATCTCAGCAGCCTCAGCAATCCAAGTCACCGCAAAGACGACAGCGATGACGTTCTTGACATTAGTAGAAATTAATTTTGATCGTCATAATAGGAATCAATAATTTTAACAAATTCAATATTTTCTCGTGATTATTATGTTAGAAGTATCGAAACGTAAAATTGCAAAAGGATCTATAAAATACGTTGACGTATTAACGCATTTTTGAATGCAGGTTTCGAACCAACTATCTCTTTTATAAACTTTTTACACAAAAAAAAACACTATATTTTCACTGTACATGGTGAAACTTCATTTTTGTACATATATAAACATAAACGGATTTATAAGATTGATCTTATTACTAAATAGTTGGATAATTCGTACATGTTTGTAAATATATAAGTGTTATATGCATTGATTTGCATAAAATAAATTTATTTACAATATAAAATATTATCGTTATTTTTTTACCACCAAATTTTCTCAAATTACGATTTACAAGCCCGTTTAGTGCTAAATCACAATAGAAGAATTAGCAGTATCAATTTACAATTTTATATGTCTATACGCATGCCAATAAGATCTATATGTCAACGACATGCTATGGTCTCAAAATAAAAATTCTCTTGTACTATGCTTTACACAAGGACATGTTATTTCGCTCAAATGATAAAGAATTTGCAAAAGTGCCGTCAAAATAATGCTGCATTTCTTAAACAGGTTCGCCTGGATTGCTCATAAGCGATCGTTCAATATTCTTTTTTTGTTTTCAGTAAAGAAGCACAGTCGTTCATTTTATTGCACGAATTTCAGCTAGTCTGAAAAATCCGAAGAGCCTTTCACGAGTACATCATCACCACCGATTGGCTGTCCGATTTTATGTGTGTAGTGTGTAGAGCTGCGGTGAGCTGCCGAGCCTGAACTCCCTCTCCTGCAGCTCTGTGACTGAAAATCGCTACGCTTGAAAGTGTTTTCTTGACGAGCTGTCAGTTGAAGCGCAGCTCGGCCTACAACAGTGGAGAATCGAACCCGCGATCAAGAGCGTCGACGTCGGCTGATTCGCTCAGCAGGAGCATCTTAACGATTTCCTCGACTATGTACTATTGGAAGAGAGTCTCTTGGGCTCGAGTGTAGATTCCGACGATACTCGCAGAGACTCGAGCGAATTACCAGGAACATGATCTAGTCCATCATGATCTTATCAGGTACATGCCTTGGGGTCTTGGCGAATCTCCTGCGAGTCTTCGCGCCATGTCAGGAAACGTCCGAGTCGCTTGAGCTGGCATTCTCTGCATTTATGTACCCGTCAATGCCCTGACACTGATCTACCTTGATGCTGATGAAGCCCTGATCGTACTACGTGCTAAATGGACTTTTACCCCCGTCGTCCTCGACCTCGTTGACGTCGCATCTGTACCTGCAGAGCACCACGATGATGGCCGCTACGGGATCGGGCTCATCGATCGGGCTCGTCAATCGCGGGCTCTGAATGTTGCAGGCCGCCGGTTGAACTCTTTTCAGCAGCGGGCCATAGCAAGAGTTGAGAAGCCTCGTGGAACTTGTAGCTCTCCGAGACGAGGATATAAGCATTTTGTCACTTTCGTCGATCGGCATTATTTCAACGACGAGCTCCACCATATACCCCATTATTTTCAGCTGTCAGACCTTTGTGCCATGAAAATCGGACGGCGGTCTCCTGACGATTGTCCGGCGTGGCATTATTGATCGCGTCCGTATCCGATTTTAACCGTTTTCTTTTGACTTTCCTCACTTTTAATGGTCAAAGTATGGAATTAATAATTGTATCATCGATCAACCGTACAAGTGTCGATCAGTTTGATACTGCACGTTTTCCAAAATCGAGCGGATAATCTGTACAAGACTATCATGAACTGTGAATACACAATACACAACTTATTTGCGTATGTATACATCCCTTCAAATTTCCATAATTCTTAGGTACATCAATAAAACTTTTTTTACCGATTTAAAATAATTTTAGCTCTTCCTTTTTTTACATGAGCTTTTTAAGGAATGAAATGACGAAAGCTCTAAGGATTATTATTTTTATTCTAGATTTAAAAATTGAATATTCATTTTTATTATTAAAAGCTGATTGCCTTTATTGACGTACAAGAAGCACACTACTGAGTAGCAAATCTGTTTAATTCATTCATACGGGTTTTTACGGGTCCATGCGCTAAAACTTGAGATCTCTACAGGGTTCTTAAAATAAAAAAGCCTTCACCTTTAGACTAATGTCATAATAAAGATGTGTTAAATTGAATGGGGAAAAATTTATATTTCGATTCTTAAGTTAAAAAAAAGTAAACCTTTTATTGATTCAAATTAATTACAATGAATTTATTCTTGTTTATAGTTCAGAGTAATCCACGAGCTCTAGATAATTCAATGTGATTAGCCTATTGCAAGTAGGTTCAAGGGTTGATGACCCAAAAGAGCAGAGCTTTACACCTTGCATAATTACAAAAAATATCTTGTATTAGTTGCAATCATGCAACGATCGACAGACGACAAATAAACATTATGTAGGCTGTCAACTAGCGACATCATGGGCAGCAGCCGACCGCAGGCGAACTCTGCAACTAAACGTCGAGGTCGCCCGCCTGCAGCCACATCAAAGTTCGTACTTGTCTTGACTTTATAAGATGGCAGGCTTGTATCGCAGAATCAGCGTCAACAACATTTCATCCGGCATTTAGTCTGTAGTCACTGCACCTCGATTATAAATTCAAAACATACTTTTCCTCGCGTTTCTCTGTGCACCCCCGTCCTGTGACATTCGAGCCGGAAAAGTGAAAACAGTTTCTACTTTCGTCAATAAAGCCATGAAAGAGTCTTGGGGAGCGGACAATCTCGAAGCTCAACTTGAAGCCGCTCGTGATGGTCTTCGCGGACTTGAAAAAAATATTAGAAAAATACTCGGCAGGGATGTGGCCGAGGGTGAAAATGGAACCGTTCCTGCTACAGCTAGGTAAACTTGATTTTAGAAACAATAGCTATTTCTTTGGAATACTAATGTCAAAATTGGATCTGTCAATCTAACCTCTCAAACTTATTTATAAATTAATTTTCTTCTATCTATAAATTGATTGGTGTGAATGAATACTTGCAGTGTTTGCTTTATAATAACTTAATTGCATATTTACTTTTTATTTTAAATAAATTATTAAATTTTTAAAGTCAATAGGAAAAAAGGCTCATTTAATTTAATGTATGCATATGATTGTTGAAGGTTGAATTTGAAAAGAAATTTTCAAGATGATCGACGCAGGCCACAACCTGATGCATCAAATAATGAATTTCCTGCTAAACGAAGATGGCAGCAAGGTGGCAAAAATGCAGAACCAAAAACTGTTTTCAGCAGGCTTAGTGCAAGAGCAGTATCTAATGTAGATGACAGTGGCGATGAAGATGATGGGGTCACCAAAGTAAATATTTATTTCATATTATTAATTAATGTATTCTACAACATTAATTTTTATATTAAATACAATCAAATAATAACTTAAAAAATATTTTATTTCTACTTTTTTGCAGCCTGCAGTTTCTTCAAGAGTTATTGCTACTCCAAGAGAAGTACCTTCAAGGCAAGAAGTTATACGCAGAGAAAGTACAGACGAAAGAAGTAAACAAAGAAATAGGCGTATGTTTGGAGCTTTATTAGGTACTTTACAAAAATTTCGTCAGGAAGAAACAAAACTCAAAGCAAAGGTTTTTAATTTACCATATTTATTGATCATAGTTGATGTTATTTGAATATTATTTATTATATAATAATGTATTTTTATGTCGATGTAGGAGGATAAAAAAGCAGAGATAGAAGCTAGAGTTGAAGAAGCTAAACAAAAAGAGAAAGAAGAATTAAAGAAAGAAAGGCAGCAGTTATTCCAATATCGAAAACAACAGATAGCTCAAGTTAAGGCTTTGGAAGCTAAAGTAGCCAGAAGTACAGCATTTAAAGAATGGCGAGATTCGCAACTACCATTATTAAAGTTCATTAAATCCAAAACTAAACCACACATCTACTACCTGCCTCGAGTCAGGACACCTGAAACTGATGCATTGATATTAGAATCAGCTAATGAGATAAAAGGTTTGCATTTTTCTTATTAATTTTACTCGAACAATTTTTAAAACTGTATTTTATTATTAACAATTTTATATTGTTTTCAGCTGAAATTGCTAGACGAGAAAAAATACTTTATGATGATCTTGACCTTCTTCAATCCAATACAGATAAAGATGGAGATAAGGATATGCATTCATCTGACCATAACTCATTAAACATTACTGATGAAGGAAAAGAAAATCGCAACATTAATCCTGATAAAAATGGATCTGAAAGAGATAATGAGCATATGAAAGATGATGATAAAGAAGATTTTAGGGAGGAAGATAGATATGAGCATTTGGAAGAGGATGGAGAAGAAGAAAAAGATTATGTTCATATAAGCAGTATTGTAACAGTCAAAAAATCAAATGAAGAGAATAATCAGTTACAGATAGAAAATAAAGAAATCAATCAGTCTGGAGATGACATAAAAAAACTCGAAGATAGTGATGTAGATATGAATCAAGTAGATCATTTTACTAAAAATGCTTCTACTTGCTCTTTAGATTTGGAAAAAAATAAAAGTGTAGTTGAAACACCAGAACAAAATGACTCAGAAACGCAAGAAAAGGCGATAAAACTAGAAGAAGATGCGAGTGAAACCCTTTGTCCAATAAGTGGAATGACAAACAATGGAGTTAGTGTCAAACTAGACCCAGAAGTAGAAATAAAAGAGTCTGAATCCATGGTAAGTCAAGATATTAGTATATTCAAAGATTCTGAAGAGCAATTGGATTATTCTGTACAAGATGAAAGTACAGATAGAGCAGAAGAAAATGTAGAAAACTAAATAATTAGTTATGTGCATTTTTTCTTTGTACATAACATACATTATTGCATAAGCAAGTATGAGTTTGTATCAATGTATGCTGTATGTTAAAAGAGACACGGTAAATTTTTTAAGTAAATAACGTAATATATTGTGTACTTTTGACACCTCGCATCATCAGTAGCTAAAATATTTCATTCTCATCACTTGCCATGTATAAAATCTTGTAAAACATTTCACTCTTTACAATCGGCAAAAATCAACTTTTACGTAGCGAGAAAAATACAATTAGGCTATTGTAATTGTAAAATAATTAGGAAACCTAAGGTAAATTAGTTATTTCAGTGCAAACAAAATCTGTAAATAGTGGGTTAATCGTATCTAACACGATATAATTTTGAATTGAAGATAAATGACACGAATGAATTAAAATCAAATGATATTAAGAAAAAAAACGTTGAACGTACAAATAAAACGACAGCATCAACAAAAAAAAATGGAAATAGTGACGCTTTTGTTGAGTTTTCGAAAAGTGTGTGTATGTGGATGCCGCTATGTATATGATAAAGAGCGAGAGAGTCAGCTTAGCGCCGTTTATGTGTGTGTGCATGCTTGAACTTTAGTCGCGAGCCATTAAGTCGCTTCGCCATATTATATGGCGAGACCATTGCGAGCGGCTCGGCTCTCGCAAAGGGAAAGAAAGAGGAAGCTTTAGACTGCCGCACAGTCCTATGCGTCATCGGTCTTATTTCGTTTGCATTTGTATACGCACGGAAGGCCTGCATTCGAATAGAGCAAAGCTCTAAATTGCTCCCTTTCGTTCGACTTTGATCACGATGTTCGACCGAAATTTCACCTTTTTTTTAGTGCAAGTTTAATTGCACGAATTGACAGTCGCGAGAAAAATTTTGAGAATGACATTTAATGAATTGAAATGTGTGACAAACGACAATTAATGAAACAAAATACCAATGATCTATATACAATGTAATACTTTTTTTTTTCTCAACTTCGATAATTTGTTTAATGTGTTCTTTTCGTGGTGTAAGATAATACATATGCATAAATAAAAATCTATACATGAACGCTTATGTTCTTTTAAATTTCCTTTAGGTCTAATTGTTAACCACGTTGATATAATGAATTTTTTTTTAAATCAGTACAAGCAAGTTGACATAATTTTTGAAAATCCGTTGGTATTTTCGTAATTGGAAGCGAAAACTAAAAATTTACTTATTTATAGATGAGAAAAAAAGAAATTAGTCGTCGTATTTTTGCATTACGTTGAAACTCTCTCTCTCTCTCTCTCACTTCCCTACCCTTTTCACGCTGGAATGAAGCTGATGAAGAGCAACGTAAATTTCATTGGCCAGGCGTTGTATACCAGGCGGAAGATTTATATTAGGCCTAAAGTATACAGAAGAGGGCAGAACGAGATTTATACATTTGGCTATGTGGTTGCACGTGTCGTGTATGTAACAAGCGATTTTGCGAAACCCGAGCCAAACTCGCGTCGAGTGCCTCGAAGAAGAGGCAAATTAAAAATCGCGTTCTCTCTCGTGTACGAATCGATTGAATGCTCTCATTTTCAAAAAGAATAACAGAGAGACAATCAAGTCTCTCTTGGCGTCTTCCTCGCGACGGAACTACAAAGTTTGTCTTTTCTCGAGCTTGCGCTCGCGATTTTCGTTCACGTAAAAAGAAAATCTCGCTTCATGCATCCAAGCATATAAGTATATTACGGAGCTCGGTGCCAAAAATCGTCGCGAAAAGCGCGTCGCCGTCGTCGTCTCGGGCATGTGCACGTACCTATCACGGCGTTAATGAAAAAGAACATTGGAGATGATACATTTTGACAGATGACAAATTTCCCAGAGTCGTATTATTATTGTCGAGCTTTTATACGAGCCGCATGCCTGCCATGCTCGCTACGAGCTGATTTATTATTATTGTTATTATTGCCCCGAACTGTATGTAGCAGCAGCAGCAGCTCGCGCTCTTGAAAGAGAGAGAAAGAGACAGAGAGACAGAGAGCTTTAATTAAAATAACTTTCGAGTAATGTAGCGTGGCCAGAGAGCGGCAAAACTTTGCCCGGCAATCGAACTCGATATTGTTCATCGAGTAGAAAATTATAGAGAGCGAAAAAGTTTATTTATGAATAAATCACGCAAATGTTTTTATTAAACATTATTTTCTAGATTCAATACAAGTCATTAGATGTTGCTCATGTGCAATTGTATTATATATTTACATGCGTAAGGCGATTATAAAGATTCAATAGTCTCGACGCCTGTCGAATAATAATAGCAATATTATAGTTACTGGACAGTTATTTTTTTTCTCGTCCGGAATTATTATATTAAACCTTAATTAATAAACATCAATACGCTATATACATTATTTACATTACTGATTTAACGAGGACAATATCAAAGAATAATTTCAAAATATATATATTCTATACGTAAACAAATGATCACAGATAATAAGTCGGTACACAGATGGGTACACGCAAGTTTTGTCAATTTATCCGATCAGCCGCCCTTCACGGATCTCTTTCGCAAACTCTTGAGCTTCCTCATGGCCGAGCACTCGATCTTGCTGTGCTCGTCCGCCTGCTCGATCTTCAGCACCTGCTTGCACTGCCTGCACTTGTACTGCTTGAGATGGGCCTGATACAGATGTAGCTTCAGGCCGCCCATCGTCTGGAAGGTCTTGGCGCAGACCTCGCACTTGTGCCTCTTGGTGCCGCGATGCGCCTTGTCGAAGTGGTCCGCCGCCAGGCTGCGCAGGCTGAAGCGCTTGTTGCACAGCCGGCACTCGTAGTTGCGCGGTATCTTGTCGCGCTGATGGTGCACCACCTCCCTGTGCAGCAGGAAGTAGTCGCGCTTGCGGAACGTCCGGTCGCACTCGTCGCACTTGTAGCTCTCGCGCAGCGACACGCAGTTCAGCGGGGTCGTCTGGCACAGCTGGCGCTGCTCCTGCCTCAGCAGCAGCTGATAACTCGATTCCTTCGGGGTCTTGAACTTTTTTATGCATTTCTGCGATCGTATCAGTCCGTTGTCCATGTCGTCGTGGATTTTTATTTTTTTATATATATCAAACACTGTATAGAAGAGTCGATATACGTGGTAATAATGCCTTGTGCTCACGACTGCTGCGTGATCGATAGCTTACTGACTGTTTACGTTCGCTGTCGAAGGTATTCGAGCTCTCTCGGTATGGTCTGTGTATTGGTTCTCACATACAATAGTAAATAATTTGTAATACTGTACAAACACTAGTAAATAATGGAATATTCCGTCTCGTTCGAACGATCAACAATTAGTCAGCCTACTTGTAACATCGTTTTAGAAAAAATCCAGACTCGAAAACAATATAAAATGATGGAAAATTCACCGGTCAAGGCATGCCTCGCCGATCTCGCGCTTTTCAGCATCGTTTCAGTCTCAACAGCGCAGTACTTTCGGTGCTATATAATGCCATGCCAAGCGCATTTCAGCACCTCATCTCTCGAAGTCAATCGGTTGCATCGAGTCGAGCTCGCGCGCGACTGACTTTATATTACGCTAATAATACCGCGCGTCGCTTATTATACACTCTCAAGTCTCGTATTATAACTCTCGGGGGGGTGCTACCTGGTAGCTGCTAGCTCGTCTGAATCGAGGCAATCGAGAGCCCGTATTATTATATTAGCGTGTATATTGGAACGCTTCGCGCGTGGGCGTGAGCAGTACCAGAAGCAGCAGCACACGATATTAGAGCTTACGCCGTATGAACGTGCCCAATGGTCTGAACCGACGTAGAACCGCCTGTCGGGCCACACCTCCTTTTTATGGGCTATATGCGATACTTGCGAATACGTTTCGTATGTGTGTGTGTGTGTGTCGCTCGCGGCTCCCACTTCGCTGTTGCCACCGCCGCCGCCACTGCACGCACGAACGAATGAGAGTGAGCTTTTCTCACTCAGCCGCGTCCCACTTCTTTTCACGGCTAGTTTTGCTATGTCTGTATGTGTGCGTATACCTATTATGTACTGCAAGCAGCCAGAAATCCGCGATGGATCCCTATCGGTAATTTAGTATCATGCGTCCGATTTTCCATTTAAAGCTCGAGCTTTTCCTAATTGCACGTATACACGGTCGTTTTGCGGTGAAGTTTAAGCTGCACTTATTATACGCGGCTTTGGCTTAATAATATGCTCTTGGGACTCTCTAGACGAGCACTCGGACGAGTTGACGTTTGGAGCGCACCGCTGGAGCGCATCGTAAACATATAACGCACTTCTCTCTCTCTCTCTCTCTCTGTCTTTCTCTCGTGCTCGGACCAACTTGATCGTCGCCGTCGTCGTCGTCATGCCCCGAGCTTATATGGCTTTACACACCGCCGCTTGCAAAAGCTCCGAAGCGCCGAACGCGCCGAAGAGTAGGAGGAGTATAAAGCGCGCTAAGTAGTAGCGCGTTTTACATACGTGTGTGGGAGCCGTGCTGCTTCTATATACGTTGATCGGGCGCGCGCGCGTGTGTGTGCACACACTTTTACACACTCTGCGACTGCTACTGCTACTGCTACTGCTGCAGGCAGCTTCTTATTTCTGCGCGCTCGGGTAAATCTGTCGTTTGTGCTGCGTCCGCGAGTCAGTGAGCCGAGAGTTCTTCTCATCTTGACATATTATTATCAAGCGTTGCCCGCCGCGCAGAGAAACAGAGAAAGAGCTCGGACTCGATATAATTCAACGCATTTGACGCTTCTTGCACCGTTTGTACGATTTATGTACTTGAAAACGAGTACATCGAGCTTACACCCTGTATATTATCGAATTATACTTCTTGAACTGCAGTTTCGTTCGTGTGTGCGCGAGTGTGATTTAAGTTTTCTTGGAGATTTTTTGATTATTACATCAATGAATCTATAGATCGTTATCAAATCAAGTTGATCCTCGAGCTTTGCCGTAATACGTGCGGCCACGAGATCATTCGAGTGATTTTCCTCATTATTTTTTTTCTGCGTAATCGTCGCGGGAACCAATGTTGTACATGCAGTTTTGTGCCCGGACACTTGTACCACGGACCGTCGGCTAAATAACCGAGCTACAATCGTTATCCATGGATTCCATTTTAATGGGTAAGCTTTTTTTGCTCTGCTTTCATGCTAATCACACGACCTGTTTACCTCTCGAGAATCACTTTGCGCCGTTCGAGTGCAGCGCAAACTTGTCCAATCTCTCTCAACATTTCGACCTCGTATCGATTCAGAGAAAGCACTCGAACGTCCTACGAATGAATTTGTATCATTACTCTCCACTTAACGAGCCCTAATTTTCGTACCCGTCGTGGTCTCGTCGACACACAACTATTAGTACAAATCCACTCGATGCTTTCGATTCAGTTGACAATCACCAAGTACACGCGTTTCTAAATGTCATCTAATATCGCTCGTGATCAAACACCATTAAGAGAGAGAGAGAGAGAGAAAAAAAATCGTGCTTGAATCTTTGAGCAGCTGACCGATGTGTGCATGCAGCAAGACTCGACTCGCGAGTCCGTGGCGCGCGCGCGACAAATGTACACACGTGTGTTCTGCGGCGGCGGCAACAGCACCAGCAGCTGCTGCTGTTGTATTAAAACATTTCGTGTGTTTGCACAAGGTATAGAAATGCGTAAACGCCATGTAAATACTTAGCCTAATGTACATATTAAGCGGTCCTGTCGACGATATAAACGATGAGGAATCGAAAGAGCTGATTTTCGGCCACGCGAGTCCGAAGAGAGACAGAGAGAGAGAGAGAGAAAAGGAGACGGGCCAGAGAGATACGTGCGTTTATGGCATGGCACACGGCGACGTTTTCATTAGTGTCAATTAGCCCAGTGTTTGAGACCACTCCATGTACACTCGATGCGACACTCAGGGGGGTACTTAGGGGCGCAGTAAACCTACCGTGACGACCAAATTTTCGTAAATGACATCAAGACTATGATTTTGAGATAATTTGGACAATTGTACAAATTTTAAGTATAGTAAGCAAGAGCCATTTGTAAATTGTACAAATTGTCACGAGTAAACTAAATGAAGATGCCTTTTTCCCTTTACCAGTCGATTGATTTTCACCCATTTTATTCTTTATTTTAAAAAAGCTTATAGACAAGTAGAATTCATATAATCATCTTTATACGAGCAAATATTTGATCTCTTTAAACTCGCTTTACTCTTTAGCTTTGGCCGCGCGTGTATGGACTTGGACGAGAGAATTTGCACGCACTCAAACGTTACATAATTGAAATTTCATTTTCGGCCGTTTTATCTTTGCCGTCTTTCTCTCTCCGTTTCTCGCGCTCGTGCATGCATACATGCGACTTGCGCACAACAAAGGAAGGCTATTTTTCATCGTGTTTTCTTGGGATATATTTTATTGCAGCCGCGAGCGAGCCGATAACGATGTTTTGGAGGGCAGAGCCGCGGCTCGACGAGCTTTATTGCCTCTAAGCCGCGCAGCTCTTACGCATAGAGCAAGACTGAGTGAGAAAGAAACCCAGCAGCCTATAAATCAGTACATATATCATAAGTCGCTCAGCCTCTCTCTATATATCAGTAGCTCGCTTGATGTACATAAATTTTATATTATGTGAATTTCTTTTTTATTTTCGAGAAAATCGCCTCGTGGGCGCGCGCGCGTGTGTACACAGTTTGTTGTCGTATGTCCCTGCCGCCGCGGTGACGAGTGCAAGGGAAAAAAACAAACACGATTGTATAGGTAGCGTCGCGTGCCCCCGCCCACGATGTGTACTTATTGGATTTAAAGACACTTCAATCGAGAGAGAAACTTAAAATCACCCATATGTCGATTAAGTCGATAATTATAAACCGCTAACGATCATCTCGTATATTATAATCGTGTGTACTGCAGGGAGCTAATGATATTTAGAAGTGTCCACGCCGCCCACCCGCAGACGCAACAATCTGTGAACATATCACGACCTATGATGTATTATAGGTTCATTAAAATTGAATTTTTCACCCAAATCTCGCGCCCAACTGTTGTCGTTGTCGTGGAATGTTAATATTTTTGATTGATTAAAAATATCGTTTACGTCCGCGTGTGTATAGGCACTGTAGGCGTCAAATTTTCCAAGTACGCTCGTAACAAATATTTTACGATCTCGTATGTGTGTGAGTATAATATAGCATCGTGTACAGACCAGAGAGGCTAGTCCGCCTACATTTCCACAAAAATAGTATGCGCTCACTCGATTTTGTTGATTCATTTTTCTTATTTTCTTGTTTTTTTCTTCTCGCCTAGACAAGTGTCAATCAGAATATCGACTTGGCGTGATACTTACACAAAATTTTGTGTTTGAGAGAGCAAAAAAAAACCCTTTCACGAGACCGTGAAAAAACAACACGAGAGCGAGCGAAAAAAACAACCGCGAGGAGCTTGTCACTTATATACCACGAAAATTCAACCACGCCCACTCCTTAAAGATCAATCGCGGGTCTCTCTCTCTCTGTTTTGCTCGTATATAGCTACTGAAGGGGTGCCTCGCGCGCGCGTCTGAAAAATCAACTTCACTTCCTTGTACACAGCTAGACTCATACACGGTTTGCGCGTCTCGGTATAAAAAAAACGATATAAAAAGGAATAGACGACTAAAAAAACCGAAGGAGGAAGGAAGGAAAAATAACCGCATAAAACCTCTTCAGACTCGATACATATCGGTTGCGTAGGAGAAGTAAAAAAAAAGTTGACTCTCTCTCTCTCGCGACACATTTTATAACCGCGGTAGCTGCTGCTGCTGCTGTTGCACACAAGACTTAAAACACGTGTATTACAAGCGTGCAAAAACATATAATACCGCATGGATGTGTCGGTTTGGTCGCCTTTGATCTCGCTCTCTCAGCTCACTCATTCATCACTTTCTGCGAGAGAGAGAGAGAGAGTAAGAGAGAAAAAGTCTAATAATATATTAAAACGCTATGTAGCATGCCCTTTTTTTATGTGTCTGCAGCGGCGTACGCGCACAAGTGCTGCTGATGTTGCTGCAATATGCTCCACATATATAATAAAAATATTCTGGTGGTCCTCCGGGGCTCGCGACAGAGATCTAATATTTGTTATTACACGGAAGACGGGTGAGAGAATAAACACGCCGCTCACGCGCGCGTTTTGATAATTTATGTTTAATTACGAAGAGCCACTACTACTACCACCGCTAAGCTCGCGAACTACTCTCGACTCGAGTCCGTAAATTAATCTAGTTGGAATAACATTTTGCCGCGCGCGAATGCGAGAGCCGAGAGAGCGAGATATTAAGCGCACCGCGCGTGTCTAAACATTTGCTTAAACATGTCCAAAAGAGTGCCGCGTGCGACTACTACTGCTGCTGCTGCTGCTGCTGCTGCTGCACGTCACGTCAGCCTCGCAAAATCTTGATGAATAAGAGCCAGTCTATGAATGCAAGCTCTTGTGCAGTTCTTTTTTTTTGTTGGAATGTATATACTTTACACGGTCGATTTAACGTGCGCAAAGAGATAGGGAAAATATTTCGAGAAAATTATGATCGCATCGCGACCATGATCATCGATAATTATTTTCCGATATTCCTGCCTCTCGATGATAGCACATTTGTTCGTGAAGACTGAGCGCGAGCTTTCGGTGCTTGCGCGGCCCGCCACCACCACCGCGCGCAGTGTCAGAAATTTTATCGAGCGCAGCGAAAATCCATGCGGCTCGTTTTATCGTTTAAGCTTTATTATGCGCCCGTTAGGCCGTCTAATGATGACGATTTTGAGCGGCGGAAGCCACTGCTGCTCAAGCTGCTGCACTTGCTCCATCTTCTTATTGGCCGAACGTTGTCCTATACTTATAGATATATGTGCACTATGCCTGGTACCGAGCGGACGCGTAATGAAAATTAATGATCGCGCGTTACCACACGCACAACACGTACACATGCTTGTATATTCTCGAGAGATGAGAAAGAGACTCGACGTGTTATTGAGTCGTTAGAGCAGATTAAAGAAAATGGAGATGCGTGCGTAAAGTGTGAATGGCAATATTTCTCGCTTTACGTATATACGTTATATGCCCGCGCGAATGTATAGTGTACAGAAGAAAGTAAAAAGGGGTTGAACATCAGAAAGTATCAATCAATTGATAAGCCCAGACAGTTTGATAATTTACCCCGGTTTTTTTTTTTTTTTTGGAAAAATTTTGTCAAGGTTTCTTTTTTCAGAAAGCTTGTGAAAGACTCTCTATCTCATTTCTCTCTCTTTTTCTCGATCGCGGGTAGCCACATGAGCGTGCGCGCGGATAAGATAAAATCGAGATACAGGTCCATAAATATATTCGAGTCTCACTCCGATCGAATCTTCTTTCAAGCGAGAAGAAAAATCATACACGCCGTTCGATGGGGGCCGAAAGGTTACAAGGTACAGCAAGTGTCATTCGCACTAGTAGTTATCGGTCGCTGCGTGTGTCACGGGCTCTTGATACTCTTGATCGGCGCCGACGGCTGAGACGCGCGTTGCACGTACGCACACTTATATAGAGTCGAGCTTTTATTGCTGTGAACCGATTTCGGTGGCAGACACTTCTACTCCATGGCGAAATCGGCTGGCGCACCTGTCGGGAGACCGTCAAATCGTCTTAAACGAACTACATGCAGCTTTACATAGACTTTATATTCGCAGACGATCGCAAAACTACGAGGAAGTTGAAACTTATTAAACTTATAAATGCCGCCTCGAGTCGCGAGTGCAGCAGCAGCAGCAGCAGCCAGCACATGCGCCTATGGCTCTATTTTAGCGGTTATTCCATTTCACGCTCGGCCGAGCACCAATATTCTCGAAAAAGCTTCTCTCTCTCTCTCTCTCTTTCTGGAATTAATTGATGCCGTGCGTTATATGCCCACCACTACCACCATCACGGATTTAACTCGCATACGTATAGAGTCGCGGGTGCGTACGCTGATGCCGGATTTTCTATTTCCAAAAGGTGTATAGAGCACGCGTCCACTCCCAAGTCTCTCTCTCTCTCTCACTCTCTAGTTTAAATAATGGACGAGCCGTTGCCGTACTTGCAGCGGGGTAAAACTTCGCGATGAGACAGGAAAGCTTGATTTATTAGCGCAGCGAGTTAGACGCGCACTCGGCTATTGGATATATCTATACATTGCGAATGCAAGTAGCTGGCGTATGCATTGGGCTGAAACGCGATCTGGTTGGCTGCTAACCGAGCAGAGGAAGACTAAGAAGAAGAGGGAGTGGAATAGACGAGCTCGCGAGCGAGAGAGACAGAGAGAAAAACGAGGTGAGAGGACGCGTGTGTGCATGTGTCGCGCGCGCAAATAGGTAACTCGAGTCGCATCGAATGAGAGAATTTGCGGATGTATTAGGTGACAATGTTTGTTGTGCTCCTACATCACTGAAAATAATTTTTGTTTTTGTCTCGTTGAACAGAGAACGGTATGAACGGCCAGCTGAGCCCTCAACACCAGCATCACCAGCAGCAACATCAACATGCCCAGCAACAACAGCAGCAGCAGCACATGCACCATCACAGCGTTCAACAGGCTCAGCAACAGCAGCATCAGAGTCAACAATCCTCTCAACAGCAGCAGCAACAGCACCTCAGCTCACAACAGCAACAACAACTTCAGCAACAACAACAGCAACAGCAGCAGCAGCAGCCGCAAGCTCAATCGTTCGGCGAGGTCAATCAGCTTGGGGGTGTATTCGTTAACGGCCGACCCCTGCCCAACAACGTGCGCCGTCAGATCGTCGAGATGGCTCATCTGGGCATCAGGCCCTGCGACATATCGCGCCAGCTGCGCGTCTCGCACGGCTGCGTCAGCAAGATCCTGGCTCGTTTCAACGAGACGGGCAGCATCCAACCCGGGGCCATAGGCGGTAGCAAACCGCGCGTCACCACTCCCAAGGTCGTCAACTACATCAAGCAGCTGAAAATCAACGACCCGGGCATCTTCGCCTGGGAGATCAAGGACCGACTGCTGGCCGACCACATCTGCGACAAGTACAACGTGCCCTCGGTCTCGAGCATCTCCCGGATTCTGCGCAACAAGGTGGGCAGCGGGGGTGGCTCCGTGGCCAGCTCCGGGCCCGGCAGCGGCAGCAGCAGTAGCAGCGTCGCCGCGGCGGCGGCCGTCGCGGTGGCCATGCAGCACGCCGGCCACCATCCGGCCCACCATCACCACCACCATCATCACCATCACTTGTACGCGGCCGCGGCAGCTGCAGCCGGGGCCGCGGCGGCTCTCTGCGCCACCCCGATGCCGTACGCGCCGACGGCCTACCATCCGGCCCCGACGGCGGCGGCGGCGGCTGCCGCGATCGGCCACCTGACGTCGCATCATCAGGCCGCGACTTCGGTGGTCGGCTCGTCGAGCGACCTCGCGGTCCTGGACCCGCACCACCATCACCATCACGCCGCGAGCCACCATCAGCAGCACGGTCACGGCCATCATCATCAGCAGGACCCGGCGGGCTTCCGACGCTTCCTGCCCATCGAAGAAGGTGAGCAAAAACATTTCTGAATCGGAGATCACTCGGCGCGATCACGCGAGCTCCTCGCGCGCGGCACTGTGCAATAATTAGTAAATTAGGCATGCGCGACTATTATTCATGATCAGGTGGCTTTACAGCAGCCTTGCCAACGTCCCCGGCCTCGTCGTGCAAGCAGTCGCTGAGCAACGGAGCCAGCCCCTCGCCGCCCGCCACCAACCTGTCCAACGAGTCCGCCACGCCCACGGCCCAGCTGTCCTCGTCGGCCTCGTCCTCGGCCTCGGCCCATCACTGGCCGAGCTCGCACACGGTCCAGGACATTCTCTCGGGGGCTCTGCCGGGTTTGGCTGCGGCGGCCGCTGCGGCCCATCATCATCACCACCTGCCCGAGGTCCCGACGGCGGGTTTGGATCTTCACGCTGGACGACATCATCACCACCCTCATCATCATCAGCAGTATTACGCGACGAGCCTCTATCATCATCACCATCCGCATCTGGCCGCGGCTCACCAGACGACCAACCCGGCCAATGTGCAGATCGTCGCAGCGGCCGGTGGCGGCGATGGTTTTCATACGGTTTGCGATTGAGTCGAGACAACTCGAGCGCTGCTTATTATACGTGCCTTTGGTATAAAGTAGTTTTTCGTAGATACAGCGAGCAGAATAATAAACGATAATGAGCGTCGTCGTCATTCGACTATTTTTGTATACGAGTATGTGAAATTATCGCCTGTAAGAATGTCTTCCCTCCGATAGATAAAATGCGAAATGTAATTAATTACAGCAGATAAAGTATGAACCGATCGTGCCTCGAATACAGCAGCTTGATTTGGCTTTTTTTGTACGACTCAGCGATTAGTACGAGAAAAAAATATTTTTCGCGTTTGATCGCTCGGAGAAGCCTTTTTCGTGGCTCCTTATCGATCGAGACCCCAAGTCGGAGCGATCTGGAAAAATTCGGTGCGTCGTGTTCAAGCGGACAATATAGCTTGTAAATTGAATTTTGATAATACCGCGTGTCTCCATGTTTTTATTTTTTACGCGTTTACTAACAAATAAGTCTCATAAAATTTTACCTATAACGCAGCATATGCGACAGTATTTGCCAAAAAAAGTGTGTGTGCAATCGGAATTTCGCGTTTCTATAATCGACGTGCTAAAATCTTGTCGCCTCCCCCCTCGGTGCATACATATAAGAGCACACAAACCGATGCGTGGCTGGTAATTTATCGGATAAATTAGGCGACGCCGAAGCGTCCTAGAATTTGGCACAGTCGACGAGGCATCGATACGCTGTATAATAACGCGCGCAACGTGTATGTAAAATAAGAAACACGTCTCTTCGAGGCGAATCCGAGCGCGTAGCGTTGAACAAGGTGACGAAAAGCCTCGAGTAGAGTAGAGTAGAGACTTTGCCTCTCTCTGCGTCTCTCTCGTTCTTGCTTGCTCGCGAGCTAGCTACTCACGAAAATAAACGCTTTTATGAACGCACGCTATACAAGCTTGTGTGTACGAGTGCCTTGTAGTAACGATCTTATATGTGCTTACCTCGAAGACCGTCGACGTTCGGACCGAAAGTTTCCAAGAAAACTTCGCTCTTTGACGAGACACACGTGTTGCTATCGTGTGGGCCTCGTGCAAAAACGAATAATGTGCATATTAGCGCGACTTAGACGTGGGTGTAATGTCGATCGTGAAATGCATAAGAACGAAAATTTACTGTTAGAAATCCGAAGCCAATGATTAATTTATACAAATATTGTAAGTCTGTAAATAAATGTGTGCGTGTGTGTATGCGATATGCCATTGTTGTGTAAAAAATAATGTTTATAAAATAAGACAAAGAGTTTTTAATAAATCGATGAGTTCGTGAAACGAACTTTACAACAAAATCAAGTTTTCTCCTATTCATATTGTAAATATACACCTCATGCTTCCAAACCTTTATATGCACAGTTGGGTGAATGCAGAGTGCGACGGGACGCATTTCTTACACATATTCCTATAAAACAAACGAATGCCGCAGTGTCACCGCGAACTAATTGAAACAGCAGTGCTACTACTTGCATGGGGCAATAGTGTCTTCTTGCTCTCGTATTAGCTTATTTTGCCAATTAAAAAAATTTGTGCTCCGTTCGGCACATCGTAGCACTTTTTCGTCCTTTTATGTACCTCAATATTCCTGCTTTTTTTCTCTTTCCTACATCGTGTCGCATATGTGCAGACGTCATAATGAGCTGAGACGCGCGGCACTTTTGAAATACGAATACCCGCCCCCGCGTGTATAGCATATACGCACGCATACATACGCGACTCTCGAGTCGTCGCAGCAGCAACAGCTCGGAGGGGTTGACCTTTGCGCATAGGCGGGTCGGAACTTGTAAGTGTAAATCACTTTTCGCTTTAAAAAAAACTACGAGCTACTGTCTGTGGGAATTTGTAAATTGAAAAGACAGAGAAAGAGAAAGAAAAAGGAAAAGAGAAGGATCAACAGTTGTGTGCAGCTTTTTTGCTCTCTCTTTTATTTTTGCTTCTACATCGAAATGGTCGAATGCGATATGATCGAGGCTCGTGGGAGGCCTACGAACCGAAGCACAAGAGTCGAACCCGTTGATTTTCTCCGAAGAAATGCTCCATGTACCATATAATGCTCGACGAGTTCGTTATCAAGAATCGTCGTTATAAGAGCCACGTTATGTGAATACACAGTGTTTCGAGTCGCGCGATCGGTGATTTGGACTCTTCGCTGTATCAGATGTAATATACAAATCAGAGTGACTAACGATATCGTTCGACGAGTAACTATATATGATCGTAATAGTTCTCACGATGCCGCTACCGTATACTTCTGGAGCAAGTTTATCAGGATTCGGCAATTTTTTGAGAAAATAAATAAAAATTTGAGATAAATTCGGACGAGTTGGAATAGTATAATAGCTTCGACACGTTAATCTTCTATTTTGCTTGTACACTTGTACATACGAGACATTTACTTTGAGGAGCTTGTAAGTGCAGTACTTAAGAGAGGCCAATGATACACACATGTATATTTTCAGGTTTTCAGCGATATTTAGTGCGGCGTTTAACGCGCCCGCGAGGCTATGGCACTTGTCGTCGACACGAGCGGAGGCAGCGACAGTAGCAGCTCGTGAAGAAGCGACAAAAATTTTCGCTCTTCGACCGCGCAATAAACTTTGAAGGAAGAAAAAAGTTCATAAATCAGTTGGTCGATTTCGCAGGCGCGTATGATACAAGTCGATGGGGTGTGATCTCGACTTGTATATTTACTGTAAACGCGTATACACGCAACAGGTTCGAGAAGTTTGCGCGCTTGGCTGGCCATAGATTATTGTGCTCTGGCACGAGGGAGCAACGACTGGGAGGTGCTCTCACTTTTTTCTCACTTCACTCGGCGTGGTGCAAAAATTGAATCCTTACGACGATTTCAAATTTATGATACGGAGAGTCGAAAAAAAGAGAGACGAAGATCGTCGCGAGTTCCGTTGCGAAGCAGAGCAGCTTCTATGCGCATCTTCCGCATAAGCTTCGGTAAATATATACATCATCTAATGCGCGTATAATGCAACAAACGAGAATTGTAGCAAAAAGAAAGAGAGACGAGCGAGCGAGCGAGAGAGAGAGAAAAGTACATTGGCTCACAGACAGAAAGAGAGAAGCGGATGCAAAGCTCGACGAAGATGCCGAGAGAAAGCGACGACGACTGCATATACACAACACACACGCGTATTCATATATAGAGGGGCAGCACGCGAATGACGAAGGGATATATATTCCAGGTTTGCATGGCGGAACGCCCCTGCACAACCGCGCGACTGTACAGCGAGGTACACATATTCTCTTCGCAGCCTTTCTATATATATACCTTATATTCCAATACCGATGCTTTAATATACCTCTGAGCACGTGTGCGCGTTGCGTATGTGTATATGTCTGTGTAACGGCTGAATTTCTTCTTCGTCTTCTTCTTTTCCTTATTATTTTTTTTCTTTTATTTCATCGCGAAACGTTTGAAGAGCCACTCTCGGAGTGCCTTGATTTTGATGTATGTCTCTCTCTCTCTCTTTCTCTTTCTTTCTCTTTCGCTCTTTTCTTTGCCCAAACTCGTCAACGTGATAGGCAGTTACACGCCTGTAAGCAGATAGTACGGAAGAAGAAAAGTCGTCATTGAAATTTAAAAGCTTGCACAAGGTTTTGTTAGATTATGTAAAACTCTGATGCATCGAAGGCGCTTATAGTACGTGGAGCGAAAAAACAGATAAGCCAAGAACAATGAAAATGCAAAGTAAAAAATGAGAAAATACGCATGCAGGAGCCACGAAGACGTAGATGTCCACAACGAGGCGTCCGGGTGAAAAACGTCCCGCGGGAAATTTACAAGGCATGGAGAGCCGAGCTCAAACAATGCGTGCGAGAGAGAACTGCGGCTATAGATTTCGGAGTAAGCGAGCCGGACGCGCTTTATGGAGCCGCGGCGTTGCTGCATCTCTCGTGGTGCAGCTTTCGACCGCGCGGCCGAAAGCTCGATATAATATAACGGCGAAGAAAAGGGCTCATTGCAAGCGCGGCTTGTAAGCAGTGACACGCGACCGATTTTGGCTCCGCGTATCCACCACATCGTATAGAATTCGCTCGCTCGGCTAGAGCCCATAGAAATAACGCGCGTACTACCGCACATACATTACCTTTGCGTCTTATATCGCATTCACGAGTTTGCTGCTCTCTGCTGCGGTCTGACAAATTTCCTCCGCGCCAATCCCAAGTATTTATCCCGTCTGTGATTACGATTAAAATGCGCGTCCGACTGTTTAATCCGTTATGAAACGAGCTGGAGGCTATGGCTAAAACAGGCAATAAATGCGCGACTCGTTCGAATTAGCAAGGCAGCCTCACTCGTGTTCCTTTTAATTTCATTTTTTTTTTTTGTTCTTCTACTTGTATAAGGCGCTCGCTTATACGCATGTACGTCTCGTGCGTTGTGTCGCGACACACGCGGACAGATACAGAAAATAGATTAAAAGCTCCCGCACGCGCCCCCGTGTATGCGCGCATGTACATATGTAGTATATGTGTTACCGCACATATGCCTTGTGGCCATTATCATGATCATTATATTTTCGGTCGTTCGCTCTGTCTATCTCTCTCGGAGACCGGGCAAAGCGCAAAGATACGCCGCGCTGCCACTGCTCGTGACTCGTCTAAGAAATAGACAAATTTCGTGAATTTTTTTTCTCCTCTCATTCTCGGCTCCGTCTATCTCTTTCGATGTGCGCCTATGTATATTCACCACCGGCGCAGTCGCACCACATAGTCTCTCGCTCTCTCTGTACTTAATTACCAAAAAGTCTTTTCCCTCGAAATTCGCACGCACCGCCTTCCTCTCTCCTTCTCTCTCTAGCTTGAAAAAGAGAGACTAGTCATCCTCGATTTGTCGTCTTTTACAAAATTGAGATATTCCCTCGGATCGTCGAGGGTTTTGTTTTGCCGCATGCAAACGCGACACACGCGAGCATTCGTATACAAGCAGCGTTGACAGATGCATCATTGGGATTCTTACGGCGACGAGTTTACCCACTGCAGTCGTGGGGATTAATAGCTGCATTTGTCCAAGTGCCATCGGCCTATTCCCGCTGCAGCTACTCTACCATCCCCTTCCCAAACTATCGCGCGCGCGGGCCTCTTTCTTGGAATCCTGATTTATGTGAGAAATTTGTCGGGTTGTGATTTTTTTCTTCCTCCCGATGCGTGTAAATAAAAATAGAAGAAATTGACCGCAGGTGCAGTCTGGAGTTTTTGCATTAGCATGTACATGAAGAGCTTGCGATATTATGTTGCGAATGCATTATTATTGCACAGCGATCGAACGTCAAAAGGCGCGCATCGAGGTGAAACGAAGCGCGATATCGACGTTCCGTACGTATACCCCCGCGCGTCTTGCTTCGATAAGCGTAAATATAATAATGTATTTAACTTCAAAGTATAATAATTCATCACTACACATATCGCACGATAACCCTTTGTAAAAGACGATGCGGGCATAAAAATTTCTCGGAGTCACGCGTTTGATTATTGTGTACACATGCACACACGTCACGATAACCCCTTGCACACATTAATACATTATTATACATACATACATATGCCTCTCACTATCCCTCGGCTCGTATTTACAATCTTTACATTTTCTGCTGCGCTGATTAATTGCGTAAAATTGTTCTGCTTTAGTACTTACAGCGTGTGACATTTGAAACTTGAATGAGCTTGTATACGATAGTGACCGCCGCGACGGATGCGTAAATACACAATATATAAACCTATTATCATTCATATTCGAGTGATAATTTAGACGAGAGTCGCTTGACTGGAACTAATGTTAGCGCACGCGAGATGCGAATTTTTTTTGGAGCCAAAACTCTGTTGCGAATTTGTTTGACTTAGACTGTGATCGTTCGTTTGACTTTTCATCTAGAATATAAAGAAAATCTTTATTTATAATGTATAATTCAGCGATTTACGTATTGGAAAAAGCTTTTTGACTCACGTTAAATTAAAAAAAAGATTTTTTAGTATGAGCACAGATTTTGTGACTCTTGAAAGTTTCAGAAGTGGCATATTTATCGTTGATCTCCATCTGATACATTTTTGAGAAACTACTTTTCTAAGTCGATAAAGTAGGATACATACAAAAGGGTAGAGAAAGTTGATTGATTGAATCCCAACATTTCTAATCAAAAAGCTCAATATATTTCAATAAAGAAAAAAAGATAAATACACATATCTTCAGATATTACTCCAATGCGGAGGCGTATCATGAATATATGAACACGATTAGCATTCTCTTGTTTGTATATAAATATTTGCATACAGTGCTCATGACATGATCCATGAAACAAGTCAAGGAAATTTTTAATACTTTTGACAAAACAGTAATATTAACATTATAATTATTTGTATTTTACTCTAGGGAATTTAACATTAATAATTGTTTGAGTACTTTGGTTTGACTGGTTTCTCTAATCTCACCTGCCAAAAACATCTCATCCACAACTGTGTAAACCTGTAAAATAAAAATTTAATCATTATAAATGTGCTGAAAGTTGTTGCTTTTGTAATCATATAAGTTATGATCTACAATTAACATCAAAAGTTTTTTAAAAGATAAATATAAAATTACCTTGTAAAAATTAAAAACCAGATCTAGTTCACAAACATTGTGGAAATATTCATTAAGAACTTCAACGAAGTTGTGAATACCTTCTAGATAACATAAATTGTTGTCGTTTACATCTACACATATGCAGAAGTAAAGTCCAGCATATCGTCTATATACAATTTTGAAATTCCTAAACTGTTAAGATAAACATCACAGAGGTAAGTAAATTATTCTTGATTACAAATAAGAAGTGGCAAAAAAAGTACAAACCTCAACAAAATTTGTATGTTTAGCATCTCTTACAGTAACAACTGCATGTACCTCTTCAATTAACTTTTGCTTCTCATCATCATCAAAATTCATATACCATTTGGCCAATCTTGTTTTTCCTGCTCTGTTTTGAATAAGGATGAAGCGAATCTATAAAGTAATCAAGGGAGTGAGTCATAGTGCATAAAATCAATAATGGTACATTAGGTTGGACTATTTAAATTTAACAGGCATTATACATCAATCAAAATAAAAACAAAATATTGATCTGTAATCTACACTATGCTCTGATTTTTTCAAGGGTTAGAGCCTTGAATTAACTTTCTTAAACTTCACTAAAATCCAATAGACACTTGTTACTCACCATAATGAGTATTTAATGAATTGAAATGATCACCAAAGGTATGAGAATTGAAAGAATTTCGATTTGTTTGACGTGAAGACGAAATATACGCCCCTTGGCTGCCACTTGTCAAGTTATGAGCTCGCTGATATATACATACACATACAGCATTCACTCGTATTATCACTATGATCTCGGACGAGGATTCGATTGAATTTCGATTGCCTTCAAAAGCGCAGGCGTATAAAAATACGGATAACGGCGCGCGCAACTTGGTCACGTCTGTAATTTGTCTGCCAAAAACGAGATTTCATGTATGCAATAGTTTATTAATAAAAAGTAGTCAAAATTCTTTAGACAAAGATTAAACTTTAATCCTCATCTGATTATCTAATCTTACTTTATTACAAAAGTTAATTTTTCAATTGGAGGTTATGTTTATTTGGTTATAAACCTACAAACACTACAGACAGGTTGCGCTCGAAGCACTGATCGAAAGTTCAAATCAAACTTCACCGGTGGTGCACGTGCATTCGATTCAGTTTAGTCTGCTCAGCCGTGCTGTCAACATTGCATTGTCGATCTCGAATAAAATTGTAGATAGTAATAGTGATTAAAAATGAGTTTTGCACGTAACAAAGATTTTATAGAAAAGGGTGACACCGTCATCTTGTACTTGAGTCCAAGTAATATGCACGCCATACAAGTTGAAGAAAAAATTAAAAACAAAAAGGGTGAACTGGTGGAGAATGTCTTTCAAACAAAATATGGGGCCTTAAAAGTTGTGAATCTCGTGGGTACGAAGTACGGTTCGAAAGTCGAGTTATCCAAGGGTTGGGCATTCGTTTTGCAGCCAACTCCTGAATTGTGGACCTTAACTCTGCCACACAGAACTCAAATTATTTACACACCTGACATTAGTTTAATTGTTTACCTTCTAGATCTAGTACCTGGAAGTGTAGTTATAGAGACAGGTTTATGCATTTTCATTTTTAATTATACAAAATTGATTAATGTTATTAAATTAATTACTAATGGTCTGCATTTTTGATAGGAACTGGTAGTGGATCTTTATCACATGCTCTAGTAAGAGCTGTAAAACCACTTGGACACTTACACACATTTGATTTTCATGAACAGCGTGTCTTGACAGCCAAAGAAGAATTCATGAGTCATGGTATCAGTGAATTTGTTACAGTTCGACATAGAGATGTTTGTGCAGATGGATTTGGTGCAGAACTTGATCACAAAGTTGATGCTGTATTTTTGGACTTACCTCATCCGTGGTTAACAATTGACTTTGCTGTTAAGGCACTCAAAACTACAGGTATCTTTTTGGTCTTTGAAGAGTTTAATAATATTTTTAGTTTTCTGAATTGCTGAATTTTGAATTATTTTTACAGGAGGAAAATTATGCTCATTTTCACCCTGCATTGAACAAGTACAAAAAACTTGCCAGAAATTATCAGAAGCTGGATTTCATGAAATAAATACATATGAATGTCTTCAAGAAGAACTCACAGTAGTGCAAAAAACTATGAATGTTCTCAATTTAGATGATCTAAATCACAATGAGGTATTACACATTTTTCAAATATTTAATAATAATAATTTATCTTGAAACTAATCCTTCAATTTAATTTTAGAATGGTGAGAAGCCAGGACGATATAAAGAACCTGTTAAAGTTAGTTCAGTTGTACATCCATCAACTACTCCAGGTCACACTGGATTTATAACAATAGCAACACTTCCCCCAGCATTTATTAGATGAAATGTTAAATGAAAATAACAAAATTATGTAAATTTTTTTTTTAGAAATAATTAATGAGTATTTTTATTCAAAATTATTTCAATCGTTCAAAATATCTACAATAAATCCAATTTTTTAAATTAATCATAAATTGTAATGATTGAACAATTTTCTACAAAAAGTTAATTAGATAACAAGTTTGTTCATACCTAAATTTCATGTCATGGATGAAAGAAAGAAAAAAGCACAATTTTTTTTTGTAAAATAATAGGTTTGTGTAAAAATCATAAATAGTTTATTTTAATCAGTTTTGTTTGGACTCCAAGTTAAATAATCAGACCTTGTTGCAGCTTGATATTCTTTAACTAAACAATCAACAACTTCTCTGGAGTTGTCTAGCTCATCTAAATTATCTTCAAACATTTTTTCTTTTCTAAATTGTTCTAAGAAAGCTTCTCTTTTTCTTAATTTATCATATTGCTGTAATGCTCTATCAAACAGTGAAGAAATGTTTGTATGATTAGCCAACATGAGTCCAGACACTCTATGAGTGCTCTGTATATAAGGAGACTTTCTTGATAAAGCAACTTGAATACTAGCAGGACCCCAGGGAATGAACTGGGCTAATTTTCTTTCCCTTATTCTTTGCAATGACTTGTGAACTTGAGTGGGATCAACTTCACCCTAAAATAAAATTAATTTTGCTCAGTACGGGTAAATATTTCGGATTTTAATCAATATTAGATTATAATCTTACTTGAATGATGTTCAAAATAGAAATATAACAATGAGCAGCATTTCTGTCCACTGCTGTTGATACCATCATATTTTTTGGTTGCAATAAACGACGCATAACGTCCAAAACAGATGTTTTTCTTACTGATGCGCCCTGAATAAATACACAATTAATTTTTAGTAAATACATTTTAGTTGTCTTTAATTATTAAAGTTAATCAATAATTTTCATTACTTCTTGATCCGTTGTTAGAGGTGTATACCCAGTCATTAGGAAATGCAATCTTGGAGTAGGAATTAATGGAGCAATGAGTCCTACTAAATCATTGTTCATGTATGAAGGATACCTGTAAAATCATGAAAAATATGTACTATGGTATTGCTATTACTTACGTAAAAAAGTGTTCATCTTACCTTAGTGTAGTTGTGCTAACAGACATTATTGTTGAGACTAGCTTATTAATTTGAGTAAAACTGGGATTTTGTATGTGCAACCTATCTGTGGCAATTCTATTGAGTGCAGTATTATCAAGAACAACCACACAATCTGCACATTGTGTCAACCTTTTAAGGGTCAAAAGTGAATTGTACGGTTGTACCACAACATCACTAAAAATTTATTAAATTATGTTTAACTTGTTGAGGGTATTTTTTTCCATACACAAGCAATTACAAACCTTATTTCATCTTGATTAGGAAATACACTGTATGTTTCTATTAGTTTCTTAGGAAATCTATCTGCTAATGATTCTAGCATAAAAGATCCCATGCCAGAGCCAGTACCTCCAGCAATAGAATGGCACAATACAAATCCCTACGATACAAGAAAGCGTAAATAAAGAAGAAGCATATTATCATTATTAAATGACATTTGATAGGCTTACTTCCAAGCTGTCACTTCCATCAGCTTCTCTATCAAGAATATCAAATATTTCTTCTTGTAACTTTTCTCCTTGATGATAGCCAGATGCCCAATTATTACCAGCACCTCCACCATGTTTAGATAAATAAATATTTTCTGGGTTATACAGTTTTGAGTAAGGCGAATTCATGATGGTATGTATAACCCTGGGTTCTAGATCCAAAAGCACAGCTCTGGGAATGTAATGCTCATCGTCTGACTGATAAAAGAAAACATCTTTCCTGTCGGTACCCTCTGTCGCGTAATCTTCTAGGATACCTTCAGGACTGATTCCGTGCTCAGCGCACAGCCTCTTCCAAAACTCAAAACCAACTGCCAAAATAATCACAAAATTAACCCTTGAAAAAATGACTACTGGAGAATCAGAAAATTTTAAACTTACTCTGGTTGCCGCACTGACCCAGCTGAAGCGTTATCATTTCACAAGGCATGATTGCTGCGTTTGATGGCTTGGTTTTTTCAACGACAAAAAATAAATAAACGCCAAGGAACAAAACAAGCAAGCTTATAACGAATTGCGCACTGAGGTAACAATCAATTCATTGCCGTCGCCTCACATTCTCGGCAGCGAGCGTAGGAGTATGATAATTTGTGCAAAATCTATTTGTCTATGTCAATTGATACTGCAGCGTACTAGCACGCGAATACCGGTAGTAATAACAGTACGCGAGGAGTCGTCTGTCGTTGTTAAATGTGTGAGGTCGTGCGCGCGCAAAACAAAAATTTTTTAACGGAGAAACTCCTATCTGTTACTTATACGATGCGTATTATGTATAGTGAATCTGAATTCTGATCCTGCTATGCGCGAATGTATTCGCAAATATGGCGCGCAATTCATCGGTATAGTAAACTACGTGACTTATCGACGGAGCAGCGGTCAGCGCATCGACGTCGCTCATCTAGCAGTAGGGCAACTTGCCACTCTCCGACTAATTCGTCCGGGGCTTATCGAACTTTTTCCCTTTATCTTTGAGTATTAGGTTCCCAAGGTAAGTTCTTACCTGTTTTGGTCTTAATGACTTCTAGGATAGTTCGTGCTCATGTTGTCCATGAAAAATCACTGAGAGTAGATCACTTTACGTGTGTTTTACTAGTCTGAATTAGTGGAGGACGTGCCGTGTAGCGATTACATAAAAGACAGACGTAAGGCCTGCTGCAGTGTGTGCGTGAGGGTCTGCTTGTGACTTGATTTTTTTTCAACTCGACAAATTTTCACATTTGTTGATTAAAGTTTTCGTTCATACATAATAACTGCATTTCTCACCTGCTCTCATAAGTTGGTTAATTGTAGGTAATGGTGCTTTTATGTAGACTCAGCGAGTTTGCCAGTATTTAAATGAATGGAAAATTATTTGACATTGATCACATATTTTTAAAATTTTAACTATAAACTCTGATGGTTTTCAAAAAGTTTTTAATTTTTACAATTATATATCTGTTTTGAGGGCCTAAAATCTACTCAAAATCAGTTTTAATTACAAATGGTAAACTGTCACAGCAGGTTAGAGTTATTTGAAATAACTCCAATTTTATCAATCAGAGCAATAGAGTCATTAATTTTTATGCATAAGATAAAAGGAACATTTGAGTCATACATTATTGGATTTCAACTTTGCATTATAAATTGTTTTTAGGGACCACATAAATACCAACCATGTTTAGCCACGGAAAACAACTTTTGGCGTTGGCCTTGCCTGCTCAACCAACATCTCAACGTGGTATGGCAACACTAAAATCGATTTCCATTCGTTTGAAGTCGGTCAAGAACATCCAGAAAATTACACAATCCATGAAGATGGTGTCCGCAGCCAAGTACAATCGTGCTGAGAGAGATCTTAAGCAAGCAAGACCACTTGGACAAGGTGCTAAGGTTTTCTACGAGCAGGCAGAAATTGCTGCTTCTGAAACAGAGCCAAAGAAACTCATGATTGCTGTTACAAGTGATCGTGGTCTTTGTGGTGCTGTGCACACTGGAGTTTCAAGAAACATCCGTGATGCACTTTTGGCTAATCCAGCTGAACTAGAAAATACCAAAATTGTGTGCATTGGTGAAAAATCTCGTGCAATTCTGTCACGTTTGTTTGGAAAAAATATTTTGTTTGTTGCATCTGAGGTTGGTCGCAAACCCCCTACATTCAATGATGCTGCCAAGATTGCCATTGAAGTCATGAACAGCGGGTAAGTTTTCCTACTTTAGAACTCAGATTTACAGCTGTAAAAATCAATTACTGTATTCTAATTCAAATTTAATTACTTTTTCAGATACTCTTATGGATCTGGCAAAATCATTTTCAATAGATTTAAATCTGTTGTGTCATACAAAATTGATAATTTACCTTTGTATGACAAATCTGCCGTCACAACTGCACCAAAGTTGTCAGTTTACGATTCATTGGATGATGAAGTTATTCAAAGCTACCTAGAGTTTTCTCTTGCATCAATGTTATTCTATTCAATGAAAGAAGGTGCATGCAGTGAACAGTCCAGCAGAATGACTGCTATGGACAATGCCAGCAAGAACGCTGGAGAGATGATTGATAAACTCACATTAACCTTCAATCGTACTCGACAAGCTGTCATCACCAGAGAACTTATTGAAATTATTTCTGGTGCTGCTGCTCTGCAATAAACAGTTCATTCGAGATTTAATTAGAATTTCGATATTAGAATGGCATTAAACCAATAAAAATGAAAACATCAAAGCAGATTAGTTATCTTCAAGAAAAATTATATTTTTCTTGAGGTGTCATGAAATTCAAAAAATGTTGTAGATTCTGTAAACTTATCAAATGCTGTTTACCGATCTGTTTCTTTTATGTATTTTCAAGCTGCGGCAAGTAATAAATCGAAATATATGTTGAAATATGTGAAAAATATTATTCCAAATGAAAAATCTTATTTTTTAATGTCTCAGATCTACAAGATTTATGCCCCTCAAAATTGATTTTATTCAGAATGCGTTTCTTGCGTTATTTCATTATTGACAGAAAAATTTATTTAAATTTAATTTTAATTTATCGAGAAAAATATTTACGTTTTAGGAGCTGTTGATCCAATCAAAATATAAGTCTTATACGTTTCTAAATTTTTAAATTCTCAAGAACATAATTCAAAAATAAACTTGATTGTAAAAGAAATTTACTCCACATAAGGTAAAAGATTAAGAATTACACATATCTTTTACGATAATAACAATATAAGACACATTTATTTCCAAATATTTGCACAGATTTGCAAAAATCATTTTTCTCAATATATAAATCTAGTATACATACATCCATCAGATTTACTTATAGAAAAAAATGTACTCAAAATTAGAAGGAAGTCATCATCATGTGTTCTAGAACTCACTAAAATGGAAACTTTAACTCATTCACATGAAGCGAACGAGATAATAAAATATTATCTATGAAATTAACAAAGCTAATAGGTAAAAGTGAATAATTGTTTCTATTCAAGGCACTTACGCCCTCAAAATTGATTGTTAAGTATATTGATTGAATATATGCACAGGAAAATTTTTATATTTACTGTACAAAGACATAAAGATGTGTCAAAGAAAAACAAAGGAAATTTCTACAGCTAAAGAAGTAAAATAAACTGTATAAATGATCAATCGAAGTAGAGTCAAGTTTAATGAATAAGTCACCTAAGGAGTTCTTTACTTTACTTCCGAAGGTCATTTATACGTTTTTAAAGCATCAACCAGTAAACAAGGCTCATTTAATTTGGGCCTTAGATCTGACACTTGCTACTAACTGTTGAAATAGCACATTAATATTTATGTATATGAACATTCGTAGTTGGTATATATATTTTTTAAATAATAATACAAGGATTACAAAATGTTAAAGATGCTTTTTTTGTTTTCGCTAACGATTTTTCTTAGAATTGCACAACTAGATATTTACAATTTTTTTCAATGATGGCTTTCTTAATTTCTAAACTACCTTTTCATAAAACGCGATCATTTTAAAAATAATTTATGCAGTCTTTATTTAGAAAACATTTATAGCTGTAATTTGATAACATTTTTACAAAATTAAAATTATGTTAATCCTTGAACTATTATTATCTTTAAGACTTGATTTTACATCTTTATATCGTTAAATATCTAGTTACTGTAGTCTTTATCACTTTGGAAAAATGGTTTCAATGTTCTTTTTGCATACTTTTAATTTTACAACGAACATTTTCATAGTATAATTACAAAAAACTCAAAATTGAGATTTTTCGAGGAAATAAATGCACGTTAAAATTAATCAAGAAAACCAGCATCAGTAATCAACTCGGTTGTAGTAAAGATAAATTTTGGCTAAAAAATTGGTCAATACTTTGTGCGTTTGTTGATGTAAATGAGTTTTAAGTATTGGTAACCAATTAAATGAACATCAATGTTCAGAAATATGAGCTCACATAAACAGATCACTTTCAAGCCATTCTGTATTTATGTGAATTCTCGTACAGGAAAATATTATTCTCTATTTCACCATTCACCTTCACCAGAGGCTTTTTGAAAGACGAAATCTTTTCCACTTAAGTTCATAATTCCATCTTTGAGATAAAATTTCCATTTATTCCGACTTCTTGTAATCTAAAATAATATGAAAATTTAATAATCAAGTATTTTTTTGTAGGTTTAGGCTTAATGTAAATTTTAACATTTATACCTTATCATATTGGCAAACTACTACATTATCTGTATCAAATAAATCCGTTGGGTCATCATCTGTAACATCGTCTTCCGAATTTAGCGGTTCTTCTTCCCTAGCTCCAGCTTCATCAAGATCATCGTCGTCTTTATCATCATCCATGTCTTCATCATCATCGTTATCGTCATCGTCGTCGTCATCGTCATCATCTGTTGATTCAATATTCGCACCATCAAGTTGGGCTATGTTATTAGGTTGGGGAAATTCAGAATTCATCTGTCCTGTCATTATCTGTTGCTGTTGGTGGTGTACCATATTAGGGTTTCCTTGGACAATTTGTACCATATTAGTTACATGAGGTGGATTAAACCCAGGTGTACCCGCAAAAGTTTGATTAACATGCTGTTGCAGTAATGCAGTTGCCAGTTGAAGTGGCAAACCAATTGCAGCCGTAATAATTGGACCAGAAAACAAAGTGCTCAATGCATTGCATTGAATAGCTGATGAAGGAACTTGAACATTTATAACTCGTTCAGGCAAATTAGCATTAGCTGGTAATTTGATTTGAATTGAGATTTGCTTATCTCCCATTGGTTGTGTAAGGGGTTTCTGTTCCATTTGTTGTTGTTGTTGTTGTTGTTGTTGTTGTTGTTGTTGTTGTTGTTGTTGCTGTTGTTGTTGTTGTTGTTGTTGTTGTTGTTGTTGTTGCTGCTGCTGTTGTTGCTGAAGTTGTTGCTGTTGCAGTTGTTGTTGGCGTTGTTGCTGTTGTTGAAGCTGCTGTTGTTGAAGTTGCTGCTGCTGTTGAAGTTGCTGTTGTTGCTGAAGTTGTTGAAGTTGCTGCTGCTGTTGTTGTAACTGTTGTTGTTGCTGTAGCTGTTGTTGTTGTTGTTGTTGTTGTTGTTGCTGCTGTATTAATGTATTGAATGGCTGTTGCTGCTTAATTTGCTGTTGCTGAACAATGCGGGTAGTTGTAGGTGTAGAAATCGTAGTCTGAGGAGTAGTCTGTGTAACTGGTACTTGTGGAGCTTGAGTTTGAGGCGGTGAATTTTCGCGAGCTTGTGCTTGCTGCTGTTGCTGAGCTGCAAGAGTAGCTTGTGATGGTTGTGCATTTTCTAAAAATAAAAAAATTTGAGTTATTTTCTTTCATCTAATCAATAATTTTTTATGAATTTTAAACTATAAATTTAAAAAAATTTGATATTATCAGTTGATAATAAACATATAGCAGTCATTTATAACGGAATTAATGGTTACACATTATGAAGTATAAATATATGTAAAACTGGTTTTCATGAAGAAAAAAAGACTCAAAGGATTATCTAAAATTTTTGTAAAGTATTATCTATAAATTTAAAAAATTTAGTTATGAATATTACTTTGGTTAACAATAAAGAAAACTTACTCTTAGCTCTTTGATTCGATTTTGTTGGATTAGATGGAGGCTGTGGCTCTGGTGGATCTGGATTCATTTCTACAGCTTTGCTGCTTTGTAGTTTCGTTTCCCATATTTGCTTAAGTTCTTGAAGTACTTGCTCATCAACCCCTTCATCAAGGAAGCTTTCTCTTACACCATTGATTACATCTTCAATTACTGTGTTGTAAACTTTCAGCTGAAATGTTAACGTTAATGATCAATTTTTGATAAATTTTGTAAAAATTAAATTTCCAGTAAATTTCCCGGAATCTTTACATTCAACGTAGCATCGTTTTTCATCCAAAGGGGCTTTTAAATTTTAAATATCAACATACACGCGCCCTGCAAATGCCTATAATACAGGGGATAAGTAGAACCATATTGTAACGTAAAAATGACGTTAGCTAAATTGGCCATTAAAATCTCATTTGAATCATAAATCACATCGAGTAATCGAAACGATGTTTGAAAAAGTCGAAAATCGAGCGTACAAAATAACATAAGCAATGACGTTATATTCCTTTCACTTTGAAGAGTAGTATACGAAGTCAAGCGATAATGAGTGAGAGAGGGAGGGGAGCGAACAGACGAAACAGATTCAACCTATGCAATGCATGTCATCGCTGTATAGATAACCGAGCGCATCTCGAGCGAAAGATTAATCGGCCTCAGATACTTTCATAATCTATTGCATTCGACGATTGCATCTCGCGGTATGACGTAACCTCGAAAGTTTCGTCTCTCGTGTCCGCGCACGTGCATCGGGTCAAACCGGACGTAATTGCAGTCGCGTATGCAAGATTGAGCGAGGTTGACGGGCGAAAAATGCCGAAAGCCAGAAAAGTCGGCGGCGCGCGAAAGATGACCATCTCATCTTGCATCTTTGCCAATCGACGAGTAAAAGTCATGCGACTCCGCTGGCTCGAGCCCACTATATAAATGGCCTTCCATGAGCAAACGTCGAGAGCGGAGCGCAACGCTCTCGGGCGAGAGGCAGCAGCAGGCGTTGCGCAGTTTCTCGCTCAAAACGTTTACCCTGGACACTATACTACTCGACACTTGGGTTACGACGATTTTCACTACTCGCACGTGTAAATACACCAGGCACTGAATCACTACACGTTGGGAGGAAAAACCGGCGTGTCGAGGGCTGAAATTTAAATGTCCTCACGGCCCTCGCGAGCGCGTGGCATAAGGTCGGCTTTTGCATGTTTTTTTCGTCGGAAATTCTGCTGCAACGCCCGAACCAAGGATGAAAAACGTCGTTGCGACGATGATCTTAAACAAAATTGTTGACTTACCACACTCATCTGGCTGAGAGCCATGATTGTTTATGTAAAAAAAAGGTTATCGCAATAACGTTGGCGAAAAAGTGTGTCGATGACAATGCGCTCCCTTATACGTAGACACCACACACACGATTCGCTGCGTCTTTATTTAGAAATACAGACGAGCTCTCGAGCGTACATGTATATGTGAGCGTGTACTGTCTGTATATGTGTACGTTCGTACGTCCAATGTATTCTCAATCAAAAGATGACGAGAACTTGCGGAAAAAAAGGACTGCTTCTGTCGAGTCTTGGCTCGCTACTAGAACGCTACGTCGTCGAGCGCAGCGACGAAGCCATATAGGCATCACACGCAGCAGCGCATCGGCGGCATTGGGAGGCAACGCCGCAAAGAGACTGGCGCACAAGGTGCAGAGTGGACGGGAGCGGAGGGAGAGAGGGGAGAGTGTTTCATCGCGAGGCAGGCCGCGACGTCGCCAAGTGGCGTCGCTCGACACGGCTTTATATACTACAGCCGGCCATAATTTCCTATCCCCTCTTCTTTTCTCGCGACCGCAACGGCGAGATGCCGCTCGACGCGCGCATATTGTGCAATGCATAATGCTGCATAATCGAAGTTGGTGCTCGTGCGCGCGCGCAAGACGAAAAAACCCACTGCTGCCTGCCATCTGTGAGAGGAAAACCGTATTTCTGGCATGTAAGTATTTCGTGCGTTGACTACGTCGATTTTCTAATTGGGTGTCCGGTTATGGAAATTCGAATTTCTTCGAATGGAAGCATGTGCGGTGACTATTCCTGTACGCCTCAAACAGTGGATGATTGGAGGAAAAAAGTTTCAGATGCCCCCTAGAATGAATTTTTAGAGATGACCTTCATACTCTTCATTATGATGGTTCTTTACGTTCTCTATCATTTTTTTGTCCGCGTGATTTACTATTGTAACTGCGATGAGATAGAATGAAAAGATGAACATTTTTATTTTGAGAGGCTTAAAATATTTTAGTAACAATTCAAACTGGTTTTGGTCGAAAATCATAAAAGAACCAGTTAAATCATTTATTTTTTTACGAAACCAATAAGGAAAGAAAATAATAACACGAACTCCAAAGTTATAGCTGTTTGAAAAAAAACAACGGCTTTATTTTCTCATTATGAGTAATTTATTTTCTTTCATTTTTAATGACATTTTAACGAAGAAGGGAGTAGAAAAGAAGATATTAGAGGGGCGATTCGGACTATCAATATTCTTTTTTAAATTAGTCGGCGAGGATTTTAACATACTGAACAATAATGGATACAATATTTGTTCATTAAAATAAAAACTATTGACGCAGCTTGATACAGCTTGCTGTGGATCTAAACATGATACCAAAAGCTCGAAAATTTTCACTATGAATAGCGATCGTTATCTCGTAGTTATAATTAATCTTTTTTAAAATGTCTCGAACATGGAGATATCGTGACCGAAAAATTCAACTGTCACTCGGGCATTTACTTGCGCGGTCCTTTCTAATAGTATCTTCAATTGCTTCGAAGAGCGCCTTGAAAAACCAGCACGTGGTTTATAAATCATTCGAATCGTCGTGACAAGTGGAGATGGAGAATTTCGAGGAAACATAAAATTGACTCTGGTTTTTTTTGTATTCCCTATCATGAAAATCTATTTATTCGAATGCATCGTTTATTTTTTTGAATTTACATAATATGTTTGTAACATGTTTCTAGCGAGATATACCATGAAGATCTCTGCAACTGGTAACATTAATATTATAATATTAAACATTTTCTGTATATAATCTGCATAACATTTCTAAACTTTTTTCAACGAACAACAATCACGATAATTTTTCTTTATTTTGTGTATACATAATATAATTTCATCATTATATCACATTGCGTACGATCCAGCGTGTTTTTTTTTCTCTCTATCTTTAGAATAAATAGTTGTGCTTGCATATAATTGTTTAATTGTCAATTATTTTTGTCTCTCTTCGCTTTATTATTTACTTTTGCCGCTGATCCAATGTCACGGCCAGCTCGGGCTGCAGCCAGATATAGCCGGTATGATTGATGCTGCATCGGGCGTCGTAGTACTTTCCGGGCGCCTGGCAATAGGACCAGCGCGGACAACGGCAGCGAAACTTGCTGTGAAACTCCTCCTTGCACACCTCGTTCCACCAGCAGGTTCTCTGCGCGGGGCGTTCACAATACAATTTTTTGTTACACGTCACTTAAAAAACGAGGGGGAAAACGTTATTTACCTCGGCCAAGTAGCCTCGAATGCTCTGATCGCTGTAGTTCCTTTTGACGATGTTGGCGCTCCTCGACGGTACGGCGAAAAAGCACAGCACGAGAAGTAAACCAAGCGCCAGTTTCACCTGTACATTTTCCCAACGCAAATGAAAAGAGAGTTAACTACGTGCATGTAGTACCGTATAACGTACACGAATTGCGGGAGATTTAATCAGGAAAGCACGCGAGGGCTCGATTAAGAATCTCTCTCTCTCTCGCTCGCTCGTTGGTGCGCGCGAGAACCAGTAAGAGAGCGGCGATAACAGCCCCCGAGTGACCGACTTTGCGTTTTAATACCTACTATACTATCCCTTTTTTACAGTCGAATAGGGTCAATGTATTATTGCGAACCGTACGCGCGATCGAGCGCAAAATCGTAATCCATTGTCGAGAGTGGCTCAATTTAGAGAATTGGATTAAAAAAATTACTCGCACTCAATAAACTCGATCGTTTTCAAATTAACACCTGTAGCTTATTGGCGTACATAAACGAGGCTGGGGATGCATATATACTTCCGATTGCATTTGCCGCTATCCGCTATTAGCAATTAGCTCAGTGCCACAGATTACTAAATAGTATTTCGCGTGGATCAGCAATTTTTACTAGTTCAACATGCATCGTGCGAATAAAAAATATAGTCGCTTCTCTATTTTAATTTTTTCATTGTATATACTCACGTAAAGGCGCATAATGACTAGTCGATCCTTATTCAATCGTCAAAAATACGATCAACAACGACAACAACGAAAACAACAACACACACGCACAGCAGGTGTTTTATTTATATAGATAGAAGCAGTAGCGGCCGCTGCAGGTCTCTCCGTCCGTCCTTACGTGGCATATGCGACTCGCAGTTTATATCGCTCGGCTCAAGGGGCGCGGAATAAAAATATAAACATACAGGCACGAAGGAGGAATTGCCGCTCCACTGCAGTGCAGCGGCACCAGCCGAGATTTTCTTTCCCTCGTGTGTATCTGTATGCGTGTGTGTGTGTGTGTGTGTGTGTGTGTGAGTCTCGGAGGGGGTGTGCAACTTTGCGGATACGTAGTGTGCAATTGCAAAAGGGGTTGCTTCATGTGCCGAGTCGAGCATGCGCCATATTAAAGGGCTTCGAGGCTCCCAAGTGCAGTGGTACGTATAGCACATAACAGCACACGGCTATTTGCCCATTATGTATACGTATATATAGGTCAGATTTTCTTTTCATCAAGAACCGAGAGTAAGAGAGAGGACGTCCACGAGCTTGTTTACTTTACGGCTTTTTTAAATACAATGCACATGTGTGTATATGCAGTGCGGAGTTGCTGCTTTTTTAATCGTTCTCTGCTGCAGCGGCCGAGTTATTTTCATATACTCGCGCCGAGTCATCGAGTAAGTATCTCATTTGTATGCATCGGCAGTGCATTGTATGATTCGGCACATGTATGCATGTCTCTTATGTATATAATACATGTATATGCAACGACGATGGCGACGAAATATTTTTGCATGCCATTCAAATAATATTGTCTTACATTCATCCAAGATTCGCCTGTGCATGTCGAATAATGCACGAAACTTCTTATGAGCGAATCCGAGTCGTGCGATGACTTTTTCGCGCGCTCACGCTTGAATATTATCGGCACGCGAATAATTCCTGTCTTACCGACGCGATCGATCTGACGTTGTTGGCGAGTCTTGAGTTTTCGTTTTCTGTGATCAAAATCAAGAGTCGTCTGAGTTGTCTTCTGCTAGTGGTCAACTACTGTTATTGCATCCATCAAAAATGGGTTCCCGAGCCCTTTTAATTCGTAATGTCAATCGTTTTATCAACAATGCTCAACCATGGTAAGAATATACCAGTCACAACACCCATCGAACCATCGAATGCCTCTGCTGTTTACATCAAAAGCTTAACCTGTCATTTTACATAATCATGTTTTCATGAGTCTGTCACTGAATTTTGTTTTTCTTATTGTAGCCAACACATCTCGAGCTCTTCTGTGCTGACCAAGGATATGGCTGATGTGGAGAAAGCATTGCAGATACACGAGCCTGACAGAAAAACAACCAAAACTTTCTTTGCTCACAAAGCAGAATTCCAACGCAAAGAAGCTATGAAAGGCCTTATTACAATTCAAAGCGAAGAGAATAATGTTGGCATTGCGTCTGGGACACCTGAGGAACACATCAAAACCAGGACAGTTCGCATTTACAAACCAGCTAAGAATGCGATGCAGTCTGGCACTGATAATATCAATTTCTGGCAAATTAGTTTTGATACCAGAGAACGTTGGGAGAATCCTTTGATGGGATGGTGCTCATCGTAAGTAACATAAAAACCTATTAATTCATGAATTACCTATTAATTTATCCATCATTTATGATTGTAGAGGTGATCCATTGCAAGCCTTGCGAGTTAATTTTGAAACTCTTGAAGAAGCACAAGAGCACTGTAAAAAAATGGGTTGGAAATATTTGGTACAGTCGCATCATGATAAGGACCCAATGCCTCGAAACTATGGAACAAACTTCTCCTGGGATAAAAGAACTAGAGTTTCTACAAAATAAAATCTACAAGTTTGTTTGTTGAAAGAAAACATGTTTTGGATATTTGAAATTTGAGTGTTTCTAGTATGGCAAGGACTCATTCACTTGAATTTAGTATCAATTAAGATTCATGGAATAAAAAAATTCTTAGCTATGTTGAAACTATAATGTAATATAAATGTATGAAGAGATCAATGGAGGTGATTACGAATAAAAGTTAATCTCGTTATTGATAAATTTCTTTTTTTATTATTATTTAGGAATAATTATGTAATACTTTTTTATGAGTTATAATTATATTCGCATTTGTTAGTAAAACAAGCAAACAGGTACTAATTTATAATTCATAGAGTCTAGCTCATCTTTCTTTTCAATTTATTTTTTTTTGTTTTAAGTATTGTATTTGAGTTAATTACTAATTTAATAAAATCTTTAATAGAATAACTATTCCTTATATTGCTGGATTCCAACTGCGTATCACTGGTTCTTTTATATATATGTAACATCAAACCAGTAAAAATCGAATATCTCCTCTCTTGTACGTTGGACTTGTAAGTCTTAAAGTTTTACCATTTATTTATTTAATTTTCTTTTTATAATTAAAGATTTTTTTTACTCATTGATCTGCCTTTGATCGCTCGAGCACATATTCTATACCGCGGAGCCGACGAAAGTACATCGCAATAATTATAATCTTACAATCATAAATCCAATGCTGACAATAATAAATTCATATACTTTATATTACTCCCAGTAACAACGACAACAACTATATTTTTTTTTCATTTATTTATCACACTTATAATATTTTGAATGCAAATGCCAAGGTGTGACGCGCACATTATACTCGCTATTTGTAAAAGTATACAATTTAATTTTGATTCGATCGTAAAAATGTCGACGATGCGTATAAATAATGATTTTTCGCCAATAACTGTAACAATTATAAAATCGTTTTATACTTTACAAAACGTAATTTAACAATCGCAAATATTAAAACAGAAACAACGCTCGGCTACTTCAAAGCTTTACAATGAAAGTATTAAAGGATTTATTGGGGAAGGATAGCCAGTACTGATAGGATGTGTACGATCGAGAAGTTTTTTCACGAATCCGGTCTATCATAAAATTAAATTGTTCGTGCATTCTGGAAAAAGAAAATTAGAATTGGCGCAAGTATTTTGTTGAGGAATAGTTGTCACGTTACGTTTTGATTCGAAATTATAGAAGTGAAAAATTTGGAAAAATTTGAGCTTTTACACACATTCACACGCTACATCAAAGATATATCATTGGCACGCAAATACGGCATAATCGAAGACATTTATCGATTGACCGGGGGGAAGATTCGGGAAAATAGAACAAAGTTCGATAAAATCGTCAATAATTTTACATACCTCAAAAAAGATAATCATGTATTATTTCGAATTTTTTTTCATTTATAATGCTCAAATCACATAATTTCATTCTTATACAGTTTAATAAATATTTATTTTGTTTCATTCGCTCGATTTTATTGCATTATTTTTTTTCTGTATTATACATGGCAATATGTTCATGTAACCAACACTATAATAATGAAGACAATTATTCAACTTACAGTTGTCATCCGATAATATTAGTAGGCCTTTGAATTTTTGTTGTCATTTATTTATTTTTTTTATTTTTTTCATAATTATAATGCACATCGTGTTGCAAAATAGTATTGCGTGATTTTATTTGTGCTTCTGCGTCTGTAGACTTTCCGAATGTGTAACGTAATTTTACTTTTAGTTTTAAAATAAAAATTTAACGTGTGTTTCGTATACTCATGATAGTCAGCGATTCATCTATTTTTAAAGATAACATAACGAAACAAAGACAGAAATTTTAAAATTATGTGGAATTTTTTTCATTTTCCCTCATACTTGCTAAATATTATCTCAAATTCAACACTAACATGATATATTGTCAATTTTTTTTTCATTTTACGATAAAGTTCACATCGATTTATAATTTCGTTGGTTAACGTCAATGATAGTTTTTCTTTAATTATTTATTTATTCATAAAGTAGTTGAGGCATATTCGAAGTGTGAAAAAATAATAATAAATCTTAAAATTATGTAACGAAACTTTTAGGGGTTCCTATACGATTATTTATATTCAAATTCCGTCGGCGCGATAAGGTGGCAGTCAATGCATTTTTTTCACATGTTGTTCAAGTATAGGATATTTTACCCAGTAATTGACCTCTTTCGACCATACCAGTGAATGACAATTTTTGGATATCCAATAATCAATCTTTTTCCTTGTTACATGATAATAAAAAATAAAAGGCACTACTCGCTAAAAAATTTAATTTGAAACCCTTACTTTTGTATTATAATTTCTAATTGTTTTCAACGACGTATTTTACAAAATGGTCATTTTCTGGGTTCTGGTCAATCACTGGGTCGATAACCCTATAGGTACACTTGTATATTTCGTATTAAAAAAATCGAGCACATCGCAACGTGTGCGATTATCGTCGATGCACACACATGTCGAAGCGAAACAAAAACACGTATCAGACCATTCAAGCAATCATCCTCATGTTCATGCACATTTTTCCTCGAAAGAAATTTTTTTTTATTCACTCTTGTCTAACTATCGTTTTTTATTTAAAATTTAAATATTACTCGTAATTTTATATAATATATTTATTCACTTTTTTTTTTAAATTTTATTACATGATTTAAATGATTGTACAGTTTCTGCCTTCTTTTTGCATCCCAGAATTTATTTTCTTTATTATTTATTTCTCATACAGCAACGATAGTTAAAAAATTTACGTGCTACAAATATGAATTGCGTTTCGAGATCAAAGCGATATTTAATGAGAAAATAATGAATTGGGTCATTTATTTATTTATATAGAAAAATAAAACGAACGATTTTAACAAAAGATATTAACCAGTTTGTCACGCAATCGTTCCGCGATATTTTTTTTTATTAATTTTGCTTATTAAGAAGATTTTAAGTTTAATAATGTACTCGTTATACCCTCTTTATATTTTCTTTCTCTCCATTTTCTAGTAGTTTATTGTTGCGCGACACGTAATTATTATACTGTGTTATCAAACGCATGATGATGAGACGCATCATATTACTCAATAATTGACTTATTTAATTCAGTTTATTTACGATTACTAATCATTATTTTTTGCCTATTTACATCGTGTGTGTGTTAGCTTATTTATGTGTAACGCGCGTAATGTTATTTAAGGCGACACTTCGGGAGGGGCCTCGTCTCGACGCTATAATTAGCGAAGCTTTTTTTTGAAAGATTCCTGTATTACGTTTCTTCACTTATTTTTATTTTCCGGGCGTCGATTCATAATCGCGCGAAGCCAAGTATTATTTTTATATGATATCAATACGACAAAATTGTATTGTTTTGTGTATAGAAAGAAGGGAGATATAGGAATTTCATTGGGGGTTCGAAGTATTTTCATGCGTCACACATATAATTTCAAGTTTTCTTTACAAAAAACTAATACAGTAATTCTTTTTTATCGTTATAATCGCTTGTATTCGGGCATTTTTTGTGTTAATGCATCGATTACGCGCGAGTTTGTTCTTTTTTACAATTTTTTAATTTTCCTATATTCATATAAGTATATTTTGTTGATTAAAAACTCTAACTATCTAAAACGCCCAGCAAAAATCTATACACATGCGCAACTTAACAAGTTTATGAATTTTCAACATCTCAGGCAGTACTTTATTTTTCAACTGTTTTTTCTTCAAGTCCAACGAAATAGACGATGTTACAGCGCCATTTCCACCGTTACCAGCTAATGATATTTACAAGTAAAAATGTTTGTAATTTTTTCGTATATTTTGCGTGCGAAACTTCGTTGGATTGTTTTGTTTTTCTATATACTCATGAAACTGACGCACGAACTCATAACTATTTATTAGATTACATGAATTTTTTTCAAATTTTTTTCCATCTAAATTTATGCTTTAGAAGTGAAAGTAGAGGCTTCACAATGTATTTAGAATTTATAACATGCCTATTATCGTCTATTTTTGTTTATGTTATCTCGAGATGTCAGCCTTGATTGCCAACATCACGTCATGCGAATTATAAGTTAAATTAATTTACAAACATATTATCACTATATGCGTAATGTTAATATCATAGATGTAATTCTTGAATTTATAGAGGTAATTTTTATTCACACTCTTTTGCTATTGTTCTTCTTTAAAAATCATAAATCTGTTGAAAATCGTTTCGCTATAGACAAATTTAATTAAATTATCGTTTTTGTATAGTTAGAAAGAGTCAAAAACCGCAGGTAAAAGCTCGGCCTTACTCGTAGAAAAAGTGTTTAGACTAAATTACCCGAAAGGCATAATTGGATATATTTGTTCATGGGTGTTGCTCTCTTTTGCTTTCTTTTAATAAGGATCTAAGAATACATTGTTTTGTCGAGCACGCAGTCGATGTAGTCTTCCTCGTACACGACGCAGAAGTGACTGTACGATTATAGAGAAACGCTTTTTATTTATATAAAAGGAGCTAAAAAATAGTCCAAAGTATGCAAAATTGTCGTCACATCTTTTTTTTTTTTCAAGAAATAATACACCATTTAACACGCTTAAGAAAATGTGTAACTGAGCTTTCTAAAAATTTCACACGATAATCGCCCTACACCCTCGCGCAGTTGTTTGAAAAAACCGTCGATATTTTCAGCTTCATTGTTTTTTATATCATTTTATCTATACGTAGTGAAAAATAGTACTTCTAGGTATGCGTACGATGATTGCTTACTCATTGTGATACGCTCTGTGTATCAATATTACATATGTTAAAATCTACCCTCTATCACCGTGAAATTTGGGAAGGTAATCGTTATTATAAACATTCCGTACGATCCCACGCGATGAAACACTAAAAAAAAAAAGAAAGACGAAAGGCCAAAAAATCCGCGTAATTCCCACCCGCACAAAAAATAACGAAACGTCCGCAACGAGGAGACATACAATATTTATTTATAATATTTATAGCGCAGCGCTCGATCGAGTACGCGTAACATTTAGAAAAAGTCGCCAGCAGCGGCGCCGCTTTATCTCGATCAGCTGGCCCCGTGATCGTCGTCGCCTGCTTGTTTCGACCGGTGCTCCGAGGAGCCAAGCGCAGCCTCGGCGGCGGCAGCGGCCTCGTCCTCGTCCTGCTCGTCGTGCACCTCCCGGTACTCCTCGCTCTCGCGATGCACCAGCACGTGCACGACGGTGCTGGCCTCGGACTGCTGGCGCAGCAGCGGTGGCCGGCCGGGGCCTCCACCCTCGGGACTCGGCTCGGTGACCAGTATGCTGACCGACTCGCTGCGGCCGCTCGCGTCGGCGACCGTCGACACGGCCTGGGTCAGCGGCGGTCGAGGCGCCGGCCGTCTACGCAGGCTGCTGCAGCGCCGCGTGAACGCCTCCTTGATGTCGCGCTGCAGTACGTTGAGCGACAGGGTCGTGCCGCTCGGGCGCAGCGAGTGACGCTTGCGCGAGAGTGTCGAGTTCTGGCTGCTGGAGGCGGCGGCTGCTGCTGGTGGAGAGCCTTGGGCCGCCGCGGCTGCGTCCTCGTCCGGGTCCACGGCGTCTTGACGGCCCAAAGTTCGACTGTTGATATGTCAAAACAGAATGATATTTTATTTTTGCATCGGTTAAAAAATTAATTATCTTCGTTGGTGTGTGCGTGTGTGTATGTAAAGTAATTCTCATCCACCTCTCAAACTCTGTTCTACTTGTATTATATCTGTCTATATTGATAAACTGATTTATTTTATTATAATGATGATAAAAACGTTTTCTAACTATATTAATCACGGACTAGAAATTATTTAATTGTTTTACGAAGACTATTATCATTTTTTCTATAGAGCTAACATTATGTTAAGACTATATTCGCGATTAAAAATACGATGAATTATATGAACGTAAGCGATGATGTAGCACTTTGGGGATTCGAAAGCTGGGCGCATTTATTATAATGTGAACTAGTAAAGCCAGGCTTTATTTTAATCGTTACTATATAATGGTAATATAAGAGAAAACTTGACCCTTATTCTAATGTTCGCTGATATCACAAAAGAAAACAGCAGCGGAGCTATATGCGGTGTTAGAATTTATATACACTATACCTCATACAAAACGAGACAACAAAGCTCTTTGTTGAAGTTTTTGATCATATCTTTAAATTATCATATAACTATTATTGATTCAAAAAAGGATTTTTAACAAGCTGCTTGATCTATGTGTGATTCAATATTAAAAAATGTTAAACTATGCCTAATTTAAAAGTTGAAAAAATTATTAAAACTATTGGACCATTCGTTTAAGAGTAATCCAAACTTGTTAGGTATTTTCAATTGAAAAAATTCAGCGATTTTCCATGCCATATAAGGAGTACTACTTGATAAAGCCAAAAATATATATTTTAACTCCTTGTTGTTAATAGTATTTACCTATATATACATTAAATTGACTGGCTTCTCTGAGGTCTGTTCGGAAAAATAAAAAAGAAAGACCATGACGTCAGAATCGCTCTCTCAATGCGAGATAAAAAATATTCGATTAAAGCTTTTTCGTAGCAGTACCAAAAACATACGTAATACGCCACATTTCATTGTGAAAAAAGACCCGGTCGAATCATTAGTCAATGGCAAAAAAAGCTCATCGCGATCGATCGTTACGTAGTGGCTCGATGATTTACCTCGTGTTCTGGGCTTGTAGCTCGGCGACAGCTGCAGCGACAGCGGCAGGATCGGCCGTCGGCGAGGCACGCGAGACGGTGAGGGCGGGGGGCTGCAGGTCCTCGTGGGTACCGGTGGCGCCGGAGAGCATCAGCAGCGGGAAATTTTGGAAGAACATGGCCGACGCTTGGCCAAGATCGCTGGCGTCGCTGGCGTCACTGGCCCGTGAGGACTTGCGACTGCTGGCCCTACTGCCACGATGCACGTGCAGCAGAGCCGACAGCTTGCCGCCCCAGCCGTGAGGGCCGGCGCCGCCCGCGCCCCTACCGTCGCTGCCCATCCCGCCGGGACTCGACGTCTGCGTCTGCGAATCCACTTCCTGCGCGATCCGCTCTCGTTCTCGCTTGTTCCTGGAGGTTAAACACATTCGCGTTAGTTTTCAACTGCCATAATATCAAGATTATGGTGTCCCAAACCGCGCTTCGACTTATACAATTATTTTGATTTTGCCACTTGCAGATTTAGACATTTAAGTAATCGCCATCTAGCGGTAGATGCTCAAAATGGCATTGCCGTATTCTACCAGGGATAAGGGGCAGCGATATAAATAAATCGATCGACTCACTCGGTAAAATCGCGGAAAGCTCGCTGGATGAGTCTGGCTGCCTTGTCTTGGCGCTTCCAGATTCTCGTGGAAGATACGATTTCGAGCTCCTTGCGCGTCGGGAACTGCTTCTTGAACTTGATATCCATCTGTTCCTGGAGCTTCTTGAAATCGTCCGACTCCTCGACGTGACCGAGCACGTGCTTGACGAGAGCGTGCAGTATATCAAGGCAGTGGATCTTGTTACCCTTCGCAATAGGAAGATTAAAGCTCACCAACGCCACGACATTGGGCTTTGATATTCCTAATGGTGGGTCAAGACTCGCAATGAAGTCGCTCAGCTGCGAGAAGCGTATGAACTGCGTTGCGTGCGGATCATACCTGTAATAATTAAACGTGCGGACATGCCACACACATTGACAAATATCATGGCAAGACTGCAGAGGACGGCGCATCGATCATCTGTAATTATTGTACTCACTTGGACCATCTGATGTAGAACATCTCCAAGTCGTCCTCGACGATGCCTATCTCCTCCTCTTGATGCGCCTGATTGAAGTTCTCCAATATGATGGCTATGTACATATTGATGACGATCATGTAATTGATGATGATGAACGACGTAAAGTAGGTGATGGCCAGCAGCGGATAGCCGCAGTCGCCGTTGAGCTTGCGGCTGGTCGGCGTCGGGTCGCAGTTGGGCGGCTGCACCATCAGCGACTCGAGCACGTCGTTCCAGCCGGCCGACGTCATCAGTCGAAACAGCAGCTGCATGCTCCGGCCGAACGTTTCGAAATTCACCTACATTGTCGATTGAATTTGAAATTATACGATGCATTACGTATACGAAGAATTTGAATTGGCGTCGATAACTCACCATATCGTCGAGCGCACCCTGTTTCCTCACGTGGCCAAAGACCGACATGCCGATGATGGCGTAGATGAACGTGATCAGTGCCAGTAGCGCGCCGATGTTGAACAGGGCCGGCAAACTGACGACGAGCGCGAAAAGCAGCTTCCTTATGCCCTTGGCGGCCTTGATCAATCGCAGTATGCGGCCGATCCTGAAGACGCGCACCACGCGCAGCAGCGTCGGCGAGACGGGAAAGTCGATCATGATGTCCTCCATGAGTATGCCGAGTATCGAGGCCAACACGAGGAGAAAATCGAACAGGTTCCAGGGCACCGTGAAGTAGTGATGGCGCAGGCCGATTATCTTGACTATGGCCTCGAGGCCGAAGACCGTCGTGAAGAAGGCGTTCGACACCTCGAGGACGAAAAAAATCGGATGCGGCTGATTGTAGTGCTCGATGCCCATGGTCAGCATGTTGAGAAATATCAGCACGAAGATGGCTATCTCGAACCTGTATATGCGAGGAGGATCGATGCTATAGGCTTTATAGAAACTTGACGCAATCGATGCAATGAGGCTTACCTTCTCGAGTTGGACAGATCGTAGAACATGGCGAGAATCTGATTCATCGGTCGTTTTATCACCTTTTGCGGCTTTTTCCTACCCAACTTTTTCATGGCAGTGTAGTAGTGCTTCTGGCTCTCGGTCAGAAACATTTCTAGCACTCCACCCTCGTACTGCAAAGGAAAAGAGAAAAGAAGTTAAATCGCGTAGTTGAGGCAAAGAGGAATTAAGCCGTACAACATTGCGAATTATGTAGGATATCTTGTAAACACATAGTGTATACTGGCCGCGAGCGGGATTATCGGTTAATTGGCTTTCGATTTAAAGGCTACATGCTGCGACTAGTACACACATAAACCGCTACGTACATAAAATCTCGATATGGGTAATTACTTTTTTCTTAAGCATATTGAAATTATCGATGATAACTCCGATGAAGAGATTCAGCGTGAAGAAGGAGCCGCAGACGATGAATATGACGAAGTAGAGATAGGCGTAGAGATTGGCCTCGCGCTGGGGCTGCAGATCGACGCCCCGGGCGTCCACGGCGTCCTCCATCACCTCCATCCAGCCCTCGAAGGTCGCCACTTGGAACAGCGCCAAGTAGGCCAGGCCCACGTGATCGAACGTGATCTTGCTGTTCTCCCACGTGTAGTTCTGCCTGAAGCAATCGTCCTTCGTGTCGACCACCTGTGTGCATATAAGTGTGAGCGCGAAATAATTATGCGTTCAAAGGGGAATTTTTTTCTCATTGCCCAAGAGGACACTCACGGATACGTTGAGAAGGAGGCCGTTTTCGTCGAGGCATTTAAAAAACTTGCCACCAAAAAATTGCACACCCATGATGGAGAATATCAGCCAGAATACCAGACAGACCAGCAATACATTGAAGATACTGGGTATGGCATACATCAAGGCGTTCACGACGATCTGCACAAGTAGTACAAATAAACAATAACATTTTCGTACAAATAATCGTACAATGTTACGGGCAATTGATAATGGTAACTCACTCTCATGCCTTGCCACCTCGATATGGCTCTCAGAGGCCTCAACGCCCTGAGGGTCCTCAGCGAGCGCAGCACCTTGAGATTTTCGTTCTCTTCGATCAGCAGACTAAATATGGATACCTGCGAAAAGCAGTCGACATTTGGTGCAAAAAGTTTTTTCGGGCCAAACGCAGCGGCGTACTCTAAAATTCAGTCAACGAGGCTCTACGCGTATATAATGTTTATCATGCCATTATATATTCAAAAAGTAAATTTACGAGGTGAAATGTATGTATTTGTATAATAATAATAAAACTACCATTACGATTTATATAGTATATAAATATTGTTGAATAAAATCGAGTGCGAAAAATCATTCCTTGTTTTAAAGCTCAGAATATAATAAATGCAGTTCGTAAATTATGCTGTATATTTTATATTTGCGCTCGGTACGTAATAATATTTACAAGAAATAAGAAAAATTACAATAATTTAGCATTGATCATGTATAATTATAATCATGAGGTAAATTTTTAATTTTCGCATGTCGATGCATTTTAAATTCACTGCGGGGGGCAACTCTCCTGATCCTTTACATATTGCGAAATATGCAGAATCTGGCATTATATATACAAAGCGATATACCATTTATGAATTTTCATTCGATTCGATATGTTGCTGTAGTACGTGGAGCTAATTTTTTATTCCAGTGCAATATATGTTGGGTGCGGACAAATCTAAATTTCATAGGCAATTCTGTTGTGCTGCTCGTTTTGTTTGCTCGTTTGCTTCTAATGGTGATTTGTGAATTCATAAATGGTACAGCTGTGCTTATATCGTTACGTTAATTGTCAACAAAGCAGTTTTTATCATGTAAGTACAATATAATGGAATAATGAAGTATATTATATTTTCTACTCTTTATAATAATCACGAAATTGATACTGGAATGTAGTAATGTGCAAACTACAACTGCAAAATTGTTAAAAACTACTCAAATCTCATATGGTAATACTCATGTACCGTGTGTCGAATCGGAATCAAAAAACATACGCATTCGTGCGTCATACACACGCGATTGTTCATTTCGTGATGTTTACATAGAGTAAGAAATCTTATTGCGACAACCCCACAATTCGATCGTTGACCTTTTTGTTTTCTCTCAAAGCATCGCCACTTTTTTGTTGTCGTTGTTATCTCTCACCACACACGCACCGCGCGCAGCACAAAAAGTACCAACTGTCGAACGGTTGTCGTCAACAGGATTTCTCACCCTAAGCTTTTTCCTCGCGCGCGTTACATGGTATTACGCGTATTTTTATCTGTTGCTGTTATTATGTTACCTTTACAAAGCATCATGTATGTAATATAATATTATTGGAAAAAGAAGCTGTTTACTGTAATGTATATAGATTGAAGCGAGATATATTTTGTATATAAGCAATCAAAAGCAAGCTTGTATATTTTTATTAAAATTTTCGTAAAAAACCGTTGTTACGTTATTTACAAAAAAATTTACAAAAATTCATCAGAAGAAATATTGTACAAAAGCTTTGTATTATATAAAATGCATGTGTGGTAAAAAATTCAAAATGAAATAAAAAAAAAAGAAAACAACCTACTGAGTGAACTTTTTGGCTAATTTTTATTTTTTCTTCCTTTCACAACATACCTGACGTTTGAGATGGGCATGTATACGGTTTAATACGCACACACACAAAATAGTAATGCATATAATAATATAGATACAAATTTGATACGAGGATATACAGGCTACGGCGGATATATCAATGCGTTATACGAGTAGTGCTGCTTTGAGGATAAAATTTTCAAATTTAAATTTGTTCCACATATTTTATATATAGAGTCGCGTGATTTAAATAATTTTAAAAAGCCATAAATAATGTACAGGTAGGCGGCGCGTGATGCATGTTCAGCGATTAATCGTGTATATATTAAAATGCGCTGAAATTTTATTTATATACGCTCATGCTGTACACATCGACGCGTGTTATAGACATCAATTACGGCGTCAACTGTGGCTTTGCTCAACAAAAATATTCATTTATACCCTCGCCCCACTTAATATTAAAAATAGATATGATAATTAATCAATCGTGAGGATGATGAATCTCGGTATGCGTGGGGGTACTTACGAAAACAATGATAAAGTCGAGGATGGTCCAGAAACTAGTAAAGTATTTACAATAGCCGAGGGCCAGCCACTTGAGCAGCATCTCGGCGCAGAACAACATGCAGAATCCGAGATTGGTCCAGTAGAGGATGTTCTTGAGAAAGGGATTGTCGTCGAGATAGATGTCCTCGAAGCACAGGGTTATCGACGAGGCGAATATCAGCACGAGTATGATCCACTCGAAGGCGGGCGTGTCGACCACACCCAGCACCGACGTCCTGACCTGCGTCCACTTCTGGCCGAGATCGGTTTCCAGGCATCTGTTCATGCACTCGCATCTATCCAAGCAAAATGACCATCATCGTCGTATAAAGGTGTAGTAATGGAGGCACGTAGTAAATATAACGTTATATTCTCGAGCGCCGGTCGGACAGGCGGAGAGAGGAAATAAACTTTCTATGACACAAACTCTATATAATAATATATATAGGTACGTACCTCTCGTAGCAATGCTGAGGGAAGCAGTCCTGCGGTACTTTGGGCGGTTTGTGACGGCCGAAGCCCGGAAATGATTCGAGACCGTCGACGTAATGGCCCTGGCTGTCCTTGCGGCCGCCAACGGTCAGCTCGTCGACGTAACTAACGAGCGTGTGCCACGGCCGCTGCTTCTTGGCCGGAGATTTGGCCGCGTGCTGCTGCTGCTGCTGCTGAACTTCGCTCTCGGCGGCGAGCAGCTCGTTGTTGTTGGCCGAAGCCGCGGCCTCCTCGGCTTTGCTGCTGGCGTCCTTGAACACGCTCATTTCGATGGTCTCGGCTTTACCAACGACGACCGTTGTCTGCTGCTGTTGCTGTTGCTCCTTGGCCTCGTCCTCGAGTCTCAGCTGTTCCTTCTCGCGGTCGCCGCTCGTCATCGTCACGCTCGCCGTCGTGGTGTCCTCGTAGATCGGCGCCGGCTGACGATAGATCGGCTCGTAGCTCGGACGATCCTTCGGCAGGCTCAGCACCGTCTCCTGTATCGCGTACTTGTCTTTCTCGGACTTGTCGATGACCTCGCGCACGATCTGCTCGAGCTTGTTGTTTTTCTCGTTCTCCGAGTCCTCCTTCTTGTACTTCTTTTTGCGCACGATCGAGCGGATGCGGTCGAACGAGCGGGCGAGCTTCGACTCCTCGCCGACCTCCTCCTTCTTCTGCTTCAGCTCCTCGGAATTGAAACTGTTGAGCAACAAGGCCAAGAAGAGGTTGAGCACCATGAAATTGCCCATCACTAGTGCCGGCAGGAATATGGCGAAACACGTGCCGGGACCCTCGTCGCGCTCGGCCCTCATGCAGTCCCAGAGTGGCTCGATCCACTCGCCGCACAGGATGCGAAATATCATCATGAACGAGTGAAAGAAGTCGTTGAAGTTCCAGCGTGGCACCGGGTCGGGCTCGAACTTGTCCAGGGTGTAGTCCTTGCTGAAGAGCTGCATGCCTATCACGGCGAATATGTAGATGACGATGACGAGGACGAAGGTCAGATTACCGAGGGCACCGATGCTCGAGATGATGATGCTCAGCAGGACCTTCATCGTGGTCCAGGACTGGGCCAGCTTGAGGACTCGCAGCAGACGCAGTCCTCGGATGACCGAGAGACCGTCGACCAGCTCGAAAGCCAGATCGATGAGCGACGCCGAGACGATGATGAGATCGAAGTTGTTCCAGCCGTTGTTGAAGAAGTCCTTGCTGAGGGCCAGCAGTTTGAGGCAGCACTCGAACGTGAAGACGGATGTGAAGACTTTGTTGCCGATGTTGAGGGCCGAGCGTATGGACTCGCTCATGCCGTGATGCTCCATGGCCAGGAAGCCCGTGTTGAGGACGATGCACAGCGTTATCGTGAGCTCGAACAGCGGATCCCTGACGACCTGCGGACAAAATTCGGCAAAATTCGATATAGTCATCGGTGAGACCTGTTGATTCGAGCGACTCGAATCATCGCATATCATCGCATACATGTATGCGTATGCCATGCACTCTAGCTAACGTCAATATTTGGAGGGGGGAATAGGATTTACCTTGTACAAACAGTTTTGAAAGCGCAGCCACCTCTCGTAATCGACGCAGCACTGTATGCACTTGTCGCAGTTCCTGTCCGGCAGATCCAGTACGACCATGTGCGACAGATACTCCGGCGGCAGCTCGTACAGGTGCTGCTTCTTGCTCTTCATCCCGTTGTACTTGAGCACGCGTATCTCGCGATTCGACGTCCTCACCGAGACGGTGACGGGCAACGGGGCTGGGAGCTCCTGCGGACGCTGCTGCAGCATCTGGTGATCGCCGTGGTGATGGTGCAGCTGATGATGATGTTGCGCCGCGGCCGTGGCGGCGGTGGCGGCCTGATGTTTGCCGCCGCGTTTGCTGTCGAGATGATGTCGCTCCTGGAGCCGGTGCTCGCGTTGCTGGCTGGGATCGCGACGCTCGTGCTCCTCCGCGGAGGTGACGTCGTCGCCGTCGTGATCGTCCACCACGCCGGAGTCGTCCATCGACGACTGCTGATTGCTGTTGTTGCTGGCTTGGCGCGATTGAAGCATGTTACGGGGCGCTAGTCGATGTTGCACGACGTTTTCCCTGGCCACTGCCGGGGCTGCCGCTGGTGCTGCTGCCTGTCGCGGTTGCTGCTGTTGAGGCTGTTGCTGTTGCTGTTCTGGTTGTTGCTGTTGTTGCTGTTGCTGCTGTTGTCGACGCTGACGAGATCGTTGACTCGCGGCCTCGGCTTCCGCTTCGGCCGCGATGTGCTGCTGGTGTTGCTGCTGAAGGACCGATTGGAGCGGCAGATGAGACGGCCGGACGCTCGAGTGTCGAGGACTCGGGCTTGGACTTGGCGTTACAGACCTGTAACACAATGGCGTAATGAAATTCTTTAATTAATGTACGTAAATTATCGAGCGTTAAATTCCGCATAGCTATCCCGGCATCGTGTCGGAATTTCATTGAAATTGAGCTTGCGACTCGAGAGAGCTGTGCGAGATTCAAATGAAGTAGTGCTTCACGATACGAGACGATATCGATATTTCCTCATTATCGATTATCGTATCGAATAAAAATGATCTAAATGGTGTTGGTATTGATAACGTCAATATTTAATTATAAAAATATCGTATCGATATCGACGATATCGAGACGATAATCGATCTTCATCGATGGAATTTCGATATTTTACACATGTTCCGATAAAAGTAAATTTTATTGACAAAATTTAATTAATTATAAAAATTAAATGAAAAAAAAGCTCGAAAGTTAAAATGTAATGCAGTGTGAGTCGAGGCCGCTGATACATCCTCGGCGCTCATTACTGAAATTTGACATAAATCGAAAAGTATCTATCCCAATTGATTTGAAAATTTTAAATCAAAACAAATTCTTTATTAAGACTGCGCTTTTTGAGAATAAAATAAAAAATAATATCTAAGAAATGTGAGTAAATCTGAAATATTAAGTTAGCTATCCCTGGACATCCATCAGAAATGAAACTTCAAACAAATCACAATGTCCTTATCAAAAGTAAATAAATCCAAAAAATGAGAAACAAATTAAAAGAATATAAAAAAGTTAAAGTTCAAACAAGTCATGTAATTTAAAAAATCAAAATTTCAAAATCGAGAAAAGTTTAAGATAATTCCAAAGTGAAAATTCAACCGAAGAAAAGGACTCTGAAGTTTCACTTTTGGTGGTGCTAATTCATATAAGACAATGCATTCTAGAGAATCTAACCACCAGAATGAAACTTCAGAGTCCTTTTCTTTGGTTGAATTTTTTGACATCAGCTTCCCATGCCACTCTGTTGCTTTGCGAGCATGATCATTTGCGCGAGAAAAATTGCGCTATTAACGATTTTTGCGCGCACTCGCATGGAGTAACTTACACTGGGTTAACATCGATTCTGTCCGTTCCAACAGAGTGGCAAAACGTGTTTAAGTATAGGGAATTCCGTCGTTCCATCAGACAAAATCGATGTAAACCCGTTGTACCTCCATTTATCGATCGATATCGATATTTTCGATATTATCGACGTCTAATTATTGACGATACGATAATATCGTCAAAAAAATTTGTTTGCCTATTGTATTGATTTCGATATCATCAACGGATATATATTGTATCGATTATTGTATCGTTTTCGATACGATATCGATACGATATCAATACGATATCGATATTTGTATTGAGAATCGTGAAGCACCATGTGCGACTGAAATTAATCATGCAAATCAGACGCGCGCGCGATTCTTGCAGTTATCTCTCAACGCAAAACTGCTCGACAAAACATCTCACCCAGTGCATATTTGGTGACGTTATAATTATCATCTTGGTAATCGCACGTGCAGCGCAATTCGTGAATTAAATTAAGACCTTATAAGTACGCCAGACGCGTATAATACATGTGCGTGTCGCGCGTTGATCATGTATGCGCAGATGAAATTAAATCAAAAACTAACGAGGCGAACACAGCGAGTACATCAATCGATGATCATTTCTCACGTGTTAGCGCGTATATTTACTCGCGTGCATGTGTGTGTACAGACGCCCGCGGGCTTGATTACGAGCTGCGTACCGCGCGCGAGACTTGATTGCAAAAAGTTTTGGAAAAATAAGTGGTGCGGGTCGAGCTGCGGTCGTACACGCAATCGGAGGGTCGAGTAATGATAGTTGCGTATTATTGTTGAAAAAACAAACTGTAAATTCAATGCAGATTTGATGTAAAAATTAAAATTGTTGAAGTGATCGGTACCCAATTTTGTTCAAAATATTTTTTAATGAAATCTTCGTTTAAAATTAATGTATCAGTACTGATGTTTTTTTACATTGAGGGGCAATTGTGAACGTAAAGATTATTTTTAAGGCAAAAATGAGCAAAAAATATTTCATTCTATACCCAAATTTGAACATTTTGATTAAAATTGTTCGATAAGTTCAAGAAAATTCAATCATAATTAGAGCCAGCATCGACCGCTAGATGGCGAGGAACATATTATCTATAAATCTGCAAGTGATTTTGATATTGTTGTGTTATAAATTTAATCGTTATAACTAGAAGACAATACATTGAATGTGATTAGATGGTCGATAGAAACTGAGGTTTATTGCTAGTATTTCGAAAAAACTGCGTGGACGTATAAAATAATACCAAAACAACCAATAATTGAAACAAACCAATTTAAAAGATGTTTCTTTAATAATTTCTGGCATGGAAAATTGAAAATGATTACATGGACACAATTGTAAAAGAGAAATGTTTTTTCCAATATTTTCAACACTTTACCTGCTGCGATTGTCGTTATTTTTTTCGTGTCCGACCGTGCTCCTGCCCCGTTTTCTCCGTCTCGTGCGTTTGCGCGAGTAGCTGCTCAGCAGCACCCCTTTGCGCGCGTCGATCTTCTTCTGCTTTTCCTTCGTCAGCGTCTTGATGTTGATCTTGCTCGGATCGAAGCTGAACGTCGAGTCCTCGCGATGATCCGTCAGATCCTTTCGTCTTTCCTGCAACGATCGTATGTGTATACAATACCATCCACTTTTCACTGGCCCATACATACAAAGGCACACTATATTTTGCCGAATATGGTGTTACTCGTGATTTGTGACTTCATATTTTAGCGAAGCAGTGGCTCGTGATTTCGATCCATATAATGTCGAACCCTCCCCCGCGCCTATATAATACAGAATCGAGGTAGGTATATATCACTCGTGTGACGATCGTTACTCCGAACGAATTTTATGACGTTACACACATACACGTACGAGATTCGATGTATTTTAATACCCACGATCTGGATGATCTCTTTGTGCAAAGCTGCGAGGCTGAACTGCTTAAAAATACCATACGTAAATCGCGAAGCGCGTTACAATATTTGTGTATATATATTATAAATTAATGATCGTTTTGAATTCATTTCTCGTGCGGGCATTAAAATATACGCATTGATCTTGTGCGCACGCCAGTATAACACGGATTGATGATTAATCAATTGCCATAGTTTTGTACATCAGCTTTTTTATTACGTTCAGAAATGGCTTCGTTAGCGCTAATCAATCTTCATTCGATCCAAGAGTATATTATAGAGAGCTCGAGTGCGGATGTATATAGTAGCATAGGAACCACCTGCTTTACACATCGTTCTATAACATTTTTATCAAAAGAACATCAAAATCGCATTAAGCACCTCCTTTTTCTTTTCTTCGTCCGCGGCAGCGTTTTGTATTATACACGCCTAGCCCTCCCCCTGACTTATGCACGTAGAATAATCCGTCAAAGTCAAAGGGCAATATAAACTCACCGCCGCTACATGTATATAAAAGGTAAAAGAGTCAAAAGATTCAGCGAGTCTGATTGTCTTTTGTGATATATAAAATCGTATTATATATAAAACCGAAGGAACAAAGTCAGACTGGACGCGCGTATACATTCAGTTCGAAGTCTGGCAGTAGCAGTTGCCTCGAGCTATATACGCGTAAACATAAATTCCCCTGCACGACGAAGCGCGCTGCACGATCAGACCGATCGCGCGAGTCGATAAATGCTCGTACACTTTGTACGTTCGCTCGTTATTCTCGTAGCAACTTGTACGTCTGTTCGACGAGCGTATAACAGAGGAAAGAGAGAGAGAGAGAGAAAGAATCAATTTTGAGCCTCTTTTTTCAGATCTCTCTTCGTTGTCGCTCTGATGCTCGGTATGCGTTTTGTGTAAATGAGAACGCGTACAGTGTGCGAGAGTCAAAAGGTGCGAAAGGCGCAGCAATTTGTTACCTCATTTGTGATTTCAGCCTCCTCCTCGTAACTCAGCGCCACGACGGCGAGCATTAGGTTAATGAGGTAGAACGAGCCAAAGAAAACGACGACTGTGAAAAATGTCACGCTTATGGGACCGCACGCCGACAGCACCTATTTCCAAAAGAGAGAAAAGAAAACAAGAGAGTTGAGAATTAAATAGGATTATTAAACGGGGGCTATCATAATTAATTACCCTTCTGCGAATGCACGCGCGCAGCTTGGCGCGGCGGCGCAGGAGGGCTAGGTTTTGTGAATGGAAATTTTAATTAATCATTTTACCTTGTTATAAACGTCCTCCCAATAGTCGAGGGTAATAAGCTGAAAAGTGGTCAGCATGGACCACAAAAAATTGTCGAAATTAGTGTATCCGTGATTCGGATTCGGTCCGACGCACAGACACGTGTAGCTCTCGTTGCAATGTCTGCGAAAAAAAATGGCTAGATTAAAGCGAGCATGTCTCGTATTATACCTTTTTATTTGTTTATTTTTTGTCATTTTTTTTTAACGTGAGTTCAAACGGGCCTGCAGATGTAGAGGATTTAAGCGTATGTAGTATATACCGTTACTGGGTACGAAGGCATGTTTCGCGGTGCGGTCGGGCTTTAAACCGATAATTGATTTTTATACCTCTACCGTGTACGTCTCAATTTTTTTTTTTTTTTTTTTGATTTTTTTTTCAACCCATCTACATAAGCTCGTTTTGTGTGCATGTGCTGTGCGTGATACCGAAAACGCACGCGTATAATTAATGTTCAAAGATAAAAATTGGATCAGAAGTAGCTTAACCTTGTTCCGAGGCTTGGCTCTCACGCACCACTACCACTACTACTATAACGCAGCTGCTCTACTCCTAGCGATACAGCCGAGCTCTCAACTACCATGTTTTTTTATTTCGCCACTATTATAGCACCAGTAAAAGGGTAATTAAATAAAAGCTTAACTTCATCAAGCGCGGCATTCAACGTTTGACCTGAATTTGTCATACACACAGCAGCGGCACCAGCAGCAGAGACGGGCGCGCGCTCGAGAGCTCTGCATCGAGCTCCAAGCCACGCAAGCCTAAGGCTAATGAAATTTTATATTTTAATTAAGTTTGATCGATACGCAATTTATATAAACATAAAAAGAGAGCAATAATTTATGCGCGTGAAAAAACGAATTAACGGTTTTCTTCCTTTTTTTTTTTATTTTATTACTCTTTTAGTATCAAAGTTCTCGGATCTTCGCGTAACTCGAGCGCGACATTTATCAAGTATCAAGCCGACAGAGCTGCTTGGAGGGAGGAAGGCTGTAGCCGTACGCGAAAAGATCTATCGTGGCCGACCGAGCGTCGAGTGTAACTACTGCCGGCGCGCGCGAAGTCAAGTGTAACCGTAATAAGTTCCTACTTCTTTCCTCGATTCTCTCTTTTCTCTTCCTATGCTCTTCCATCTTGTTCGGCACAGCCACGCGCTTACAGTAAAATCCATTGATTCTACAGATTGTGCGCGGGGTGAATGATAAATCTCGCGCGCCTCGCTGCATTATTTTCGCGTCATTAGACTCGCTGCGACTATATTATATATAATCCAAGCTCGCGCGCGATTGAGTAAAAATTCATTTCTAATGATGTGCGCAGCGCAGTCTAGACTACTGTACGTGCTTTCGAAAGAAACATTGATTAAAATTTCGCCTCGCGTCGGGCGTGCAGTCGCAGCCCAACGCCGCGTTATACGAGCACTTTGCAATGCAAACGCGATTGCCTGCATATATACTCCTAAGGGTGCAATTCAATTAAAAAACTCGGAGCGAGCAGCGACGCAAGTCGCCGTGGTACGTAGTAGTGGTAGTGGTTGTAGCAGTATCAGTAATAGGGTGATACGGTGCGGTGAAAAAAAAGCCACGTGATATAAGCTCGGACGCAACTTTATCCATTAAACAAAAAAAAATTTGCAGATAAATTTCAATTTCACGAATGTAGCCCATGAAAAAAATAACGATAAATCATTCGAGTGTACGGTATGTGGCCGAGGCCTTTATAGCCAATCGATTCTCTTAGCTACTCCATAGATCATCGAGCTTTATACGTACATACACCCACACATGCGCCTGGTGTGGATGGTCGCCGTTGTAGACATATATGTAACGCTGCACAGCACATACACAGAGAGAAGTACACCCATTCTATCCTCAACACGAGAACATGACTTTTTGATGTACGCGAGCGAGGGAGGGTAGGGGGTGGTGTGCGAGACACTCGTTACATTAGCGAATTCGTGCTGTGTAATGTATATATGTACGAACCTGGCGCCGGTGACGTTTCCGCAGATTATGGGCTCCTCGTCTTCGTTGAATGCCCAATTGGACGAGTTCCAAGTCCACCTGTCGGTAGGCAGCAGCAGCAGCGGCGCAGCAACAAACGTATCCAATTACGAAAAGCACGAATAAAAAAAGTATTTTTATTTTTTGCCCACCCACCCAGCATGCTGAGCTTATATGTACGACGCACGCGTGCAAAGAGCGCAGATTGCTTTTCGTTCTTTTTCTCTCTCTCTCTCTCGGCTCGTGTATTATTAGGCACCGGCGTGGCTCGCCCCTTTTTTTTATAAGATCCACATTTCGATGTAAATTTCATCTCGAGTTACGCGCCGTACGTATATACGTATATAAAAGCGCGAGCGGCAAACGTACGTTCTTGACTTTCTTTCTTTTTTTATGTAAAGGATAATATAATTTTACAACTACTCGCGAATCGTGCGCTCATGACTCCGTAACGCCGCACGCGCGCGGCGCGCCTGGAAATAAAAAGAAGTTCGTATATACTTCGAACTTTGCTTCGGCGCTGTTGAAAGTGATGAAAAAAATGTGCAGCAGCACACAATATATATTCCGGTGTGTCATTCCGCGCTCGTCTATTTTGGACCAAAGTACAGCGAAGAAATTTACGGTTAAAATGTTATTAATGCGCCGCGACAGCCCAGATCGTCGAACAACTTTATTTTCGGAATATAGACCGCCGATAATTCCATTCAATTTCTTTTTCTCGAAACGAGAAAACTATTGAATAATTCGAAGTCCAAAAATACACAAGTATAGATAGTACTCACTCTCTCCAATCGATGTCGGTGGCGTTGGGCTCGATCTGCTTGACGCACTTGTTCCTCAGCTCGCCCATGTAGACCTGCAGGGCGAACAGGGCGAACACCATGAGGCAGAATATCGTCAGAGTCATTACCTCGGCGAGCTGCTTGAAGCTGTGCAGCAGCGCGTTGATGATGGTCTTTAACCCTGCGCAGCAACAACGACAAAAAAACTAAATTATCGACGTTTCGATTAGGGCGCGATTCTAAACATATATACGCGCACGGATTCGAAGAAAAAAATAAAAATCACGCTCTGGTGCTTTATTACGAGCATAGGGGATGCGTGTGTATGTGTGTGTATGTGTAGGTATACACGTCGCCCGTAATAACAGGCATGGTTTTCAGCAGCAGCGGTGCACGAGCGGAGCGCGTGGACACAGCAATTAGGGGAGCTCGAGCGCGCGCGCGCCAAGAGTTGCTGTTGGTCGAGCAAATTGACGAAAATTACTCGCGCGCCTAAAACCGTCGAGCGAGCTGCAAACTTCCTCAGGAATTCTCCGCGTTTGCGTGAATACTTCGAGATGCTTTATTTTTATTACAATCGTCGAGTAACTTTGGAAAAAATTTGTGCTCGAGTTTTATACGATGATTACGTGATTGAAATGTTTAATTTCTCGTCATCACGCTTTAAAATTATTGAACCCAGCTGTAAATCACATCCAAAGCCACTGGATCTCTCGTTGCGATGATTTTTAATTAGCTGGTTGACAAGGCATAATTTTTCAACTTTTATCATAAAAACGCACAATGTTCGCAGTTATGTTTACCCTATAAACTCAGTGCGGGAGCTTTTCGAGAGATTACAGCAGCAGCTTCTTCTTCTCGCGCCCCCGCACACGAACGCTGCTGTAATTTGTATACTTGAACATCCCATTGTCAACTTTACTTATAAAATCCCTGGATAAGAATGAAAAAGAAAGGCATGAAAAAAAAGATGAAGAAGAGGTAAAGAAAGAAAAGGCGCCTGCCTTTGAATGAATGCCATTGACCTATACTGCGGCATACCCTCACCCTCTCTCTCTCTCTACGACTATGTCGCGCATTCGCGTCGTTCTCTCTCGTTCGCGCAGAAAAGCGCCTTAATTCTACTTTATTTTTCGGGCACACACAACACAGCTGGTGCGCGTCGTTAGGCAGCCTATTCATTCGCCACCCCAACCCCCGCTTTCTCCTTATATTTCCACCACCCTCGCTTCATCTCTGCGGCCATTATATTCCAACGACGGTATAGGCTGCATATAACGTCATCATAGCGTTTCATACACGTATACGAATATCTGCGGTCCATAAAACCGTGTACACACGTGTTTACGATTATAAGTGGCGAATAAAGTTTTTTCCCCGCAACCCTCAATTATAACATTATCGAAAATCGAGTATCTTCATTCTCTCTGCGCCTCTCTTATAAAAAAGTAATCTTTGCGAAGCGTGCTGGGAGCGGCGCATCGCGCTGAACCTCGACGAGATGTGCAGCGTAGTTGCGCGCGTCGAAGCATCCGCCAAGCCGCACGTCAGCTATGCGGTACTTTCGAGCTCTCTCGAGTACTTGCTGGCCCGCATACATATAGAGCCTAGCAGCAGCAGCAGCAGCAGCAGCATCCACTTCTCGTTTACATATACTTTGGCAAACTTTGCCTCTTCTCTCGCTCGCTCTCTCACGGACTATCGATCCGAAAAAGCTCTCTTGGTACACAATATGCGCGCCGCGGGAGACAAGAGCTGTGCTGCCGTCCAAAAGTCAAGCACTGCCTGTGTGCACACTATAGAACACACACGTACACACTTTAAGAATGCACGATTGAGTCATTAACTTGGTCCAGCCGCGCGCGTGGAGTACCTTCGTGTGCAGCTTCTTCCCGAAGAGCTTAACGATTTATGAGATTCTGGCCCGTCTTTCGCTATGTGTAGAGTGAAAAATCACAGTTCGCTAGTCGCGTCTAATAATTAAGGTTTTGAGATATCCTCGTATTCCACGCTGCAGCTTACGAGATTCTCGAGGCATGTGATGTCTACTGCTGCTCGTGCACACGCTGCAGTGATCAAGGCTCTCGTCAAGAGCTTTTGAAAGCTCTCCTTCGCGTATATTATAATATGATATATGCAAACAATAACTCGCTCTCCCGCGTTGTATTATATCCCGGGAAAATGAATTTGACGCTAAGTTCGTATTATTCCCTGGATTAAAATTGTTATTATTACGCGCGAGCATTCGTATATGTGCGCATACACATACTATGTATAGAGAAACACAAGCGTAAATACACATCCGTTGTATCAAAGACCATATCCGAAAGTTAACCGCACGTACGTGTGCGCGTGCACACGTGGTAGGGGCGCTTGCTCACTTGTGTGTGCTCGGCGCAGTATATAGATATATATAAATACAGCGCGCACACACTCTGGAGCAATGGTTTAATAATTTATTTACGAGCTGTACACGTTACCTTTTACCAGCTGGAAAGACTCCCTGGCGCGCGCGCACACATACACACATACACGCACGCACATAGCCTAAGGCCAATGTTCCGTTGCATCTGTGCCGTGTTGCGCTATACTAGCTAGTATTAAAAATTTTACGAGCGCAAGAAAGTATAGAAAGGAAGAGCGAGAGACGAAAGCTTCGAGCTTGCGAAATATATATGCTGCCGTGTACGGTATGCGCAGGGGGCAATTCGGTTTGATTATCGCATTTTGCCACGCTTGCGTACACATACAAGAGTCATCGTCGAGAGCGAGTAAAGAGAGATAGCTGCGAGAAAGATGAGCAAAAGAACATAGCCCCGTTTTTATTATTATCATCGTAATTGAAATTACGTGGACATCTGAACTGATTGATCCGATTATTATTATTACTTGAATTTGTGCGCGTGTGCACGGACTCTTGAGAGCCATCGCACATTGCAGCAGTGTGTCAAAGGTTATAGCAATTGAGCGCATGTCAAATTTAATTTATTTTATGCGAGCGCGTGTGCCGATGCTACTACTGCTACTGCTGCTGCTGCTGCAGAATAGCAAAAGAGCCTCGTTACCTTATTAACTGCGAGATTCATCGTTTATAAATTTATAAACCCTGATGCCAGCGTTGCAGTGCTATTATACTGCCGATGCTGCATAAAATTAATGTTTACGATGGTGAGCGCGCGCGCGACCGACCGCAGGAATATTTGCAAGAGCAGCAGCAGCAGCATCAGCGCAGCGCGTGCATCGAGGTTTAATTTTTTTCCACTCTTTTCTTTTACGGGGAAATAGCCTCGCGACGAGGGCGCAAAGCCACTGCACACGCGCGAGTTGATGGCTTGTCTAAGCATTTATACACATGATACGCCGTGCAGCTGACGAGGGACTTACAATCTAATTTCGTAGGGATTATACTTTGGGATTTGCAAGAATATATCGGTTAGAAAGTTTCTAACCGGCTAAATGAAAATGTCTCTACGGCACTGCACGCGCATCGCCGCGACCACTGTGTTGCCTTCCACTAGACTATCGTCTTATTTTCTCTCTCTCTCGCTCTCTCATTCGAATCAAGCTTTAATGCTGCTTGAGCGAAAAGAGAGAGAGAGAGAGGTAGCAAAAGAAAGAAAAAGGCAGAGAGTACAAGCGTTGAAAAGAAGGAGATTGCACTCTTAAGAAATTGAATTTGCCTGGGAAACAAGACCCGCTTTGATGTGAATAATGCAACAGTTGCATCAGTAGTTAGATGGTAGTTAGCAGAGCTGAATAGTGGTAATAATAGTTGTTGTTGTTGAAGCTGTTGCTACTTTCTTATAGTTCCGTTGTTATCATTAATTGTGCTATATTAGCACGTTGAACTGTTTTCTCTTCGAGCATGATTAATTTTTACATCTACCTTTTTAAGACTAATGATACAGCTGCATAGGAGAACTGAAGAAAATGCATACGCGATGCTTTGAATCCTTTTTCTTTTTAATTAATAGTTCATTTTCATCGTTTTTTCAAAAGCTTGGTGTAATCAAAAATCCACGCTCATAAGATGAAGAAAAGAAGGATTCTGTAGACTCTTTCACGTTATATATAAGTTGTACTTTATTAAAAGGCTAATGAGTTTTTTGCCAAAATCGTTTGATTCAAAATGATGCAAGCTTTCGTAAACATTGGTGCTTTAGCTGCTTCTACTGCATAGCACTGCTGCAAGCTCACGTAGTACCGTCGATTTTTATTCCAGCCAAACGACGGCGAACAAAAAAATGAGGGCCAAGGGAAACAAATTAAAAGCAAAAGGTGGAAGTTATTCAGAAAGCTAATTTTCCTACCTCAAAAGTAGAAAAAGACTTTGGAATTAGCACAAAGAAAGAGAGAGAGAGAGAGAGAGAGAGAGAGAGAAAGAGAAAGAGAGCTTTCGTCGAGGTGGATTATACTTTACGCAATGTACGTATATATTGTATAGCGAGTGTATATGTATAAGCGAGCGGCTCGTGTGAACGAGATGTCGCGCGACATCAGCGGACTTTATGAGAAAAGTTTCGTCCTGTGGCGTATGCCTGATGAAAAATGTACTCCGAGCGTACTGCAAAAATATACGCATTATGTGCATCTACTTCTGACGGCACTTGTGTGTGTGTCTGTTACAATATGCAGAGAGCTGGACCGAAAGAAAAAAATTCTTATGCTACATTTAAAAAAATACGAATAAATATGAACAAATTTAAGCTCGGCCGAGTTAAAAAAATTTTCGAATTAATAAAGCAATTTAATCGCAAGAAACAGCTTGTATAAAGTTAAGGTACCAGTGCGATTTCCTTTTACAAGTTCGATAAAAACGTTTTTCACTCTCCCCCGGCGCGCGCGTGTGTGCTGTGTTGGCTGGCCTGCACACACACGCCGAATTAGCCTTTAACTTATTATACCTTTCGTCGGACTCTCCCTCTCTCCTCTCTTTCGAAGCTTTAATTCCTATTTAGCTTGTCGAGCGCCGCTTTAATACATCTAATTTCGGGAGCGTGGATTTTTTTTGCACCATTACGCGACGGGCTAATTGGCAATGGGGAAAGAACCAAAAATATCACCCGATCGCGCCCAGGAGCCAAACTACATACATAGGTATATATCGATTATGATATATATCGAGCAGGTAATTTTAATAAAGTTTTTTTTGCTCTCTCTCTCTCTCTCTTTCGCACACTGACATTCAACGTGGCGCTGGTGCAAAAATAGGAGTATAATTAAAGCGAATAAAAATGCAAAACGATGAGCGAGGTGCATAATTTAACGCTTCTATACTATAGGTGCATATAAATACACTTGTCTGCATAACAAAGCCTCGGCGCGCGAATACTTTTCCAATTTATGTGTATGCGAATAGCCGTGCACGTGTCTCTCTAGCTTTTCTCCCTCTCGCTCTTTTATATGCGATCGACGACTGACTGCCTTTGGAGCGCTGGGACGAGAGAGAGAGACAAAAAGGAAGGTGAAAAAAGCGTCGATCCCGTGACCTTTGGAGAGCTTTTTTTACGCTCAGCTGCGTTTATCTTCCACCTTCTTTTTCTTTTCTACTTCTCCTCCTTCTTTCTTCTTCTTTTTTATTATTTTGCTTTATAGAGCTCTCTACTTGCTACTACTTAAGTACTGTTCGCTCAACTATATTAGAATGTTTGGATAAGGATCTATTTTTCTTTCACATAATACCCGAAGCTTAGATACTGTTTTTTCTAGCGTATTATGCAAGCGAGACGTCGGTCAAGAAAAGGATATAAATAGTAATTAAAACGATATTTTTTCGTCCTTGTTGATTCTTGCATCTCGCCAACAGCAGCACCAGTGGCTGAAGTATCCAATGATTTTAGATCCGATCCGTGCATTCGGGCGCAAATAAAACCGACTGGCGAGTGGTTCAATAGACTTTTTGAACTTCGTGACTGGGAGGTATTTATGCCGGCTGCGCGAGCACAGAGCGTTTTGTTGTTCTGCCGTGAAAAACAACTGGCTCGGCACACGATAAATAACATTTTCTGTTTTGGCTCGCCTCACCCTCCTTTCTCTCTCTCTCTCTCTCTCGCTAGATTTTTTTCCATTGTTTTGTTATTTCAGGGGGCCGGCAGTAGCACACAATGCTCTACCCTCGAGCTGCTTGGCAGGTGAGTATATTGTAGGTTCGATGTCGCGCGCGGTATAGTACGCTAGCCACACGAGACTCGATTATGTTTTCACTGGCAAGTGATAATAAACGCGCCGAGAATTCATTGATACAAAAAGCTCGCCTGATCGCTCGACTCTATTGATTTAAGCTCTCTGCGACTAACCCAGTGGCCTATGTGTCTATGCGCGCACGTACGTGCCGCACCAGCTACTCCGCTGCGAACGTTTGATACTCGAGTGTGGTTTTAATGTCGCCTAGCTACTGCACCTCGCTCGCGCTACTCCGAAGGGAGAGATAAAGGAAGCGGATAATGCGATTGCGCCGCTGCCTTTATGGTTTTGAATCTTTTATCTCTCCAATGCGCGCGCGCCCGTATACACATAATTTGCTGACAACATATATATACTGCATGGATGCTGCTGCTCTCTATATACGTTGTATAACTGCAAACCTAATTTCTAGTCCTTGCTTGCGCGCGCGATCGAGCCACATGGCTGCTCCCGCGCGCGCGCAAGCTCGAGAGCTTAATTCATTTTGTGGTCGCTCGGGGGATATATGCCCGCGCGCCTCAGCATTTAGGTTTGATTTTGCATTATTTACCCCGCGTCGCATATGTGTGTGTGTGCAGTTCGCGGGATGCGGGCCAGTGTGGTTAGTCGCACCGGGCTCGCTTCGGCGCTACATTCAATTGTATACGGGATCGATACGCATCGTATCGGGCAGCGACGCAAAATATTTATTACGATGTATAATAATAATTGGATATATGTTTTAAAAATTCTATTTACCTGGCAATATTGAAACAGTCTTAAGGGCTCTCAGTACCCTGAACGTCCTGAGACCAGCGAGATTACCGACCTCCATGCCGATGGTCGCGTAACCGCTTGTTATCACAACGAAGTCCAGCCAATTCCATGGATTTCTTAAATACGTATATTTGTTAAGTATGAATCCTTTCGCTATGGACTTTATCACCATTTCTGCCGTGTAGATGGCTAGGAAGATATATCTGTGGACAAAAAAGCAAGAAACGCAGCGTTAAACGTGTCGTTCCGGGATATAAACTGCCGTTCAATCACTTTTGCCATACCTAAGTGAAAAATAAGTAAATTTCAAAACATCATAACTCAGTCAATAAAAGTCGTATCAAGATTTTGAAACTGCCATTTAAAAGGTCTTTTCAAGTCCTTTTTAACAATATAAATTAGTATTAGGACTAGTCATTTATTCACTTATTGTCGTTAACAATTAAAAAGTCGGAAAAAAAGTTGTTCTGGTCGTTGCTATTTCTGCTGTCAGTTTAGTAAGAAGACTTGTATAAACATTCTAAGCCCATTAATTTGTAGGTTTTGTCAAGACCATTAAATCCGTATAACGCAGGTGTATTTTTTCTCTCATAAATCACTCGTACAAACTTATTTTCAATCTCATAAATGATGTTTAAGACCGTCGATCACCTTTTTCAGGGGACTAAACTATCTGTCTCTATTTTCGAAATTCATGCTTATTGCTGTTATTTAACAAATTACGTATCGTAGAACGATTGTAGTAAAAATGTGATAGAAATTACTCCAGAATGTACTAAGTTCTTCATATGCTGTATATTATGCAGAGTTTAAAGTTAAATTCTAACTGAATTTTAATAGCAGTCTAATGAAATCTTACATGAAATTGCATTTTCGTGGAAGTGGATAAAATTTCGTTTTTTTTTATGTTTTTAACCCTCACGAAATGAGTAAAAGTAAACGGTAATATTTCAGAATTTCTATATGGTCAAACAATCATTTTCGATAATTCTTTTATTTTATAGTTATCTGGTTGACTGTAGATGTCGCATCGTGAACTCTCAAGCGGTAGAATCAACTTTAGAAGGTATATAAATTGTGAGGATGTATTCCCCTTCGTACTCTTTCAACCGTGTAAAGGATATTCCATCTGTAAATTTTTTTATCTCCCACGTTCATTCATTCATTTCATACTCCAAGCTCTTTTTTCGTTTTCCGCTGCGCGCTCGACAAGTTGAAGATCGTTCGAGATTTTCAATTTTCGGCCCGAATTAATTATGCCGACTGAGAGTGTAATTTTCGTAACTTTCAGCTCTCGAAATACAAATTATTCATTTTGCAATTATGTTTCTCTCGCGGAAAAGTTGCTCGTGTGTATGTATATATACGTAAACGTGCGCGACTCGATGGTAAAATTTAATTCTCGCTCTCTCTCACTCGTGCAAAGAGCAAGTGCGAGAACTGTCGTGCACGCGCGCGAGCAAAGTTTGCCCACATCGCTGTTCGTTAGAGCAATTTGAAAAATCATTTTTTTACCTCTAATCTTCACTTTGCTTGTATACACTCATTAAAGACGCTATAGCTCTGAGCTCGTTATAATCGCGTTCTCTCTGGCTCTCTTTCTTTTTTGCGCAGCCCCTTGCCACGGATCGGTACGTTACAGCACTCGACGATAGTAGGATATTATATACGTATTAACGATGGTGTAAGCCGAGAACGCGAGGCGAAAAAAAGATCAACTACATAAGCAGCCATGTATACATCCATTTAAGCCGCTTAATTTTCAGCCGCAGCGGCAGTAGCAGCGAGCAGCGAGGGCGAGAGCAAATAAAAAGGTTTTGAGAAAGTGACGAAGTTAAATGAAAAATAAACACAAGCCGCGAGAGAGGGAGAGTCAAGAGTTTATTTATCTCGACACTGCTTTGGGCGGAAATTTGGGAAACCGCAATGAAAAGCACTGCATCGCTTACTTAAACTCGTTTGCATTCAAAATAACGCTGTACGGACGAAGGATTATAGACCAATTTCGAACACGGTGTCGATTTCATGAGATGCCATTCAATTTCTGAGCAAAATTAGCGCCACTACCACCACCCCATCTCGTGCTCCGCGGCGCGCGTCGAGTTGTTTATAATAGCTGGCGAAGTTTCTCTCACCCGACCCGACCTTTAATTCAATTAGCGCTTGCGATTGATGTGTGTAAAAAAGAACTGGTTTAGCTCGCTCTGTCTCTCTCAATCTCTCTCTATTTCTCGCGTGTGTGCATGGGTATACATTCGTGAAGGGGTTGAGCGCGCAGCCACGCATAGACTCACACACACACACACACACACACACACACACACACACACAAGCGCGAAACTTCCTAATTGAACTGGGTCAACTGATACGTGGAAAGACTCCAAGTTGGATTTGATCATATCGTTTTGTTAGAAATGTACACTAGCCCCAGCTTATATAGCCCGGCTATATAATCTTATATACACGCGTACTTTTATATATAGTTATACGGCGAAAGCTTGCAAGCTGCTTCTACGTACCACAGCAGCAACCCCCGGCTGACGGCGGTGTTTCTAATCGATAATATGATATTCGCCGACGTTAATTAAATTTTAACGACGATGAACTTTTTTTTAGCTTCAACGTATAAAATAGTTGTAGGTCATTAAACGATTGCTCGCGAGAGGAAAGGGAAAGGGAGAGATAGAGCTAGTTACGACGAAAAGTGATATTTTAATTTAAAAATCACGTTACTTTCCCAAAGTTTCGAGTCGATCGCGAGCTTTCGGTATAGGTTGCGGTCATAAATGAAAGATATATTATTTTAGCCTCGAGCTTCGTTCGCGTGTTGTTCTTTTTTTCTACTTTTTTTTCAGTTTTTATTACAGATACACGAGCGGCGTGACTCTAAAATCTCCGCGCCCGTATATACATAGACCGACGTTTCTGTTTAAGCACCACCTCGAGATAAGAAGTCCTACCGCGGCCGTCAACCGCGAACACGTAATCTTTTGCTTGGCACGTTCCTCGGATGACTTTATTATTATTATACGATCGTAAATACCCGGCAGTTTTACGATTGCGCGGGGCGATAATAAATTTTTTTTTCTTCTGTATACAGTATGTTCACTGTGCTTATGTAAGAATTTGTATCAGAGGCAACTCACTCGAATTCTTCGGCAGTCTCAGTCCTGGCTAGGAAGACGCAATTTACTAGTATCGTGAACATGACCACGTAATCGAAGAGTTGATTCGTGCTAAGGAAGATGCAGCAGCGTCGTATCGGGTTCCACGGCGAGAAGATGAACCAGCTCTTCGTGGCGGTGAAACGATGAATGTAATTCTTGCGAAACCTCTTCGATACCACGCAGAACGTCTGCAAAAAACAAAAGAGCAATCGATGTAACTTGTTTGTTTTATGAAAATCCCTCGAATGAGGATACAATGCGAGATTGACCGATCGAACAGTCTTTTATTTTATTTGTTTGTTTTGTTTTTTCTGTCTCGGGGTTATGGTATCTATGTGGACAAAAGGGCATGTGATTGATCGTTTGATCGATTTTATTGCGTCGAATTGTCCTTCAATTTACAGTAAATCGTGTTACAACGTTCAAGATAGGAGTGAATATAAATGTGCACGATTGTACTTTTACGAGAATCAGTCGGATTGTATAATTTATATTTTTCACGGGCCATTATGATATAATAAGAATTGAAGGCGAGAAAATGAGATGTGAAAATTCCAAGTTTAATTTCATTAGGTTCTAGCTTACATCAGCAGCTAATTAATTAAATAGCTTATTATAAATTTAGTTGAAACGTTGATGTTTTCAATTTCAGAGTAAAACCAAAACACAAATCACCACGTCGACGCACGTATAATCGTGACTTCAAATTCATCGGGCTTTATAAGCTCTCTCTCTCTCTTATTCTCTCTTCCGGCAGTCGAGGCAGGCAGGCAGATAGCACCTTTTTCTCAGCTGTGCTCTCTCTGTGCATATACCCACACGCGACATGTACACATATACCGCACCGAGAGACTTTTTAAAGTTTCGTCAGTGTTGGAGCACTGCTGTTGCTCCACTTTTGTTCCTTTCTCTCTCTTTCTCTCTCCATTGTCGTCGCCTAGCTCTGCATGCGCGCATAGCAAGCAGCGTACGAAATTTCTTCTTCTTTTTTTTTATATTTCTCGCTCCCTCGCCTCGAGTGCTTTAACCTGCATTCGACGACGACGACTGCAACTGCACACGACTACGTAATACGTACATTACGCGTACATACGCGTGAAATCTCGCGATTCGTTTTGTCTCTTCCTTTTTTCTTTTTTTAGCCTCGTAGCTGCTGCAGCTGTTTTTTTTATCGTGCAAGTATACCATATGTCATATACGTACTACACGCGTGGCTTATAACGATCGATAAGCCAAAGGATATGTCTTTTTAGCCTAGTGGCGCACGCGGGGGAATTGCACATGCACAACGCGGTGAGAGCTCGGTGCATATGCGCGCGGCAATTCGCTCGAATATATATCGCGGCCACGCGCACACCACTCTCTCTTCGTCTCGGTACTGCGCTTGATTTGAATGGACGAGAATGTGATGAATAGTTTTTTTTTCCTTTTCAGTTTCAACGTTTTTGTGATCGAGTGCGGATCTGCACGCGTATGTGCATGCCCGGGGTCTGCTGGACGAGCGCTACGTTATTAAATATATGGCCGATTTTATGCGACAAATGGCGCAACATTTTTTTTCTGTTATGAAAATTTGTTTTCGATGTCATGCGTGTTTCCAAATTTAATGAGAATTTCGGAGACAGTTTATGAACCTTTTTCAGAAGCCTGAAGCTGCTAATTTTGATGTTTATAGGTAATATTTAAAAAAATCTTAAACCGGACTAAGAGGATTGTACTCCAAGAAATACTGTGCGCGTGCTTCTCGATTTACGACGTGTTACTGGTGCTATGCATACGCAAAAAGTGGTTGCGCAGTCTCAGTTTGTGAATTTCAACCATTTCTATAAGACTATAATATTATAGTTAGCTCATTGCCTGTAGATGTCGCATCGCCATCCCCCCAAGCAGTCAAACTAATTTTGAGTTACAAATGAAGAAAAATCGGTTGACATGAACTATGTTAGCATCGATTCCGGTAATTTAACAAGCTAGTAAAAATGTGCGGAACGATCTTCACCAATATTTCAGAATTTGATCTATCATTGAATCAAGCTCTAAATTACTCAGACCTTCTTTGTAATTTTTTCCAAAAAATTTAAAAATTTTCCAGCAAAACAGCTCTCTAGCATTTTTTTCCTAAAGTCACTGAGCTACGCAAGAAATTTTTTAAACAATAGCAATGAATTTTTTTTGGGCAAATGCCTACTTTAAATTTCTGAAAATGTTGATAAATGGTCCTAAACATTGTAATAAAATGCGTAGGATATTAAAAAAAAAAGATTTTTATGGGATGAAAAAAATGTTTAATTCGATTTCACAGAGAGTCGGCCATATTTATAAGAGATCACGTTGTTGTAGAGCCGTGTGAGGTAAAAAAGAGCTTGTTGTTGATTGATTTTCATTTTTACGACCATACATGACCGCTCTGCAAATACGCTCATACATTTTTTTGAGCCATGCATCGTCACGAATTTATGTAAAATTCATTTGACGCGTTATTGGAGATATCAGTGCGTTGATACAACGCGAGAATTTCGATTATAGTTTCTCGACGAATACGAAAAAATAAGCCGGTTATCAACGAGCCGAAGTCAAGATAAAAATAGAAAAAAATAGAAGCTTTCGAAAATCCCAGTCCACGCAAATCACACAAAACGGCCACCAGACGAATTACTTTTTCGCCTATATACAGGCGCGCACACATGTGTGCAACAAATATTCGCTCATAACCACGTCCGATGTCACTTGAAATACGCTTTTTCGGGAAGAGCCCAAAAAAAGCAAGCCTCGGGTATGTTTTTTTCTCTCTCTCTACGGCCTACCCGCTTTTTCTAGTTAGACCATCAACATTGAAAATTTACTGCTGACAAAACGAGCGTAACTAAACGAGGCACCACTGCGCCCCGGTCGTGCGTTCGGGGCGCGTTAGTTTATTGGATTGTTATTTCTGACCATGCGTGTTCTCGAGGATGCATATTCTCTCCCGCGCATGCACACGTCAGTACGGTTGACGAATGAATTTTTCGTTCGTTTGTTTCCTTTTATTTTTTTCATAAGAATTTTTCAAAGTCAAAGCCTATTTTTTTTACTACTCTCGAGTTCCGCGCGGATTATAAAGCACAAGTTGATTAATTCGCAACTGAGCCACGCAGATACACGGTAAAAATAACCAAGAGAGCCTAATCGCTATATACGAGCTTCTGAGCTTGATTGTAACTGCACCGCTACCAGCACCATTGCTGCTCTGATGCCGCGCGTGATGTATACGAGCTTAAAAGTGCATTCGTGCAACGGCCGCTCGTGTGTGCTGCTGTATGTGTGGCCGAGAGTGTGTACATATTTCCAACACCGGAGGCACAAACGCCTGCACTTGTTAGTCACTTATAAGCCGCCATGCGAGTGGAACTCATGCATAAATGCATTTGCCAGAGATTGAGTGCTGTGTTCGAGGCAGCTCACCCACTACTACCACATGCACCCACGCGCTCACACACATACAGCCAAAGTTCATACCGTACGGGCGGCTAATAGTCTTTTCTTTCTCTCGCTCTTTTTATTAAAACTCTTGCACGCGTGGCCCTCTACGTGAAAAATACCTCGAATCTCCGGGTGAGAGCTTTTTTGGCTATAGTACTCTAGTTAACAATTTTTTATTGTTATCCAAAATGCCTCTCGCTTTATTGCATTGCTCTAATTACGGTCGCATATGTTCGAGCGCCGCTACGAATTCCATAAAATGTATACATATAAGAAGCGTTTAGTATACGCGAGCGCCAAATGTTATTGCCGCTGAATATGCACTGGCATCGAAGCAAAACAGCCACTTCACAATCTCGCCGCTGGAATCTTTTTCTTCGCCGAGCTTCTTTCACTTTGCGCGCGACGAAACTCTACTATAGTAGTACCGCTGCAGTGTATAATGCACACAACGCGGCATAATAATATCTAGTCGTCGACGATACAGCGGAAATCGACTTTGCTGCTCGTGACGTTCGCTGTACATGTATCGAGTTTTTTTTTTATGCCGCTGCTGCGAGTGCAATAGTGCGTACAACCCCGCTTACGCTAAGTTTGTGTATAAGAGCTAGCGAAAAGAAAACGACCGAGCGTTTGATGGAATTCGATTTAAGTTTGCTCCTTCGGTCGCCACCCTTGCGTGTATTCATGCGTGCGGGTATACGCGCCCGGGCTCGGCTTAACGAGGTGAAATCATATCTTATTTATTTATTTCTTTTTTTTTTCGCTCGAATCGCTTTTGTAAATAAAAATCTGATATACGCAACGAAATATGAACACGGCTTGGCTCGATTGTTTTCGCGAAAGAGACAAGAGGGTAAGTTTCTTTTTTGTTCGCGTTATAAAAATAAGCTGTTCTTATTTTTACAACTTTTTTCTCTTCTTCTCTCTTATCTCTCACTCCCCTTTCTTAACGGAAAAGTTTGACAACACCACTTGGCAGAATATTTCCGTCTCATTAGCAAAGTAAGCTCTTGCGCCCGAGCCCAGGCCAAAGACTCGGGGTAATTCTCGAGCGTTTTAAAATGTCCATTAAACATTTACGACGGCTGCATGCAGCAGCGCGCGGGGGCGAACCTTAGCTATGCTCTTTGGTTCGGTAATCGGAGTGTACGGGCACACACAAGCGCGTTTAGGCGGAAATTAGTAGTAATCTATTACTGGTCACGAGAGTCGAATCGAAAGGTATATATACGTGTGTGTGCAGTTTTTAGCGCGCAGCCAGTGGCTCTACGGAGATGCGGCCGCGCGCAAATCGCCCACGTACATTATTAAATCCATACTTCCTGCCTCGAGCCGCGCGCGTACCATACGTACATACGTCGACTCATTGCCTATTACGAAAGTAGGCCATTCACTGGCGCATACCTACACGCGTACTTTTCACACTTTACACATGTCTCTGTGTCCGATGTAGTATACGTGTTGCAACGATATACATGTGGACAGTAGTAGTTTTGTGCCACTAGAAAATGAAATAAAGAAGAACACACCTGTACAGTGCAGTTTTGTTTATACTTTTGGCCGGCAACGAGAACGAGGGGCTGGTGTGGGGGCTTTGTAACTAGTAGTACAAACTGAGCAACGACCAGACGGACGCACGATGCTGGCGTTCGTCTTTAAAATAGGAAATTGCATCCAGCTGCCACACAGCTGTGGGCTGCAGCCGCTGAGCGCGAGGCAACAAGTT